AGTAGGGGCTATCGCACTAGGGCGGGTAGGGTTCTACGGGCTCTTACCCTTGCCCTAGGACTAGGTTTAGGACGACTAAGTTTAGGACCTTATAGTAGCGTAGACATCTATACTGTTCTTAGTAACCGCGTAAACATTAGTAACTGCGTCCGGGTCCTAAGACACAAAGTTAACTTTAACAGGCTTAGTAGTACTATTACTACTCCGCTCCTTAACCTATTTTGCCCTAACCTTCTAAGTTTCTCGTTTAGCAATAGCGGCGAGGGTACTATTCCTAGTATCCTTAAACTCGATCTTGCTACTATACTTCTTCTCTAGAAGACTCCTAAGTTAAGGCAGCTTCGGAGCTCTACGATCCTACTCGAAGTTAATCTTATCGCCGGTATCGGTATAGTAGAACTAACTATTCACTTATATAACGAGCTTCCTCTTAAGAAGCTCTTTCTAAATAGGGTAGTCTAATTAAATATGTTTGAAACCGCCGCATATCTAGCACTTGCTATCTAAGTTAGAATGGATCTTTCGTATAGCGTAGACGTTAACTAAAGGGGCCTTAGGGTAGTTAGGATCGGAAATCTAGTAGACCGGTAGCATATCCTTTAGTATACTAGCATTAATAACCTCTCTAACTCGCTATAGTGCTTTCGTATTAAGGTTAAGCTAGGCTAGGGACTTAGCTAAGTCCGTAACGTCCTAAGAGTGCTTAGTAATAGTAGGAGTTACGGTCTTAGGACTACTCTACGACTTAGGAAGGAACTTAGGTCCTCTACTTCCCGAGGCGTCGCTTTTTACCTAAGCTAGGTTATTCCTATCCTCGCCGTAAATAAACTTCTTCGCATCGGCGGAGCTATTAATATCGTCCTTAACAGCCTCTAGAACCTCTTTATACTTCCTAAAGGTCTCGGGATTAGCTTCGCTAAGCTTATAGCGACGGAAGACACGCTTAGTCGTAGACTACGGCAACCCTTTAAGGAGCAGCCTCGTTCTCTAAGAATTCTCGAGGTCCTGCTAGTTAATACCGTCCGCTAACTTAACAAACTCGCGGACATACTCCTTTAGGTCGTCATCTTCGGTACGCCTCTCTATATAGAGGTTCTTAAGCTACGTACGACTGCCTTTAATACGACGGCTATCGCGATCCCGATACTCCCTTATAAAGGCCTGCTTAAAGACCTCCTAGTCGGCATTAGACTTGTCGTCCTTTTCTAGGTAGCTAACTAGGGTTCTAAGGGTTCGGTAAAGCTTAGTAATAGTAGTCCTCGTAAGGGACCGGACCTTATACTAGTCCGACTCCTCTTCGAGTCCGTACTCGGTTAAGTTGTCCTTAAAGCGTTCTACGTACGCCGTAGCGTTCTACCCTTCGAACAAAGGGTTTCTACTGCTTCCCGGCTCTAGCGGGCAACGCCTATTCTAACGGAGAAGGTTAGTTTGCCCTTAAATTATCTTTATAACGATATTATAGAGGGCCTCGGGCGTAGAAGGCTCGACAGCCCCTAGTTCGATAGCGCTTATAACAACTAGTCGTCGCCTAATTTCTTCGTTAATAGGGTCCGGTAGGTTATTAGATTCCGAAGATTCCGCTAATTCGTAATGCTCGCTTTCGCTAGAGCTTATTTAATTGTTATAAAGTAGTTAAAATAAAATGCTATAGGAAAGTGTTTTTAGTATATATTGTAGGTTTAGTTCGATATTGCTATACGAGAAAATGGTGTGCTAGTCTGTTTTCTTCTAATATTACCCCTAGGGTAGCATTAGAGTTTAGCCTCCTAGGGATCGCCTAGATACCCCTAGGAGCTTTAGTTTAGTAAATTTAGACAAAAGCCGCTCGGAGGAAGGGACTGCAATCTCTATTTACACCTAGATCCTAGAAACTAGCTACTTTACTAACTATCGTTATCTCCTTTAGCTAGGCAGGGGGGCGGGGACCTTCTTTTTCTAGTAGAAGGCTAAGTACTATCCGAACGAGGTAGCGAATCCCGAAACAATCTACCCGGTTAATAGGGGAACTATCTAGGCATCCGACCTATAATCTAGAAATTGCTATCGTATAGATAGTCTTAGTAAACTAAGCAAGGCCGATAGGTAATTAGTCTATCTCCTCCTTAGGCGGGACTTATCTTAAGCAAGCGGTGCTAAATAGGTCTTCGACCCGGAGCCGAGTCCTTAGAAGCCGGCTATAGTTATAGACTAGGCCCTAAGCTATAATAGTCCTAAGGGTTTGTAGCTTTTCGGGGTTAAAGCGATGCCCTCGTTAAGAGGTTCCTCTACTTGTCGTAATAGCCCCTTAAGATACTTCTATATCGTCTATATCGTAGGCTCTTATCGTACCCTCGCTTCGGTTATAGCTATTCGTACCTAGAGACTACCTTTAATATACTCGAACCTGTTAGATATAAAGAGATAGCCCCACCTTCGGCTCTAATAAAGGACGGAAACTAATACTACTACTACTACTTATAGCAATAGTATAGGCTACCGAGGGTAACATAACCTATAGCAATACGGGCAGCTATGTTTAGCAAGATAGGATAGCGAGACTATCGCTTAGGCTAATAACTAGAGCCCTGCAATATAGGCATTATAGAAGTGTAATATAAACAATATACTATACGAGGTTAATGCTCTATCTACAATGTAGAAGGAGGCCTCTTATATAGGCTCAAAACTGGCCTATAGGTATGGGGCCGGTTACTAGCTAATACTATATAGATCTATACTATTTAATTATACTTCTTATATATAGCCGGAATTTTTTTAACGGTTGTAGTTAAATATAGACTAAGCTAAAGTATTAAAGTTAGCTTAGCTATTATAATTCGTTATTAGTTACCTTATCCTTAGTCGTAGCATTAGCTGTATTATTCTCCTTCTCGCTCTTATAAGCTAGACTACCTTCTATAGCACTTATATATACCTTTATCTCGTCCTTTAGCTTCCGCTAGATACTAATTTGTAGTACGTTATTTGCTAGGACCTCGTTAGGTTCCTTCTTAAGCATATAAAGAGTCTAGAAGCCTGCTTTTAGCTTAGCCTTTACTGCAACGAGCGCCTCTCGTATATAGATATGCCTTTTCGAGAGCTAGTCGTAGTACCTAGCAATATACTTCGCCCTATTAAGAATAGCCGCCCTACTATCGACAATTAGTAAAGAGCGTAGATTTAGCTAGACAGGCGGATTTAGCTAAGCCTATAGCGGCATTAACTAGGGTATCGTATATAGCGGAGGTATAGCGAATAGATTAAATAGAGGCATAGGGCTATACTATAGTACTAGAGCTACTAGTATTAGTGTCTCTTATAGCAACGACGGCTCCTTCTTCTTGCTACGGTATATATTATTGTAGTTCTTTACACTCTTCTAAATAAGCTAACCTAGTATATTATCTACTATTGTAGTGCCGGCTTCTATAGCGTTGCGCTATTCTTCTAGGTATGTATCTAGTATCTAGTAATAGGTACTATCGTGCTATATATAGTAGCCGACGTTACTACCCTTCTTAGTGTTAGCATACTGTCTATCTAGACAGTAGAATTTAGCTAATAAGGTCTTGTATATCTCTCGCGACTCGACAATACTATTAATAGTCTTCTCGTTAGCATTGCGAGTAGATTTAATGCCCTTCTCTTTCTATATAGTAGGTAGCTTGTCTTAGTCGGATTCTATAAGGTTAGTATTACTATTAATAGTAGTAACCGACTCTCGTAGCTTGTTAGACTAGTATTCTTTAACTATAATAGTAACTTGTCGCTTAGCCTCTACGTTATAGATAATAAGCTCGTCTATATTAATAGTCTAGTTATTTAGCTTAGTAAACAATATAGTATCTATCTCCTTAGCAGCACTGTGTTTAGTAGCCTTAATAATAGCCTCTCGCTTATAGAAGTAAGCCTATAGACTACGTTCTTTAGTAAATTCCTATGCCCTAACCTTAGCCTCTCGAAATAGTATAGATATTGTCTCTATCTTGCCTCTATAGATAGCCGATTAACTATTAAGCTTAACCGGTTGTTACTTATACTGTTTAAACAGTGTCTTATAGACAACCTTGCAGTAGAGGCTTAAAGCTTAAGTAGAGGTAGCGGGCTAGTTGTTAGACGGCTTACTAGTAGATATAGATTTGCGTACGCGTTTCTTAACAATTACTATACTAATTTTATCCTAGTTACTTAGAGGTCTATTAGATATATTAAGAGTATTATTCTACGTATCGGTATATATATTAGAGGTATTGCGTAGTAGTTTAGTAGCCGCCTATCGCTTGCGCTTCTGCGAAGCCTAAGATTTCGAGCCCTTCTTCGACCTCTCTATCTTCTTTATACCCTTCCGCTAAGTAACTAGTACCTTCGAGTAGGGATTAGTCTTTGTCTTAGCGCTAGTTTTACGTGGTTTTTGGCCCTTCTAAGAAAGACTCGTCCCTTCTATACCTGCCTACGCGCTCTACGCACTAGGCGGTAGAGTTACTATTACTTTCTATATAGTCGATAGTATTCTATCGACTGCCTTCTACTACTATATTTCTATCTTTTCTTCTTCTTCTTCTTCTTTACTACCTTCTTCCTCGATACTCGGCGTACGGAATAACTTAGTACCTAGCAGATCGATAGTATATAGCTTCTCGGCCGACTATTCTTCGTTTCTTTATAATACCGCTACTACTAGATTATATGCCTATATACCCTTAATATATTACGAGTCGTCGATAAGGCCTTCTTCTTCTTCCTCCGGGGTATATTAGATAGCAGGTAGTAGCTCAATTAGCGATAATTGCGTAAAAGTAGCTTAGGTAAGGGCAGCGAGGCTAAACGTATTGTTTAGATATACTAAATTCGTAGTATATAGAGGCGGCGACGAGGTATACCCTTCTAAACTATCTAAAGCTTTAGAGACTATGGTTTGCTAAGAAAATGGTATAATAATTGCTATCTAAGTGCTATACTAAATTCTGAGAGGTAGGTGGTGGACCCGCTTCCGCAATCCCGACCCTTTTGCACCGTAGAATATTCTCAGTGAATATGGTATACCACATTGGCAACATTGGTCGCGTCAAAAACGAGGATTCCTTCATCGGAGCGCCTGAGAGGAGGCAGCTCTGCCGCGTCCCACGCTCGAAATGTCGCTTCTACCGGACACTGGGGTGCATCGACAGCACACGGCGTCGGCGTCTGCCTGCCAGTTCTTCTCACACTCTCACTCCATCACCTGTTCTTCCACGACATGACCCGTCTGGGCGCGGCCCTACGCTCATTCGATTGTCTGGCGAGCACGAATCGTAAGCGCTGTTGGTAGGCGTGATTACTTCGCATGGTATGTACGCGAGAAAGAGCAAGATGTGCATCGAGGCCGGATCTGGGTCGAAGATATGCAGAAGTAGCAATCCAATCTCGGCGCTGCACTTCCTCGGGTATACCTCACCACATCTCTCCAGCAGCATCTGATGCTGTCATTTCTCTGTCAGCGAAGTACCCGCGTGCTTTCTGGTATGCACATCAAGAGACATCTTTCTCATATTCTTCGAGAGTCAACATGCACTGTTGCCAATGAGCGAGCAGATTCCGCGACTCCTCCTGCGCCATCACCATAACTCGACAAGCCCGAAAACGGTCAGCACGCAATAATGAAAAAACGGCAGATCATATTGGAAAGGACTTGGAGGAATCTGGACGTTCTCTCCCGGTGTCATTCACAGCTGCGTGATGATGTGATCACTGGGACTACAACTTCCACATATGCGCTCGGGTGAATCCTCTGGGGCAAGTCACATGCGGATTTGCTTGCAGATCAACCTCATTGCTGCAAAGCGAGTGCATCCTCCCCAAACCCGCAGTCGCGCAGCTCGGCAGAAAGTCATTACGGCTGCTCGCAAATGACGACCCTGCTGACAGCCTTACATGTCTTTAGGGCCCCAGACATCGTTCGAGAGTCGACATTAATGCTCTGCCCGATGGCAGACTAGCACCAGGCACGAATGAGAGTATGGCGATGATTGACTTCTTTGCGATCAAGCCGAAGAGCGGAAAATGTGAGAAAACGATTCACGAGTAGGCAGAGACATGAGTCCAAGATGCCACTCTACGGACTTCATGGCGAGATCTCTACCACGGCCAATGTCGCAATTTGATTCAAGCTCAGACACAATGCAAGGCATCCAGGAACGATGTTGCAAACTTCTCGTTGTGCTCTCGAGGCTGCGTGGAAAGTCTCAGACAACACGATTCGCCCGCAGCTGAAGATAAATTATGAAGTATTTCCCAGCAAGTCTGAGCATAGGTAGCACTTCAAGGCCTAACATGTCCGCACCTCATGGCTACAGTCTCAGGCCATTCATCAAGAGACCCAACAGCCATCCTTTCAAGATTGGTGACGCGAAACGCATAAAGCCAAGGAATACAAGTTCGTCTCTTTCTCCTGAAGCAAACGAGGGTCTTTCAAATGCACCTTCAGATCCGACGTCTGCCAACGCGAGTCCAGCTTCCACAGAAGATGGCACACTTCAGCGCCTTAGAGAACTCATCTCGTCCATGCCGGTTCCAGCAACCAAAAACAGCACGCTACGAACCCGAAAGCTTGCATCGAAGACACGATCTCGGAACGTTCTCGCGCCTCTCGAACTCCATCACAGTGCCGATAATCACGACGCTTCACCTCACGATGTTGACCTGAGGTACCCTTCGGGACTTGCCGAGCGTTTCGCCTTTGCGAGGAGAACTTATAAAAAGGATCACCGATATGCTCGACAACTCGATCCTTTTGTAGATCTTGTGCACACGATCTCTGTCCTGCTTGAAAGTACACTCGGGCCCAAAGGCCCTCAAGTTCAGATTTGCTCTGCTTTAAGACAAGCATGGCTTGGTCATGAGAACTGGTCCGCTGGTGGTGGCACTCAGACGTTCAAGGACACAATCGAAGCCGTAAACGTCCTGACCGGACATCAAGGTCATAAGCGCCCAGAGCTTACACCAGACTTCCTAGAACACTTCTTCGACCAGCTCCACGACCGGGTCATTGCCGACAACTGCACCGACCTACTTCATCGCAGCAACGCGAAATCCACCGAGAACGTCTACGGCGAATTGCGACCGAAATTCCTCTCCCGCATCTTCAAAGACGTCGGCCTTGACAGCAAAAGCGTATACCTAGATCTCGGATGCGGCGTCGGACAAACAGCCATGCAAGCGTCTTTGGAAACACAGTGCGAAGCACACGGCATCGAGCGGGAGAGGAAAGTCCACGCTTTGGCACAATTCCATCTCACGCAATTTCGAGCGCGAGCGGAACTGTACGGTTTGCCATACAACAGTCATGTGGTGCTTCGACAAGGTGACTTCCTCACTTCGAGATTCGTTCGAGATCTTTTGCCAGTCGTGGACGTTGTTTTGCTCAATAATTTGAAGCTTGATTCCGAGACTGATATCAAGGTTTGTGGGATGTTGGAGGAGGGCTTGAAGGATGGGGCGAGAGTGGTTAGCACGAGGAGTTTGAAGCGGCTTAAGAGAGGGGGGAATGTTAGGGTGAGGATGGTTGATGGGTGGAGGGTTGAGAGGTTGCATTATGAGGCTGAGAGTGTCAGTTGGACGGATAGTGAGGGAGAATACTTTGTACAGATCAGGCTGCAGGAGTAGAGTCGTGGAGGATTGATGCTTCGATGGAAAGCTTGCTGTTAGGAGGATGATTTGGCTTCTGATATCGGTATGATGTGTAAGATCCCCCTTTGCTTACTGACTACTCTGATACATGGAAAGGAGGCTGTGCAATTGTCGGTACTTGCGGGCCCCGATCCGGTCGCTGCAGTGTCCCTGGAGTAAGCCATGCCCAGAGACATTGGCGCAGAAGCTAGAGTGGTACGATTCTCTCTCGATGATAGTCTGATATGCAGAACGCCGCATCATTGTGCCGAATGTATTGATGTATTGATCGAATATACCGTGCAAGGTCTTCATGAAGTGACGTTGATTGGCCCGGCCCGGTATTCACTTGCCCATGTCACATTGCGCGCCGCTGACGTCTGGCTATTTTCCCAGAAGCTTCACATCGCATGCTGGGGTGTCATGGCGCTAACGAAAGCACCGCACGTGTCTCAGCAAGGAAGCACTTCTTGTACATATGTAGTACACCCTTGGCCGTAAGCTGCGATCCTGATTTCTTACCAAGCTGAGCCTTACCCCTTATCGCTCGCTGCCCGCCAGTGAGATCGAAGAAGCACACCGTGCAGAAACGATCTGGCGACACCGTTGCATTCTGCGTCGTCAGCGCCAGCGCCAGCACCGGCCACGGCCACTCCGGAGCACAGTCCTATGCAGATACCAGCACTTATGGAGGCGTCGAGGTAGCCGCGAAGATACTGTACTGGAGAGCGGCCTCGACCTCGTTCTCACTCCTCAACATGCGAGACGTCCAATCGCCCCAATACCGAGAATCGATCGACATGGAGTCTGGCGAGCCGCCACAACGCCGAGCTTCACGACGCCTGTCGACCTTTATACCTCATCTCCCGCACTCATATCGAGATGAAAGACCGCGGCAGTACAAGCAGGTGTACAATCGCCCACGATGGGTACTTCACATGCAGGCCGTCTTCTGGCGCGTGCTCATGAGTCTGGGCATGTGGATCCACCGAATGGCCCCTCCACGACCCCCGAAGCCCAATTTCTACCGCGTCATCAACAGTACGGTGTCTGGTAGGCCCGGCACCTTCACACTGTACTTCTACGTGCCTCAAGACTACGATACGCAGAAGAGATTGTGGACACATCGCCACGAGCCGTATGCAAGCGACGAGGAGCAAGAACGGACAGTGACAGATCGCAATAGGAATCGGATGAGCATAAGTTCGATCGGAGATATCGTGCGCAGGCGGAGCAGAAGTGCTCGAAGATGGGGAGGATATCCGGTGATAATCAACTTCCATGGCGGCGGCTTCACACTTGGCTCGGCATATGACGATGCGCGGTGGTGTGGTACTGTTGTCAAGGAATGCAATGCCATTGTGGTATCTGTGGACTATCGTCTTGCTCCGGAGAATCCCTTCCCGACCGCTGTTGAAGATGGCGTTGACGCTGTGCTATGGATACACAAGCATGCCGAAGAGCTCGGAATCAACACCGACAAGATTATCCTCTCTGGCTTCTCTTCTGGTGGCAACATGGCGTTCACTGTTCCGCTTCGCCTCTATGATCAGCAGACTGGCTTCCACAGAGACGAGCCACACGCTGCCAAATCGCCCCTTGCAAATGTGACTGAGCAAGAGGAGCCTACGAGTAGGACTGCATCTGTCGATGATCGTCCTGTCTCGGCCTGGGATACGGCTTCGTCCAGCTCAACGAAGGAAATACTAGACCCAAACAAACCACTGCCACCTCTACCTCCACCTCCACCACCTCCACCACACCAATCACGGGCACCTAAGGCAGGTGCCAATGTTCGTGAGCAAGGTATTGGTCCTGTGCCCGACGTGCGCATCCGCGCCATTGTGCCCTGGTACCCATCACTCGACTACACCCGAACACGCGCGGAACGCCGAGCGACATGTGTGCGTACAGATCAAGAGCTACCAGCACTCTTCACGAACCTCTTCGACGACTCATACCTGCACCCACCAAAAGACGTCACTTTGGACTCGCCCTATTTATCACCCGGCGTAGCTCCCACAGACTTACTCCGCAACGCCCTACCAGACGAGATCATCATGTACACCTGCGAGTGGGACATGCTCCTCGAAGAAGGCCAAGAATTCCACCAAAGATTAATCTCCGACGAGATTGGCAAAAATGTGGTCTACACCATGGTTCCAGAAGTGCCGCATGGCTGGGACAAAGCTCCAAACCCATGGAAGCCTACACCTGGTGTGAGGGAACACTACCTCAAGGCTTGTAAGGAGATTAGGAGGATACTAGGTCAGCGCGAAAGTACTATGGATCGGCTACGAGATTCGAGGATGAGCATTGTTAATTGAGGCTTTTGAGCGCTTTGTAGTTGTTCTGGAGAGCCTTGATGAGTACATAGTATTTGCAATTTTAGAGTCTATATTGTGGTAGCCTTCGGGCCTGCGACTTTCTCGGCGACGGGACTTTCTGCACGTGGTATGATGGATTGCTTTGCTGCTGGCCATTCAGCTCCGATCATTGGCCTGAACTAGCAACCGACGACTCCGTTGTGCGATGCGGCGCTTGGCTTTGCTTCAAGCTTTTTGAACCCAGTACTGCGTTTGAATCTCAATCAATCGGCCTGAACAGCGCCTGCACTGCATCCACATCGTGAAGCTGCAGCCTCAGCCTTCCGCCTGAACCCTTCCGCCACTCCACGAAACCCGCCAGCCTGGCGTCCATCACCTCCTGCACCGGTTCTGGCGACAAATCACCAAAATTCCGTTCACCATCCTTCTTGCCCAATTGGCCAGCACCATTTCCGGCCTTGAAGTCGACCATGATATCCCACCACCCTTCTCCTTCTCCACGCCTGCGCTTCACTTTCACAAGTGAATTAGTCAAGACTGCGTGTTGTGAATGAAGGCTCCGTCATCCCGATGGGTGTGATGTGGAGAACAATAACGAATTTGGAAGCAAGAGATGGCAGGCTGCAAGAAGTCCGGATACAAACATACTTGAGCGATGCGTTATGGCTTGAATATAGTTTTCTTGTATGGGCTGACGGCCCATACTCTGGAGGCACTGATCCGAGCGAAGCGAAGTACCGATGAGGATGCGGAGGTGTTGTCTGTTTACGAGCTGAGTAGAACAACAGTCAGAAGTTGGAAGTCGCAGTTGTACAGCTGTGCCCGGGGGGGTTCAATCTGAAGAACCGCTACTACAAACCAAGAAAGGCCTCGAATTGGAAGAATCCAAGAAGAAGTATTGGCAAAATCGACAACGCCGAGTCTCTCAATTGCGGCGCATCGTACACTGGTCCTCTCGGAATGCCCTTCTCCATTCATCGGGAAGCTCCATACTCTCATGCCTCCGTAATGGGCATGAAGAGCGCCTGGATTGCACGCCAATCTTGAGGGCGTAGCTGGATCTTGCCATCTGGACTTTTCCGTTGCTCAACGAATTTTTCTACTCGCTCCTTCACGATCTGATGTATCTGAACTGGATCCTTGTTTGCAAACACCTTCGCTTTGAGGTCATCATCGCGCAGCTCGTTGATATCAATCTTGGCTGTCCCAGCATGCAAGTCGAGCTCAATCTGCCAGGAGCCACTCCCAGGATCCCCTTCCTCGGTGGTGCCGACCAGATTCAGCGACTTTACATGATCCAAAGTGTCGCGATGCGCTTTGGTGATGAATTTCTCGGCCAAAAAGCTGCACACGGCGAATGCCGTAGAGCTGTTGGACCACCGTTCTGTCGCTCCAGGGACTCTTGTCCAGACTTCGAGCCTCGGCGGCAACACTTTGTAAAACTCTGGCAAAGCTTCTTGCCGGATGAGTCTGTTAACGGCAGTGATTGGTGGCTGGACGTACACTCGGTCGATGGGGTGTTCCGGGAGTTCTTCTCGAATACTTTCCAGGAACGCGACGTAGACTTGAACCCGGAGCTCAGGCGGTAGATCCAGAAACCTGAATACCATGTCTTCATCCGCTTTCTGGAGACGTGAGATGAGGCCTCTCTTCTTTCGTGTTGGTGCTGGCGTTACAGGGAGACCACGACGGATGCAGAACTCTTGCCGCTCGTTGATGCTGCATGTCTCGTAGATGAGGAAACCAATCTGCATACGCACATGGATGCGTGCCAATTGTGCCCCCCCCCCCCGGGACTGGATTTGAGGACCACGCCTTTGTCTTTGAGCTCGCGTTTGGTTTTGATTATGTACGGGAACCGCCGGAGCTTCCAGAGTTCGCTTGGGTATAGACGGTGTGGCGCGTCGTGAAACTCGCGGAACTGTACCATTTTTCCCCGGTATTCTGTGGGATCCAGAAGTGGTGAGCAGATTGTAACAGGAAGAGCGGGATTCTGGAGCAATAAAAAGGTCTCTTCAGTCAATATGGAATTTTTGTTGCAGGCTCGCGATGTTTGCGCCTTCTTCCAGAAGCTCCTGGGTGGCTGTCTTGGTCACTACGAGGTGCTGCTTGAAAATCCATGATGTTTCGAATTGCAAGACTGGAATCTTTGGCTTTTCCACTGATGACCATGCTGAAGTTGCAAAGCTGAGACTAAAAAATTTGAACTGCATACAGGTACCATACGCCAGCTAGTTGTTGATGGCTTGCGGGATTCCGGAGACGATGTGAACGGCGGAAAGCCTGGCATCATTGTATAACCGGTCAACAGCGATGCTCGAATTGGATTTGCATCTGCTCTTGGGGCTCACTGCACACCTTAAGAATTCCCACCAGGCTTGAAGTCTTGGTTCGTACAAGCTTCGAAAGAATTCGGAAACCCAAGCGCATTCAAGTCATGTTGGACCATCCGTCACAACTTCTGCTATCTTTTAGCGAACTCCGAAGACCATGAGAACCTCCAGAATACCCGGAATGTCATCGCCAGTTCCTTCCACCGCCGCGGCAGGCGTCTTCGCAATCACTGGATCTGTGCTTGTGACTTACACCTGTCTCCAATCCCAACTCGCTCATCAACAGAGCGCGAGTGTTAAGCGAGCTGTAGCATTTTAATCGCAAAAAAAGAACCACAAGACGGCTCGCAAGTTGTCGTCAACGACTCTGGGAAAGTCCAGCTCTGACATCGAGTGGTCGGGAAACACATTTTGACTCGGAAGAGCTCAAACGGCCACCTCTAATACCTCGGGATTGGGACAAGAACGATGACGAGCCTTTTTCACCCTGGCTATACGTTTGTCACAGCAACAAGCTGCGTCTGTCCTCCTGCATCTCTTTCTGTCCAACGTTAATCGACTCATCGACGCTATTATTCAGTATCAATCCCTGATTGATCATATTGTTGCCATCACTGACTACGATCTGGAAGACAATCGCAACAGTAGACCATGCATCAACGAGATCGAAGACGGCATGATGCGACCAGGTGTTTCAAGCAATCACAAGTGATGTTCTCAATCTGCCATCGGAATGCGGATACAAATATACAAAAGTCGTATATATGGTGGTTCGTTCCAGACTTGCTAGCGGGCATTCTGTCAACGAGATGTGCATTCGTCAAGACGGACATACTCGCTTCACTGCGAGCACTAGCACTTTCGCCACAATCTTACTCTTTTGCAAGCATAACCTAGTTATCGTCATGAAAAGCTCAGAAATGGCACAAGGCGTTCAAAATGACTCTTGCAATGAAAATGGTCGGAACGAAGTTGCTGTGTGTATACACTCCTTCCTTGCAGTACAGCATTCTGAACCCCCAGTTCTCATAGTCATCTAGCAGGTCAGGAAGTATAGACACAGATTGAATTGAACATGGGAAAGTTGCTCACACTTCATGTAGGCTTTCCGGTCGTTGTCCAGTGATTAGTGATTGCAATCACACGCGATTATATTGACGAATGATTCCACACGGAAGCATCTCTTTCCCCGATCATATCGACACTCTAGAACATAAAACGGAAACAATCCTTCCGCGGAGACCCAATTTGATTCCGATTCCATGGACCATCACCATCCGCTATGCCTCCTCGATCCTTCTGATTCCAAACCTCCATCTCATTAATAAGAACCATTGGAAGAATCTCCACGTAAAAACAAAAAAAAAACTTCCCGACATTCGATCAATTCAAACAACCATGCCATCTCCCAACCCCCCTCCTCCTCCTCCTCCAGAAATCTACAATGTCCGCACATACTCCATCGCCGTAATTGCCTCGACGGGAGCGTTCTTATTCGGCTACGATTTAGCATTCATCGGAACAACAATAACACTAGAATCATTTCGAAGGTATGTCGGGGGCCAAAAAAAAGAACCCCCCCCCCCCCCCCCCAAAACACACTCAATGCTTTTTTATGTTTTTACTAGAACTGATATCGATCGATACCAATAGAGATTTCAACCTCCTGAACTCATCCCCAAACACACTCGCCTCCTTCGCAGCAAACATCGTCTCTTTGCTCCAAGCAGGCTGTTTCTTCGGATCCCTACTCGCCGGACATTTTGCAGATCGATATGGACGAAAATCCAGCTTGATGTTTGCGGGGATGCTCTTTTGTCTTGGGTCGTTGATGCAGACGGTTGCGCATGGGAGTTGGGGGGTGGTGTTTACGGGGCGAGCAGTAGGGGGGTTGGGGGTTGGGGCTGCGAGTATGCTTGTACCGTTGTATGTGGCTGAGTTGTCGCCGGCGGAAATGAGAGGGAGGTTGGTGGGGGTGTATGAGATTTGTGTGCAGCTTGGGACTTGTCTTGGGTTTTGGGTGGTTTATGCTGTTAAGAAGACGATGGGGGATGGGAGTTCGCAGTGGATTACGCCGTTTGCGATACAGTTGATTCCGGGGGGGCTTTTGGTTGTTGGGATGTTCGTTGTTCCGGAGTCTCCAAGGTAAACAGGTTTATTGTTTGGAATAGAGGTGTGGCGTCTGCTAAAGACCTGATAGATGGGTTGCGCAACACTTTGGCCGATCGGAAGCTCTCAAAGTCCTATCTCGGCTGCGTAAGTTGGATGCTGAGCATGAATATGTCCAAGACGAAGTCTCTCGCATCGTGCAGCAGCTTGAGGATGAGCAATGCTCCGGCGCTCCCCAGAGTCCTCTCCAACAGCTCAAACGGCTTGGCAGACCAGGTTATAGGAATCGCCTAGTCATCGGCGTCTGGATTTTCATCTTCATGCAGATGGCAGGATCGAATGCGATCAACTACTTCAGCCCGGCTATCTTCAAGAGCATCGGACTGAAAGGTGAAGACACCGGGCTGTATGCGACTGGCATTTATGGCGTTGTGCGACTGGTTGCAATCGTCATTGCGATTAATTTTGTGGTCGATCGCTTTGGTCGTCGAAAAATGTTGATGGGCGGTGCGGCAGTGATGGCTATTGCGATGTGGTACATCGGCGCGTACGAGAAACTGGTTCCAGACACACCGGGGGGCATACCACCTGCTGGATATGCGGCCATCGTGATGATTTACGTCTTCTCCCTAGGCTTCTGCTTTTCGTATGCCGGCGTTCCTTGGATCTACGCTTCCGAGATATATTCGATGGATGTCAGGAGTACTGCTATTGCAATATGTATTGCAACACACTGGCTCATGAACTTTGTCATTGCTCGATCAGTGCCATACGTAAGTGTTCTTTCACGACGGAATTGTTCGATAAATGGCTGACCTTTTGACCCAGATGATCACGAACATCAAATACGGCACCTTTTTCGTGTTCGCCAGTTGTATCACCGTGTCCATTGTCTTTGTGTATCTCTGCGTGCCAGAGACAAAAGGGCTGAATTTAGAAGAGATGGACATCTTGTTCGGAGTGCCATTTGCGGCATCTAGAGACGGCGTAGATGTCCTGGGAAAGACGGCCTTGGAAGATTCAGTCCTTCAATTAGAGAATCGCATTCCATAGGCAACTATGCATCGATGTGTTTGATAAGTCGCAGAGTGCAGGACCAGTTTCCATTGGTGAGATCGGTGCGCAGATAAACCTATTCTTCGAGGCGAATTTGCTCAGTTCTCCCGATGCTCCTTATCTTTGCACTTCCCCATCATGTATTCGAACGGATTTTTCTCCCGAACGCAGCGTAGGCATAAACCCCTAACAGCATGATGCGTCGAGTTAGCGACTTGCTCAAACTCTGTGTCGTCTATCTTCCTCTTGCTGGTATCCACCTGTTGACAAGACACCGAACAGCGATCGAAATGTAAAGAATCGAAGCTTTGCAAGCTATCCACTAGATCCGCAACTGATACTCCTTCTTCGAAGATTCCAGAAGGCCATTGATCAATAGCCAGACCATTCTTTACGTAGTTTACGAACTTTGCATAGTCTTTGTTTGCGCACTTGGTACAACCAAGGTTGCACAGTGCTTCGACGCCCTTCAGGAAATGCATCAGAGCAGCATTCCTGCGCGCATCCATGACAACTGTGACACAGTTAGCAGAGCATGCCCGGCGAGAAAGCACAGTAATGAGAGCTTACAAAGTACTGCATGTGGCAGGCGGTCCGGCGGTGAGCTGACTCCCAAGTTTGTCAGCGGCACTTCAGAATGCCGTATGAAGGACCTGGTCATTTCGTGGAAAAGCTTGCGCTGATCGAATAAATATGCTGCTGTGAGAATATACGTCCTTGACATTGAATATGACTCAAGGCAGGCCTTGTTTGAGTAGGCGGTAAGTATAATGCCTCGTGCTTGGAGGTGTAGTGCTTCGACACAGCAGTACTGCAAGGATAAGAAGGTCAGAAGCCGCCGCCTCACGGAATGCCAATGATCTATCGCTGCTCTTGCGCTGTTCGTACCTTGTCTGCGACAGTGGCAAGATCGAGAATCCGGGCGAAGTATGCTGGCTCCCCACCAACATTCACTGCTTCCAACTCTCGCACACGCTGTAAATGTAGCAGTTTGAACATATCTGAAATGGCTTGTGGCTTGTCTTCCGGCAACTCTCTGGTGATCAGATTCATAGGGCTAGGTGACTGTTGACCTTGTCCGTAGTTTGGGCTTAGCATGGCCTTGAAGACTCGAGAGACAGTGCTGAGGATGGCCGATGATACGCGAAATCGTTGCAGCGCTTCCTTGGGGCCAACATTGAAGATTACATCACCCTCGGTAGCGATATCCCCGTTCGCGGCTTGGCCTAGTTCCATTTCAGCTGCGCTCCGCTTCCTGCCTGGCATCGTGGTATTGGTTCAGAAGCTGATTCTCGGTGGCCGCGTTGTTGTTCGGAAGAAGAGAAAGGAGGCGCGCCGCGTCTAGTTATTAGCTTGGTGCACCAATTAAGTTCACCCAGGATGTCAGCAAACCCCTGGTCCATGAAATGATTGCATTTTGATGCCCGTGCTCATGGAAACTTCATGTCGAACTCGTCAGAGCAGATTTAGGTGAGGCTGGCACTTCACAGCGAGAGGGCCACAATTCCCGCATCTCTCGTTCGTACACTCCAAGTTATGTGCTCCCACGGCACTGGACTGAGTAACTTTGTTCGCCAACAACGGCACATCTGCGCACAAGTGCTTCTCCGGTATCGTTATTTCTGGCGTGTATTCATAACCGTAGTGCTGCTAGTAGTACAGTTGCTCCTCCTGATCATCCCCCCGTCCTCGAGCAGCGTCACTCAAGTGCCATTCCTCTGGGCATTTCCAATCGACGCAACACCGCCTGCTGCAGGCTCTTGATAAATATGGGTAAAGACGCCATACTTGTCGTCGTCATCCACGAGCCATTGCAGCTCTTCGCCAGTCTCAGGCGGTAATGTGCTCATAAGTCCCTGACCGGGTCGCGGATAATGCGATGGGTGCACATCATCTGTGTACGTTGCGTCATCTGGCACCGGAGGGTTTCGAGCATAAGGAGAGCCATTTGCCCACGGACTGGTAGCCGCACTGGCCCGGTCTAAACGTGTGTGAGGATGTGGTGGCGGCGGCATCGAAGTGCTTCCACTGCTAATACCGTTCGGGTTTGATGCATTCCCGTTTGGCATTGTCGCTCTGAATTTGGGATCGAAGACAGCCAGGTCCGGTTTCTGAGTTGTTGCCCGTACAAGCAGGCTTGTCAGTGCTCCATGCGGTAAGCTCGCAAAGTGTGCTCGTCTTTGCTCCTCGCTCAGGCCAGGAGCGCTGACGAGATTGGAAAGATCTAGCTCAGGTGCATTCTCGGCCTTCTCCTCTTCGCAATTCATACAATTCCATTCCTTGTCGGCCTCATCGATCACGGCCTGATCGATCGGAGGTTTGTGACACCACTGGTGATATGCAGTATTGCAGCCGTCGCAGAATACAATCATGTTGCTGGCGGGACTAACACCACGCAAACATACTTTACAAACTGCAGACTCAGGATTCCTTCGATTATATGGCCGCTTTCGTTTATTTGTGATAGGCGATGGTGGTGGCGGGACAAAACTGGTGGGCTTTTGAATGGATCGTCCAGATTTGGTCATAGTAGCAACAGGTGTCACTTCGTCGCTGCTATCGGATTCACCGCCATCGTCATCGTCATCGCGTTTTCGCTTGCCTCCTCTGCCGCCGCCACGACCTCGTCCTCTTGGTCTACCACCACCCCTGCCTCGTCCTCTGCCTCTGCCTCTTCCACTGGATCCTGGGGTCAGATCCTCGGCTTCAGTCTGGACCGTCAATGCAGCGTCTACCTCGCCATTGGCGAAACTAGCTCTGCTGCCGCCTCGGCCGCCCCGCCCTCCCCTTCCTGTCGGCGTGGAAATGCTGCTCGAACCAGTGACATTTGCAAAAGTCTCGCTGGTCCGCATATCTTTCATGACTTGTTCCTTAGCAGCATCCCAGGGAGGCGTGCCACTCGCTCTGGCCGCTTCCGCGTTCGCATTAATCCGCTTCACCAGGTCCTCGGTTTGTGTTGAATGCTGTGGCGCTTGCCATCCAGGAGCTGATTTCGCTTCAGCTGTAGCGGTCATAGCAGGAGCTTCTCCAATATCTGTAGCTTTACTGTCACTGTTTGCAGACTCCTTAGGCTCTGAATCAGTGGGCGGCGCGTCCGAGAGCACCGAGCTTGCGGGGACGCTCACTTCCTGGGCTGGCTCCTCTCCGCTCGGCGCTGCACTGTCCTGCTGCTCCGCCGGCGGACCCCCACTCGCATCAGTCATTTCGGCGTCCATTTGTGTGTGCTATGATTATGCCATTGGGAAGAATCGTGAAAGTCGGAGCAAGATTCCCGTTGGCCGTGTGAGGTGATGTCTCGCGACTTCAAAGTGGAGCCTCGGGAGATCGACGCCGCTTCCGAGAAAGCTTGGCGAGGCCGTATCGATAGGAGTTGCGATGAAGTGAAGGCGGATATCGAGGAGATGTGTCTGATGCAGTCATTCCGTTAACATTGCTATGTACATCACTATCGCTACGAATTCACAATCGGGGTATCACCAGCTCCATGCAAGCGCAACATAAAGTCGTACAGACGAAGGAAAAAACGGCGAATGCGAAGACTAGTCGCGCTTCTCTGCCTTCTGCTGTTCCTCCCCAAGCTCTTCGATGATACTGTCTTCCTTGAGCTCTTTCGCCTTCTTGCTCCCTGCGCACTTGTCGACCCAGCCTTCTCCACGATGCATACTCATGACTTTCCTAATCAGTCCGCCCTGCACAGCAGAAGGCTGCTTCTCGTAAACAAAGTTGACCATTGCCAGACTCGCAACGAAGAGTAGCACGTCGCCATTCGTAAGACCCTTCCACCATCCACGCTTCTTGCCAACTTTATACAGCGAATCGATGCTTAAACGCATGCTGTATATAAAGTTATCCCGCTCGTGAGATCTGGCTACCCACGCCCACATGCCTCCCAAGAAGCCCCCAAGGAAGAAACGTTGCGTGGGCAACACACTTCGGGGAAGAATATGGTTGAACAAACAGATGGAGCCCCAGGATGTGCCGATTGAACCAGTGATGAACAAACTCATCTTCAGAATGCGTTGCGAGATCTTGTTCAAGACTGGCATTGGGCTCTTGACCAAAGCCTTGTACGCCAGAAGTCCAAAAGCACCATAGATCAACGTGAAGAATTTGACGACTCCCGGAAATGCTGCAATCCAATATTTGAGGTAAGTCCGAGCGCAGCTGGGATCCTTGGGATGCAAGAAAGCACATGATGTGTACTTGGTGCCGGGGTGAGCAGGCCCGCTGATCGGAGTCAGCTTCTGTATCGCAATACCTTTCGGCAGCGTATCTTTCTTGCCAGGAAACAGTACAGGCGAGGTGAAAGCCGGCCACTTGAGCTTACTGAGCTCTGCTAGGCCATCGACAATGTCGAATGTGGCAGGCCAGCTCTTGCCAACAGGATAATCTTTTGGTCTGAATTGAATGTACTCCGGACTTCTCTTCAAGATGAAGTGGCCGTAACTCTCAGGAAAGCAATCGCGATCAAAGACGAAGGCATGAAGCAGTTGTCCGCAAGCAAATGGCATGACAAGCCAGCTGCCAAACCACCACGGTCGATCTCCTTTGGGCCAAATATAGCCGCTTGTTGATAAGGCATTGTAGCCATACTCTAGACTCCGAGAAAAGACATATATGGCCACAGTAATGCGTAACTGCTCAGCAGGAGCGATTCCAAGGAAGAAGCCTGCCAAAGACGCGCCGATCGCGGGTGTGTATTTCGATGTTATTGCTTTCGAGATGCGTGGATTTCGTTCTCGGAAAGGTTCTGCCGACTCTTCGAGTAATGCTGCTCTTAAGCGCTTAAAGAACCTATGCAGCAAGCGATGGAATAGCAAAATGGTGGAGAAGGAAAGAGCGATGCGCGTATTTTTGTATCTCGGCGCAGGCTTCGCTTTGACATCGACGGTTCCCCTCCGTTGCGCAATTTTGTCCAGAACAAAGTCCATGCTCTTCAGACCCGTGAACAGCGCAAGGTAGACGCGCAAGGCGGCGCGGACGCTGGCAACATTGTAATCACCACTTTCGCTGCTCGCTTTCGTTATCCGTTCAAATCGATGAGGATTTGGCGTCTGTTTCTGGACCCGCTTCGGTGCTTTGGATATGAGGTAGTTATGCAACAACTCGTACTCCCGAGGCGAGAGCGTGTATCGTAAAGCGGTTCGTGTGATGGGGTCGATGGGTCGTTTCGAAAGACTGCTTGCGGAGGAGGCAGCCGATGACTTTCGTGAGGCCGATGAAGACATCCTCCGCCTGATGTCTCTCAGAGTCGCGCGCTCTGCATCGGAAACCTGGGGGAAGGATGATGAACGCCGCGGTCGATGGGGTTTATTATCATCGTAATAATCTGCGGGTGGGGATCGCACGCGCGACGTCGACGTCCGAGAAGAGGCAAGCGTGGTTCTGTTCCTCTCCCAGCCTTCGGAGAATTCGCCAAACAACCGAGGCTGCTTGTGATCGCCAAGCCCATCGCTGTCCACCACCACCTTCTTCAGCACTCCTCCCAGCGAGACAATACCACTCAGCAGTGGCATCGCGGCTGGACCGCATGATGCGATTCTGCCAGAATGGTGCAGTATCGCCCGGCGACGATGCTCTTATCACTCTCGACCTGATTTTAACTTCCATGTTCGCGATACCCCTGCGCTGTCGGGCCACTGCGGAGATGGAAAGACAGAGACGAGCGTTCAATGGGTACCCTCTTACAATGCACAATACATGCGGCCGAAGCAGTCTTGTAGCGTTTCTCAAGGCCTTGTGGGTTAGAGAATGCTCGACCTCTGCTTCTCAAAGGCATTCTGCATTCTGACAACGCTTGCTTTGTAACAGAGTTTCTTGCCTCAGGCTGTCATTTTCCCTGCATAGATCATGACGACCTCGATCCTGAACATCTACTGCGATCCAGTACAGCACTTCTTTCTTTCATATCACACCCGAATGCACAGGCTAGCACTCATCAAACGCGCAATGTCCAGCTCAACACCCAAGCAGAAACTGAATCCACGTAACTTCCCCCGTCCGCCTTCCTGCGAACGCACTCCCCGTCAATTGGAAGTGAAGTGGCCGAACGGCGACACAATCGCAGAAACGAGAGAAGCATACTGGGTCCTAGAAACCTTTCACCCACCCACCTATTATCTCCCTCCCTCCTCTCTCAAAGTGCCCCTAAGCAAGAACTCACATGGAAGCTTCTGCGAGTGGAAGGGAAGAGCATCGTATTACAACATCAAAGACCCAGATGGTAAAGAGGTGAAGAGTAGAATCTGGAGCTACGATAATCCTTCTGGTGGTTTCAAGGATATCAAGGACTATTTGAGCTTCTATGCAGGGCCTTGGGATTGCTATGTTGATGGTGAAAAGGTGGAGGCTCAGCCTGGAGACTTCTATGGTGGGTGGATGACCAGTGATATTGAGAGGGAATATGTTAAGGGTGCGCCGGGTACGAGGCATTGGTAGAATGATCAAGAACATCGGGTTCGTGCGTGAAGTCGTTATGGATGAAATACGGAACCAGTTACTGCTACAATGGAGCCGAGCCAATTTAGCATCTCCATCTGCGGGTAATGTCGGTAAGTCCGAGCTCATGCAAACTTCACTTCTAGGCTGCAAAGATCTAGAAGTGAGCTACTTTTTGGTGATGATTTGTAGGAAACTGGGCTCACTTGATACTCGAGGTGAAGTTCAGCATGTTCGGCAGGTAGCAAGAAGCGGTGAGTCGGCTGCCTAGCCACTGTATCTTCCGACACTTTCTCTTCAACAATTCTCACTCAACCACCATAACACTACCAAGATGGAGGACGTCGACTACGAACGCGACAACAGCATCGGCTTGCTCGGTCCAATGACCCCGCCCAGCGACGATGATACCTGGACACCACGCAAGAGAGTTCTCAAGAAGTCGAAGAAGCCGAAGCGCACGTGGAAAAAGAAGCCAACGAAGACTTTCAGCAAGAGTCGCATCCTCAGAGGCATTGCGCCACCTCCTCAGCCAGAAGAGCCCGTGTATGACAACGTTCCCGAACGCGTGTTCTTCGTACTTCCACCAGAGCTGAGGAACCGAGTCTACGACCTCGTCGTCGATGCAGAGACTTACGATTTAGATAAATACCAGCCCAAAGTCAAATGCATTGCCATGGGTCACGCGAAGGAGCCAGCTTTGCTACGTGTCTGTCGCCAAATGCGTGAAGAGGCACTGCCAATGTACTACGGCAAGAGCAGTCTGAACATCAACGTCACCCCGTCCGAACTGAACAGCGTTCGCAACTGGCTATCCGCAATGAAACAGAAATTCAACCGCCCTGGCGATAATCGCACTCCTGTCGCAAGCTTCAGCATCAGCATTTATCCTCTTGAGTGGGCCGACATTGGTCACCTCGAGGCTCTCGCCCACATTGTCGCCGAGAACTTCCACGCATGGAACGGCGTCAGCTGGAACTTCTTTGGAAGTCTCCGCCGACGCGCCAATCTCGACGCCACATTGAGCGAAGTCGTTGAGATTGGTGTCAAGGCATTTGCAGAGGATTTGGACGAGTTGGAGGTGGGCAACGAATTCGAGGATTGGCTCGTAGCGAAGCTGGACGACAAAATGGTTAAGCAGGGCATGAAGAAGGGCATGAGGCCGTATGAGATTGAGCGTTATGGTATTGAGCCGCTGCGCAAGGGCTTGCCTGGTCAGTTCTACGCCACAGACGACCTTCCATGTGCCGACGACGATGCTGTGGACTTCTCGCGCACCGCCATCGCTCATATTCCGAGCAGCGATCGTGTCACGCGATCTATGAAGCGAGCTGAAGCTGAGCAGACTGAGCCATAAGAAGTGGCAAAGAAGGAACAGCACCATTCCAAGCGTTGAAGATCCTCGTTCAAGACTTTGGGGCGTAATCACTGCTATTCAGATGTTGCAGTTACTGCATTGGACTCTGGATTATATCTCGCACGAGACCGCGCGAGAGATGCAGCTTCTCGACGCGATCATTTCGATCTTCACACACGGGGCAGGGGAAGCGAAGTGAAATTTTCGCAAGCACACACACTCAGAACATCATGCAGAATTTCTGGGACACGGCGCTGGACGCAGGTGCAATACGATAGCATGAACTCGAACTCGGCTTAGCAATTCTGTTCTTTCATCCATTCGTGCACCGCGACTGTGAGATCAATCCCTCACCTTGATTTACGAACAATGCAGTGCTCATCATACATTGATCTGGACAAACAGCACTCGCCGCACTCTCACTCCAACAAATAAATCCCATCCCCCCCCCCCCCCAAATCCTTCGGTACAAAAAATTCAATTTTATAGACGCTTTTCCAACCGCCGAGTTTTATACTATAGGGGAGTTGGGAAGGGGGGGAGGATAGACATCAAGATTGTAGCGTGTTAGGGGAGCGGAGGGATGGGTGAAGGGGAGTTTGTGGCGGTAGGGTTGGGTGATGCCGGTGGAGGGGGATATTGTTTCGCCCTGTTGATGAAGAAGAGTTAGGAATTTTTTTAACGAGACGAATGTGTGGTGATGATGCCTAACTGTTTTCAAAATCCACGAGACTTGATTCAAAGCCCCATTTGACTTCCGGCTCGTATTCTATTCGTCTCCGACGACATCGTCGAGGATATTGTTTTTGTGGGTCGTAGCGTTCTCTGCAGAGGATACCGTAACTTACGGGAGAACATTTTTTTAGCATAGATTTCTGCTCCGCTACGAAGGGTTTATGTCCTTGCAATGACGAGGCCGTGAGAGACGCCGAGTTGTGGTTCGGTTGCGAGGAGGACTCGTATGCTTTAGCAGTTTCGAAAGGGGACTTCACGACTATGCTTGCAGGTAGCGTAGGCAAAGACCGCCGAATTCGAGGTTGGAATGCACGCCCAGAGGAGTATTCAGGCTGTGGCTGTGGCGGTATAGCTGCATTGTGACACTGTTTGGCAGCCGATGTCCCGATCTCATGCCGAAGGGAAGCACAGTGTCCAGTTGTTTGAGAGAAATAGTCTGCAGTCCTGTGAGGACCTTGATTACTCGCCCCAAGCCGCGATCCTGCGGCCATTCTTTGCTGTGTCTCTTCGTAGCCGTCCACAACGCTCACAGCGGGACTTCCTCTTCTAAGCGCCTCGTGTCTCATCTGAGATTGTATCTGAGTATGTGGCGAGGTCGGAAGACTGTGCACTCAGCATCCATCTATTGATGTTATCTTCACATATTTCTCGACCAAATCTCGCCCGTGCTCACAAAAACTACTGCACAAGCACACGGCCCTTTCGCAGCGAGACCCGACGGTGGAGCAAAAGAGCTTTGGAAGAAGATCCCCACTCTTAGGAAAGACCCGTAGTCAATGACCACTTGTTGAACCCTTCAAAAGCTCTGCGCGGAACCGACTGAAAGGTGTGGATAATGGCCCACATCGAGGCTCAAAGTCTGGGTGCCTTCCACTTCGGCTTCCGCCTCTCACTAAAAGCCCTCAATCCCTCCTGCATATTCTCCCCCTTCTGCAACTCATTCCACTCCCTCTCATTCGTAACATTAGTCGCCTCAACAACATCCGCCGTCCTCCACCCCTCCCTCAACATAGCGCGCGTACAAATTACAGAATCCGGACTAATCTCTGCAATCTCCTTCGCCCACTCAACCGCCCTCTCAAGCAATTCCCCTCCCGACACAACCTCATTAACAATCCCCCACTCGAACGCTTTCCTCGCAGAAATCATCTTCCCCGTAAGCGCAAACTCCGAAGCACGCTGTAATCCCACAATCCGAATGAGTCGAGGCAAAGCCCCAGAATACGCCGCCAAGCCTCGTTTCGCCTCGACGAGTCCGAATTCCGCATGATCGGCTGCGATGACGATGTCGCAGTTCAGAACACTCTCGCATCCGCCTCCAAGAGCCAGACCGTTGACTGCGGCGATTATGGGTTTCTTGCCTCGACGGTTACTCAGGGCTTCGACGCCGGGGACATTGCCCGGGCCTAGGTTGGCGGTGTCTTGACCTCCTGCTACGGCTGCTGCGACGTTTCGGTTCCATTCTTTGAGGTCTGCGCCCGTGGAGAATGCGCGGGTGCCGGCTCCGGTGAGGATTGCTACGGTGAGGGTTGGTTCGGAGTCGAACCAGCGGAAGATTGAGGTCATTTCTAGTAATGCGGCGCGGGAGGTGCAGTTCATGTCTTTTTCGCGGGACATGGTCATTTGGAGGACTCGTGCTGCTGGGTAGGAGAGTTTGAGGAATGATGTTGCGGGAGGTTGCTGGGAGAATGGAAGAGGGGCCATGATGGATCTAAGAAGGATGGAAGTCCAAAGTGAATGTTCGATGTTTGCCTTGTTCCCGAGGGTATGTGTAGAGAAGGGTTTGCAGGAGTGAGAGGAGATGGATGGAAAGTGGAGTTGCTATGCGCTAACCGCATTCGACATCAATTGTGGGTCTAGGAAATATCAAGGCATTGAATGCAAGTGGGCAGATTCGACTATAGATGAAGCGATCGACTGAAGAGAGCGCCCTTGAAAATTCAGAGATCTCCCGAAGTCTCCAGCTGTGATTGGAGCCGCTTGAGCAGATCTATCGTTGACAAAAATCATCCCCTCCCTCTCCACTATCCTCACAGCCGAACATGCAAAACGAATTGAAGGAGATCGAACCGTCTTTCGTCAGATTGCAATTGAAGAGCGTGTCATTCATGTGTTCGGCATCCGTGGGCTCGCCATTCTCATTCAGAAGCTCGATCATCCGGTTTTTGTAGCCTGGGAAACGTTAGTTTGTAGCGGGTGAGAGCAATACATGCTAGGCAATACCAAGCGCAACAAGATCGCGGCCACAGTACGAGAGACCGTTGATGCAGTATGTCTGGCGAGGCATATTGAGCGCCGAAGCTGCGATGGCAATTATTGCCAAGGAGACGAGAGAGAAATTGACCATGATGGGATGTTTGCGATTGCGTTGGTGATGTTCGTGTTGTGCTGGAGTTGAAGGGATTGACTCTAGATGTGTTGAAGAAAGTGTCAGTACTTATATTCAGCTTGACTTGGGTCCATCCTTCGACGCGTATTGCATTCCTTGTGCTTCGTTCGGCGGCTCCGTGAAACAAGTTGGTCTTGGCTCTTCATGGTGTAAGGGCACAGCTGAGATATTCCCACGACTACGAGAGTCGAAGCGGAGAAGTCATGCGGTGAGATCCATGAAGCGAGCAAGATGCGTCGAAAGCAGCCCGTGATCGAATAATGCTTTCTGGTCCGTATCGTGAAGCTGAGGCCGTGGAAGAAGGCAGTCTTAGATTAGGCCAGGATATTTTCCTTCTCCTCGACAGGCTCATGAATAGTCCATGTTGCCTTCAAAATCTACCAAACGTTGTCCCGACGACCCATTTTCTCTGCGCTGTGATGGTCCCATGGGTTGCTTTTCTGGACAAGCGTGATGCCCGGATGGAAGTTCGACAACGTGAAAGCAGTGCATCGAGTCGGCAGAGTGCTCAAGATGGTCTGTCATAGGTTATCGCAGCTGTACGACCGGCACCGATGTCGATACGAGGGGGAGTCATGGCACAAAGGAGAGAGGATGCGGTGAGGCTGCGATTGTGTTTGGGAAACCAGGATGCAGCCACGTGCGTTTGCTGCACGATTTCGTCACAGTCGGCCGGGATTCCCGCATGACCCTCCATCTCCAACATTATTTCTGGCGTGAGCGTGAGCATGAGCGGCGGCGCAAGTGGTGTATAGCCAGCCGCAGCCGCAGCCGCATCCGCATCCGCAGCCGAAGAGTGATCCTGAGCACAAGACAGCATACGGCTCGTCCGGAATGCGATGCGTCCACGAGTCAGCGCCATGGCCGGACGACAACAAACGAGCCCTAGAACTACCTGTCCCTCGTCTAGAACTACCGATCCGCGATAGCAGGAAACATTCCCTGTGAATGCTCCTCCAGCCCAGGACATACAAGCTCTTGCAGCTGCCGGATAAGGACCGTGGAGGCGACGGCGAGGAAGGAGACACCTACGCCGACTTTGCGTTTTGGGGGCAGCCAAATCGGGCTGGTATTGGAGAGCGAAGGCGTCGCGCTGCCCGCAAGATGCTGCTCGTCCATCAGGCCGGAAGCGTGAAGGTCGGAGAAGTGGTGCGATATACGCTTACCTATACCCCGAGCAACGACCGCATACTGCCTACGCCCCAGCACCTGCATTTAAAAGTCAAGAACACATCCGCCATACCACTGCGCGCGGCCTGGGTGCATGGCCCATATGCCCTGCACGTTGCAGCGTACTCCGCCAACTTCAATCCTCACCACAAGATCGACCACCCGAAGCGGGATGGAGTGCCGGAGTATGAGCCAATGCTCAAAGCAGGGGGCAGCTGGACATCGAAGCTGCTTGTGCCAGACGACATACGCGAGACGGGAGCACATCTTGGCAAGCGCAGGAGCTACTCGCAAAACGAGCAGGCGGCAGATGGGGAGAAGGGAAACGTGACATGGATTATCGAGATTGCATCGCAGATTCTTTTCTCCAACTCCGCATCGGTAGGCTTCGAGGTGCTCGTAGGCAGAGACGAGCGCAGTCTGGAGTTAGGCTTTGCTGCCGTTGCTGGACACGGCCATGGCGCGCCCGCCCACATCAAAGAGATTCAAGGAGAGAGGGAGAGGAAGGAGGCGAGGAAGAGGGGTAATCAGCAGTATGAGGGTGTCTATTCGAAGGCGGTGAGACTGGTCGTGGAAGATACGGATACTTTGTGGGATAAGCCGCCACTGCCTTCGTGGGATGAAGACGGTAGCAGACCGAAACGCCGCAAGTCGCTGAGTAGACGGAAGAGTGAAGATACGAAGCGGCAGATGGAGGAGGCAGCGGGTGGGAAGCCAGAGAAGCCGAAGAAGCGGAGGAATGTGCACCTGGTCATCTTGACGCATGGCCTGCACAGCAACCTAGGAGCGGATATGCTGTTCTTGAAGGAGAGCATCGATGCAACAGTAGCGCAGGCTCGAGCAGACGCCAAGAAGCGGAAGCAAGAGCTGCGCAAGAAGCGAAAGGAAAAGTCGACAGGGCAGTCTGGCGCAGTCAAAGTCAAAGATCAACAGGACGGTGAAGAAGGAACTCATGAGACAGCAACAGCACCCTTGACGGGAGGACAGGACGATCTCGACAACACGCCAGATCAGGATGAATCAGATGATGAAGAGGAGACGATTGTTCGTGGCTTCACAGGGAATGCAGTGCGCACGGAGAATGGCATCCAGTACCTGGGCAAGCGGCTTGCTAAGTACATCCTGAGATTCACGTATCCGGACCAGCCATTTCTTCCGGTCAAGAAGAACTTCTCTCGCAAACTCAGCGACACCTTCACCATGAGTGACGCGGACAAAGCAAAACGAGACGGCAAGCCAGCTCACCACGGCAGTAGCATCCACACACCGCGAGAGGCCAAAAAGGCGGAAGAGCTGCCATATCACTTCACGAGTATTTCTTTCGTAGGCCACAGTCTGGGCGGTCTCATTCAGACATATGCAGTCGCATACATCCAGAAGCACAGTCCAACATTTTTCCAGCAGATCAAGCCCATCAACTTCATCTGTATGGCATCGCCAATGCTGGGCCTGAGCAACGAGAATCCAATGTACGTCAAATTTGCGCTTGATTTCGGACTGGTAGGGAGGACAGGACAGGATCTTGGACTCACCTGGCGGCCACCAACACTCGCAACCAAGGGCTGGCAAGCGATGATAGGAACTTTTGGCACAGGTCCCAACCAGAAGGACAAGGATCCAAGCAACACGCAAGGCGATCCTGCTGCAAAGCCTCTGCTCAGAATCTTGCCCACTGGACCGGCGCATACGGTCCTCAAGATGTTCCGTAATCGCACCGTCTACTCGAATGTGGTCAACGATGGTATTGTGCCACTTCGCACGAGCTGTCTCCTATTTCTCGACTGGAGAGGGCTCGGCAAGGTAGAGAAAGCGAGACGAGAAAACGGCCTCATTGGCACGGTTGCAGAGTGGGGCTGGGCTGAGCTGACCGGTGCCAACTCATCTTCATTACAGCCAAACATTCGTGCTGAACTTGCTGACGAGGATCGGGAGACTTCGCCTGCGCCAGGCAAACAAAGTGATGCCGTGCCACTACCTGCAGAAGACGAGACTGCGGAAGATAACCGCCGCCAGACGAACAGGATTAGCTGCGAGGGCGAAGGTGAAGATACGGACACTCCTAGCAGGGCACCATCGCACATACCTAGCCGAGATTCTTCTACCACAAGGCAGCCGGCTCAGGATAAGGGCATTCTGGATACCATGATGGGCTGGTTCCGACCAAATTCTCCACCAAAGCCACCGCAGCAAACAAAGAAGACTACAAAAGCTCTGCGGCGTGGGCAGACCATACATCATACCGAGTGGGAGGACCACGAGAACGAGGACAATGATCATCATACCACCAGCAATCCAACGATGCGTCCACATCTGCACACGAAGCGATCATCATATCACAAGCGACCGGTCGCGACTCGTGGCGATAGCTTGACCTATACTGAGACTGGAGAAGTTGTTGCCCCACCAAAGACTTCTATCTTTGAGTCTGCCGGTGACATATTGCATCCTCCTTTGCCTAGTAAGCAATGGATCTCAGATCCCAGCACTCGTGCCAGGACGATTTTTCATGATCGAGTGTACCATCCCGAAGACATCCCTCCGCCACCTGCCAAGCGAACCAATACCAGTCGCTTGAGCCTGTCGTTCTCGAATGACAGCAATCGACAGATCAGCTCTTCCAGCAAGATGTCCGAAGACAGTGTGAAGAGTCAGGATAGTGTAGTGACAAACACAACTGCAACGACAGCCACTCAAGTTGATACTGGGGGCATGAAGGTTGAAGAGAAGATAGCACGAGCGTACCACCGTGATCTATCTTGGCGGAAAGTCTTGGTGAGACTAGAGCCCGACGCACACAACAACATCATCGTCCGCCGAATGTTCGCCAACGCGTACGGCTGGCCAGTCATCAAGCACTTGTGCGACACACACTTCGCAGACACTCATGCTGCCAGGACCAGGGATGAAGAGGAACCTGCCAGAGAGCGTGCAAAGCCCATGAGTGCTGCAATTGATCCTGAACATGGAGAGGAAGTCGCCGGCCAGACTGACAAGAATGTCAAACCTCGCACACAGAGTGAAACCAGAGAAGCTCGAGACGAGCTAACTTCTCTCACCGTGCAACATGATGGCATCGCACGCAGTAACAGCAAGATGAGCAATCCAAGCTCTTCATACTCTTCGGGCGGCTCGGACAGGCTCAGTAGACGGGAGTCGGGAGTCTGGGACGATGCATACTTTGAAGGCAGTGATGGCGAAGATTCCGATGCTGTTGACGAGCGGAACGTCGTTGCAAGGATCTTGAACCCCAATGCGCCCGGCCCGAAGCAGCCAGAGTCCATCTATCGACCCGAATCTTCGACGTCAGCATCCAGCTCCCCTGAGAAGTCGCGAAGCCCGCGCACTCAGATCTACACAGATGGGCATCGTGGTCTGGCTCCCATCTCGCCGACAGGCTCAAGGTTCAAGACCGCAAAAGAGGTGAAGGCCGCATCACCGAAACACGCGGCAAAGCCAACATTCGATGCGGCAGATGTCGACAGTCAGCGAAGCATCACCGGCAATCTCGTCGAGGAACCTGTACCGCTCAGTCCCACTAGTCCCGGAAGTCTCGCAGCAGACATAGGTCTGCGGAAAAGCGTCGATGAGCAAATTAGCCCGACCAAAGGTTCTGGTTCGAAAGACTTCGTTGCAAAAGGAGGAGGACATGGTGTGGACTAAAATGATTTTTTTTCTCGCAAGAAACGGAGACCGCTTGTCTTGTTTGGATTAGAATGTTAGATGTTCAGATATGATATGATACGATACCCATAGTCTGTTCTTAATTTCATGAATGTGTTGTATTGCAGCCTCCTTCCCAGGCAGGCACTACCTACCAAACTACGAAAGACTTCCGCTCGAGGGTCCCGGTATTGTTTTGGATGTTTTCAGATCTTCCTCGTCGAAGCCGAAATCATTCTTCTCGTCGGGATCGACATCTCCACACTCTTTATATCAACAATCGAAATTTTCCGAACGCGGTCGATACATGCAACGCCTGGATTTCAATCCCGTAACCTCTGAGGGGATGCTGGTGGTGAAGACGGATGAAGAGGTGGGGTGATGGAAGTTGTGACGCGAGCGCAGGGTGCGGAGATGTTTGGAAACGATGAGGATTGGAGCGGAAGAGGACTTTTGTACATCTAGAGAAGCGTGGTGAAAAGCGTGTGCTTGCATTTGGCGGAAAGGTCAGCTGCGTCACATCGACGATACCAGATCCACGTCGTTCCTCGAGGGCTACTGCAAACTGTCAGCACTTGAAGCTTCTATAGCTACCGGATAACTCACGAAGCACACTCGTCGGGTAGAGCTTGCGCGACCGCTTCTGGCGAAGCTGGGACGGGTTGCCGAATTGGCGTTCAACGAAGACAACGGTGATCATCTGAAAGACTCGGGCTTGATCCAAGAGAGATGCAGCAGCTATGATGTCGCTCGCAGCTTCTATGGTGCAGGTCTTTCGGTGGTCGAGAATCCACCTCAGCAGTAAAGCTATGGCATTTGATGGGCGCCCCTTGTTGAATATTGATTGGGATTCTGACAGAGCCTTTCTGAAGCCACCATATAGGTAGGCCGAGACGGTCTTTCATCCGCGCCTCATGGGATTAGCAGGGGCTATGAGTGAAGATGCAGTAAGCTTGGTGGAAACAGGGCTCGCAATCGACGATTGATCAGCTGTCGTTTCGAAGAAAGGACTGTACACTGAGCTCAGCTGTCTTTTACCTCCCGAAGCCGCCCATGCGCGGTTCATCTTCACATGCTTGCCTCCCTCTCCCTCTCCCTCAATTCCCAACCCCAATCACCCCCACCCAGCCCCTCCCCTCACCCCCTCAACCCCAACTCCTGAACAAAAATCTCCGCCGCCCTCTCCCCAATCACAAAAGCCGTCCCTCCAGTATTAGCCCCCACATTCTCCGGCGGAATACTCAAATCCGCCAATTTCAGATTCCCCAAACCATGCACGCTAAGCGTATGATCCACCACCCCCTTCCTATCTCTGGGTGCCATCTTACAAGTCCCCAACGAATGCCAAGTCGTCGAGATGATCTCCCGGATTTTCTGCTCGATGGCTTTATCATCTTCAGCGGTGTATTCGATCCGTTCATCATGTCCGTGTCGTGCGAGTGGACCATCGGCTTTTTCTACGACCGAGGCTTTGCTTCCTTCGGGGAATTTGTGATGGTTGGTTGCCAGTTCGCCGCGGAAGATGGGCATGCGACGCCACATTTCGCGGGAGAGTTTGTAGGCCCAGATGTGTTTTTTCACATCGTTGTCGCCGGCGTCTTTGAGCCAGCCGGTCTCGAAGTCCGGACGGTCGGCCATGGTAGGGCCTGTGATGTGAGTGTAGCCTCGAGAGAAGGGGTAGCCGGTCCAATTTGCCTGCGAGACGTATTCGGCGTCGTCGGGCAGCATGGAGTGGTCGCCGTAGTAGCTGCGTGGAGTGTTAGCGGAAGAGAGACATGTCTGCCTCATGATTCGTATCACTCACCAGTTGTACAAAGCCATGATCATCAGCGGCCTGTCTGGAACATTCTTGAAATCTCGGTCCCAGGCCTTCCTAAATTCTGGTCCAAGAGCATCGACCTCCTCCTCCGTCGGCCTGAACTTACCCTGCCCATCCATCGCATTGGTCCCAAGTAATTCATCATTCATCCGAATTGCTTCGTCGATGTTCCATCGGCCGTCTTGGAATCCATTGATGCACTCTCTTGCCTCAAGATTAGTTCGGTACGACCACAAGCTCAAATGATGATCTTGATAATCTTCTCCCACACCAGGCAGATCCTCAATGCACTCCACACCAGCCTTTCTCAAGATTTCTGCGTTACCGACTCCCGATCGCTCTAATATGCCCGGGGTCGCGTTTGCACCGGCAGAAATGACAACAAGTTTGCTAGCTGTGACCGTTCGTTTGGCAGTGTAGGCCGTGTCGAGGAACTCTGGATTTGCCATGAATTTCGGGTTGGTCTGGTACTCGACGCCGACCGCTTTCTTGCCGTCGAAAAGTACGCGAATGACTTGCTTCTCAGTAAGCACATGCAAGTTGGGGTAGTCGTTGCTTTGCAGCTTGGGATGCAGATAGCGATGTGCTGCATCTTGGCGTCTGCCATTTTGGCCAATATATTTGTAGTATCTTTCCACGGCATTGTTGTTGTCCAAGTTCTGGAGGTCGGAGACTTCGGGGTAACCAAGAGCCGTGGCCGTCTCGATGAAGGCGTTTTCAGACGGCTTTGATACATGTGTGCCTTTGGAGATGTTGATAGGTCCGCTGTCACCGTGTCGATCCGCGTCGCCTTTGCCGTGGTATGTCTCAAGCTGTTCGATGGTCAGTAGCTGTCAGGATAGAGGTTCGTGCTGTCTGACCTTCTTCAGGAACGGAAGCATGTCGTCCGCAGTCCACCCTTCCGCCTTCCAGGAATCAAAGTCTGACCTCTGAGCTCTTGTATACACCATCCAATTTATAGCGGAACCGCCGCCCAGAGTGCCTCCGGATGGCACGATAGGCCTTCGCCCTGCAAGCTCTTTGGACTCCTTGCCATGCCAGAAAAGTGTGAGCTTACTAGTGGGGTACAAGTTTCGTGGATACAAGGCTGGATATACAACCTCGGGGACGCCGTAGGAGTTGGGACCCTGCTCGATTACGAGAACCTTGAGGTTGCGATCGGCTTCTGCCAACCTGCCAGCGACGACGCATCCCGCAAGACCACGTGAGTCACACGTCAGTGGGTTGATGTCACTTGTATTGGTGAGTGCTTGCCTCCTGCAATGATCACGTCGGCCTCGAAGTCGGTTGGAAGTTTAGTGTGATAAGGCATGTCTTCTTTTCTCCTTTCCTATTCATCGATCTCGTAGAAGAACAAGAGAAAAGCGATCTCGATACATGATCGCTTTTATAGGTGACACCCAATGCCTACCAATGGATCCATCCTCTTCGCCTCGTCACGGCAAGACTGAGCTCCACCCCCTCTCCTCGTTTGTATGCACGATGAGCACGCAGGATGGGGCCCCTCATTCTTGTCTTGGAACTGTACACCAGGATGGTAATTCGATAGCTTGGTGGAGGCCAATAGTGATGTGGGTATCCAGTACCTGTGCAGATCACTTTAGATCTGCTATGCACCCCGCATGGGTGGACACGAGTCGAAGGATCGGCTATTCGCATTGACGGCCCACGAGCAAGTGAGGCGGTACTATTTGGGTGGTGTGCCCTCGGCCATATTCATCGTCTTCTGGGGCCTGGTCAACACCAGATCGGCTTACATCCAAGGAGAGTACAAGCTCGCGCACCCGAGAATGCACACCGTGATTGATGGAGCCGGAATGATATGAGGTGGCCAAGGTCTGGCACGTGTGTGCACACTGGGTATACAGACACACGTATGCAATGCATTTGACGCGTCTTTTCGTGTCTTGACAGTGCTCATGTCAAACTGAGCAAAAAGTTTCCCTTCAGCACTCGCTTGGAGTAGTCGGTAACTGTCGTAAAGGATATCGTGAGGACACAAAACCCAACATCCCTGGCAGTCTCGACCTGTCTCGATGCTGGGAAATGTCTGGTCAGCGTCTTGCCAAGCTACATGCTTGCTATCGGGCTTGGAACACATGGATCGATGGATCGACGAGTGAGCAGAGCCGGTCATGTGCGAGATTATTGAGTCTTCGTAGTTCCCGGGAAAGACGTGTTCTTCGTTGCCGTGGATATGAGCGATCAGTTATACCTTGATGACCAGCATGTACAATGTATTTTAGCATCAGCGCATGTGGCCCCCAAAGCGATTCTTGGCAAATCTAGACCTATCTGGTCTCTCCCCATTCCGGCGCGCGTCGCCATGCCCAAAACCTCTAGCAAGTATTCTTATGCCTTTCGTTGGAGATAAAAATGCCCGACATCTCAAGACTGTTTATGACAAGAGCTGAAGTCGTCAATTGAGACTCCACCTTAAAGCGATTCACAGCCTGTCCAACTTCCTCCTCTTAGCAAGGTTCTGCAGTGGTGCACGACATTCGCATTGCTTATATTTTGACCACACTCTGAGGCCGTCAAGCACAAGAAGATGATCCCTCCGCCCGTTCACTTTTCTACAAGAGATACAGCCTTGGCGTACATCGACAGTCTTGTATGAGCCCAAGCGATCTCGCAGAACTTTGGCGCCTTGCGAGATTGGAGCCCCTTCAGCTTCATGTATGTTGACCAATTTCCGCATGTGCTTCGTACTGTTTCCGATCAAAAGAGCCGGTTGCTGATGATATTATCGTTCGATAAGATGAGGGATCGCCCATGGGCAGAAAGGCAAGAAGTAGAAGGTGTCGTCGCTGCAGAGATCCTCTGCTTCGGGAAATTCAAGCCATCGGACGTCGAGCTCTGCCAGGACTGCTTTGTCTACTGGGCAAAACGTGAAGTCCTGGGCGTAGCGTTTAATCCTGCAGCCGTGGACCTTTCCAAGGTGTTCCACGATATCGAGGAAGATGGCGAGCTGGGAAAGTTGGTGAATCCTGCCCGTCTGCGGACGCACTCTATATACTCCACCAGCCAGTTCACCAAGACGCATTGCGCCAGCCTTGGTGATCCTTCCTTCCCTGCATTGCATTTTAAGGTCAAAGGATCGCCCCAGGAAGTTGGCGCGGCATCCTGATTGCGTCCAGGCTGCCTGTTCGGCACAGTAGTCCCCCAGTGCCTGACTCTTTTAGTCCTCGAAATAGTGGTCGCCTTTGTGCAGCATGCTGAGGTACTGCCGCTCTCGGTCTGCATATTCGCGCCTCTCGAAACGGCCAATGTCTTCTCCGTGGATATGGTCCACCGTATCGATGCAGTCCCCCATATCGATGCAGTCCCCCATATCGATGCAGTCCCCCATATCGATGCAGTCCCCCATATCGATGCAGTCCCCCATATCGATGCAGTCCCCCATATCGATGCAGTCCCCCATATCGATGCAGTCCCCCATATCGATGCAGTCCCCCATATCGATGCAGTCCCCCATATCGATACAGTCTAAAGCCAGTCGTGATGGGCAGCGAATGATACTGACTAGCCAAAGTGTATCGAGCGTAGAGACGGTGATTTGTGGTGCAATGGTGTGACAGAATGTTGTTCCTGGTCCAGAAGCAAAATGCGACTTCTTCTGTGCAGAACACACAGGCCCTGGCGTTCTTGCCTCTTCATGATGCTCCGCGTAACCAAGACGGTCTTGTCCGGGAGGCTACGGCCCACACGAGTGAACAGGACGGAACATGTGAATGAAGACTGCATGTTGGAATATGACCATTGAACAGCCCCCGAAAAGTGTCTCGTTCTTTCTTGTCTTCATCGTTATCACTCCTCGCGTGTGCAGTCCTACGATAGATGTGTCTTTTCAGCGCCTGCTTCCAGTTTCGTCGAAGTAGAACAAACATTGATACAGTAAGCAGGGGGCATCGGAAGAACCTCGGCGAGACTGCGCGTCTTACCGACCACGTCTCCCTTCGCGTCTCCCTGAACAAATTACTCCTCCCACTTTGACAGCTTGGACTCTCTCCATTGAAGACGGCTACGCCCAACCTTTCACTATACATTGCAATCCTGCTCCTTGGCACATCAAACAACCACAACCATGCCGACATACTGGCTCTCAGACAGCCAAAGTAAGTAAGCACACCCAAAATTCGCATCCCTCAACCCACCATTCCATTCAACAAACTAACCTCCATCTCTCAGAAATCGGCGTAGCATTCTGCACCGGCGGTAACCAAACCCCCCTCCCATCCATTCAACCCACTTTTATCCTAACCCCAATCTTCTCCTCCCCAGGCGGCTTCTTCCTCCTCTTCGGTCTAATCCTCCTCTTCGACCGCGCCCTGTTAGCAATGGGGGACATTCTCTTCCTCATCGGCATAACCCTGTTGCTCGGCCCTCAACGAACCTTCGCCTTCTTCGCACGAAAACAAAAATGGAGGGGATCTCTAGCGTTTTGGGCTGGGATTTTATTGATTTTGATAAGGTGGCCGTTTATTGGGTTTTTGGTAAGTGGGCGAGCAGAAGGAGCGAGCAGAAAAAGAAAGAAGCGAGAAATACTCTTGCAGTGGAGTTGTGCTGACGCACAACTACAGGTCCAAACGTATGGAATGTTTATTTTATTTGGAGAATTTTTCAAGACGTTGGCGAGTTTTGCGTATAATATTCCGGTGATAGGACCGTATGTTGCGAAGGGGTTGAGTGTTGCGGGGGATAAGGCGGGGGCGGAGGAGAGGGCGCATAAGGATTTGCCTGTGTAGGTGAAAATGGAAGAGGTGGGATGGGATGTGAGATGGAGATGGGTTAGGAAATATTTGGTTGCGGGAGGCGATCAAGATATAGCTGCTTCGAGACGAGCAGTATGATATGCATGCCGAAGCGTGTCCAGCCGAAGACACGAACGAGACGAGATCTTGCACATGATGGAGGAAAAGGCCGCACGTCAGATGACACTACAGAATTGCGCGTCTTCGGAGCACGCCCAGCACATCGTACTCGCGCGAAGAAAGCCAGGCATTGCAGGATTGCCTGAGATGAGCGCAGTCAACAAGAGCCAGCCAGCAGGGAAAGAGATGAGGTATAAAAAGAATTGCATCCGCATTTCAAATCTAGGCTCACCACTATGCGTCTGGAGGGTGGAATGGTATAGAGCTATGCTTGAAAAGCAAGGGCTTTTGAGCTGTAATGAGACTCGAGCAAGCCAAACGCCAGCCGACCAGCATTCATACAGTCGTTCCTCCTCGAATCATCTCCTGGACCACCGAGACAAACTCTAGTGAGAGCCATCGACGCCATTGCTAGTCTTCTTCGATCGTCTCGTTCGCACAGCGTCGGCAAGCTGCTCAAGAACCTCAACAGTCGTATCCCAATCAATACAGGCATCGGTGATGGAAACACCCTTCTGCAGAGCTGCAAGACCGCCAGTAGCTGGAGTCTTCTGGTTGCCCTCATTGATGTTGGACTCAATCATGACCCCGACAATGCCCGTCTCACCCTCACGGATTTGGTCTCCAACAACTTGAGCGACCTTTGGCTGATTCTTATGGTTCTTTTGAGAATTGCCTGTCGGGAAGATCAAAATCAGTACTCAAATATCAAAGCAGAAGTGTCGTATCATGGAATGCATCTCACCATGCGAGCAATCAATCATCATAACCTCAGCCAATCCCTTCTTCTTCAACGCCTCACGCGTAGCCTTCACACTCTCCTCATCGAAATTCGTGCCCTTGGTCCCTCCTCTCAAAATCACAAAGCAATCCGGGTTTCCCGCAGTCTTGGTGATGGCCGCAAGTCCCTGCTTCGTCACACCCATGAAATGATGCTTAGCAGCAGCGGCCCCAATGGCATCCACAGCCACCGTCAAACTCCCATCCGTCCCATTCTTGAAGCCCATAGGGAAAGAAAGACCCGAGGCAAGTTCCCTGTGAAGCTGAGATTCCGTCGTTCTCGCACCAATCGCTCCCAGCGAGATCAGGTCTGCGAGGAATTGAGGCGAAATGGTATCTAGCATTTCACTAGCAATCGGCATACCCAGATTGGTGAGGTCGCAGAACAATTTCCTCGAAACTCGAAGGCCTTTGTTTATTTTGTAGCTCTCGTCAATGTCCGGGTCGTTGATCAAGCCTTTCCATCCCACTGTTGTTCGCGGCTTTTCCAGGTATGCTCGCATGATGATGCAGAGGTCTTGCTTTAGCTTGTCGGCGAGCTGGACCAGGCGAGAGCAGTATTCCACAGCGGTCTCGGGGTCGTGGAGAGAGCAGGGGCCGACCATGACGAGGAGACGGTCATCGCGTTGTTTTATGATTTCGACGGCTTCGCGGCGGCCTTTGACTACGGTGGGGAGCGAGTTGGGTGGAGGTGGGAGTTCGGAGGTGAGGAGTTGGGGTGGGATGAGAGGGTCGTAGCCCAGGACTGGGGGAGTTGTCAGTGGTCAGTTGCTGGAGAGGGATGCGAGCGGTGTTTGCATACCGCGAACATCGTCGGTGCCGTTTGCGTGTTCAGCGGCCATTGAGAGCGTTCCTGTAAAGTGTGGCTGTGTCTGGTGTCACAATTCAATGCTACAGCAGCTTCGTGGATGTGGTCTGGAGTTTGGGACAAAGCAGAGAGGATTTGTAGCAAGGAAGGTGGTGGAATTGTTCTGGGCGGTGACTCTTTCAATGCGGCGCAACTCTAAAAAGTTGCGAGTCCACCACCGATCAGGCTAGAATGGTAATCTGAGCAACAAAAAGAGTTGCTGCGACGCCGTTTCGAACACTGTGGAGTTAGAATAAGCTTTGGCACGTGCGTCTCGACCCCGCCATGTGATTTTCTGATTTCCGCTGCGCCAAAGTGCCGCCGCACACCGCGACTGACTCAGGTGGCATCTGGAAATTCTGAATCACCGCCGCCCACCTCAGCCCAACATCACTTCGCGACCCTCCAACAAGGACATTAGGATCATACCGCCAGCAGCATACCGACCAATTTGGACCGCCACGAAACTTGCAGACGCCATTGGCAATTGCCTTCTCCACCGCCACCTGAACACCCCGAAGACGAAGACCGACCGGGGCCTTTCTCGCAATACGACATCAACAACGAACTACCCATGTTAGACATATATCCAGCCTGACCAACCTCTCATGGCTGCTATAAGAAGGCTGGGAGGTCTCAAAGGTCCGGCCAAGCGAGCACCACGAGGTCCGAAAATTGCGCAAGAAAATGCTGCTCGAAGCTGTCCTTCGTGTAAAGGCACGGATCTTGCCGACGACGAGGGCCAGTTGATCTGTAAGAACTGCTACACCCAGGTTTCCGAATCCGATATCGTCTCGGACATCACCTTCGCAGATGCGGCGAACGGCAAGGCGACCGTCCAGGGTGGTACAGTCAGCGACAACTCCCGTCACGCCCGCACTCTCGGTGCAGGCGCATTCCACAAAGTTGGCGGTGGCGAGCGGAACACCCTCGCAGATATTCAGCATGCCGGCAAGAAAGCCCTTGAGGCGTTGACGCCCAAGCTTCCCATCGAAGAGACTGTCGCCATGCAGGCCAACCAGATCTGGACACTCGCCGCAAACATCAATTTCTCCGCAGGTCGCAAAACAGACGAAGTCGTTGCCGCCTGCTTGTACGCCGCATGTCGTCGCCAGAAGCAGAACAAGGTCTTGCTCATGGATATTGCTGAGCTGGTCAAGATCAACGTTTTCAGACTAGGCGAAGTCTACAAGGACATGTGCCGAGAGCTATACTTCAACAACGAGAGCGTTGGTCAACAGCACCTCGTCGACCTCGAGCCGCTCATCTACAAGTACTGCGATAAGCTGCAATTTGGGAGCAAGACCCAGGACGTGGCAGCCGATGCTCTCAAAATCATCAAGCGGATGAATCGTGATTGGATCGTGTCAGGTCGTCACCCAGCTGGACTCTGCGGTGCTTGCATCATATTAGCCGCTCGCATGAACAACTTTCAGAGAACGGTCCGAGAGGTCGTCTTTGTCTCCAAGGTCGCCGACATCACCATTGCAAAGCGTGTGGAGGAGTTTAGGCGGACCAAAAGTGCTGGTCTGACCGTCGAGCAATTTCGAGAGTATGGAAACAAGATGGTGTATCAGCATGATCCGCCGTCGCGCTACGCCAAGGAAGAGCGTCTGCAGAAACTGGCTAACAGACGAGAAGTCCGCCAAGAGCACATGCGTTTGAGAGAGGAGCGTGAATCTCAGGACCGAGAATCCCAGCAGCCGGTAGTCATCCCAGATGACGCCACAGATGCTTCCTCCAGACTGTCGTCACTCGAACCTGGAACTCCAGCACCAGATCTTGGAAGCTCGCCACAAGTTTCGACGACCCCAGTGCCACCTGCTCCAGCGCCCATGCAGCCGCCATCGGATCCTTCTCAAGATTCAAGCTCTGCTGAGCCAAGTGCTGGACAGGATGCCAGCAAACGCAAGCGTGATGACGAACACGATGGAACCGAGGCCGCGGATGCTGCGTCAGAAGATGAATCACCGCACGATCGGTATAATGCTCCGAAGAGACGTCGCCTGGCTGCCCCTGTCACGGAGGACCCTTCATTACAATCACCCGCAGCAGCTACACTCCCGCCGAGTCAAGTCGCTTACCAAGACTGGCGTCTTAGGGCAGACGGCTTTGTCGGACCACCCCGTTCCCAACGAGCGAATACAGCCGACCCGTCCCTGCGTAACACACGGGAGTCAAGTGTGATGAGTGATGCGCCGCCCAAGCGTGGTCGAGGCCGTCCCAAACAGCCCAAGGAGGCACCCGAAGTGGACATTTCGCAAGAAGAGTTGGACGTGGAAACGTACCTCGAAGATCAAATCGACCGGTACCTGGCAGATGGGGAGGTCCAAGAGTCGAAAAATGAAGTCGACAAGCTCAAGGAGGAGGAGCGCATTCTGCAAGAAGAGAAGAGAGCAGCAGTCCTCGCTGACCAGCAACGCCAGATTGATGCCGACAAGGCGCGAAAAGATCGCGAAGATCGAGGTCTCCAGTTCTTCGGTGCCATACCTGAATGGAACCCCGGCGACAAGCTCGACGCTGCTGATCTCGAAATGGAGTTCGAGAACGACCTTGAGGTAGCAAATTGCCTCTTAAGTCCCGAAGAAGTCAAAATCAAATCTCAGATCTGGGTGGCGCATAATGAAGACTGGCTTCGAAAACAAGCAGAGAAAGACATGCTTGCCAAGGTGGCTAAAGCTACTGGTAACGATCGTGGTCGTGGTAGAAAGGGCAAGAAGCCAAACAAAGGCAAAGGCAAGAAACGTAGCAGGATGGGAGACGGCACCGTCATCACCGAAAGCTCGACTCCCATCGAAACACCTGCAGATGCGGCGCGCGCAATGCTGGAGAAACGCGCCCCGATGAAATCTCAGTTCGTCGATTTCTCTGCTCTCCAGAGAATTTATGGTCGTACTCCTTCCCGAGCGAGTAGCACCACGCCAGGTGCGAGTGCAAGTCGACAAGGCAGCGTCGTATCAGACCTTTCACCCTCGCCATCCGCCAGTCCAGCCCAGGAAGCCCAGTCCCCTGGCGCTCAATCCGATGAACACGATTTTGAAATCACCGAGGAAGATCTCCCCGATTATGGAACCGTTGATGGCGCGAGCTGGGAAAATTTCCAGCCGAGGAATAATGTTCAGGAAGATGAGGGTGCGGATGATGATGAGCTTATTGAAGGTGTGCTTAATGATGCTGGTGGTGGAGGTGATGGCGAACAGGATGAATTTGGGGTTGTGAGTGAGGTTTATGATGGGGAGAGTGATGAGTATGAATAGAGCTGGATGTCGGTATGAGGTTTTCGAACGGTGATTCTCTCTGCTGGTCAGCGTTGGTCACATAGAATTAATTAATTCAGTACTTTCGCATTAGGAATGCATGTGCATGCAGCCTGCTGCGATATCCCCACCATTATATATGCAGAAGAAGACTGACTTTACTTCCAACTGTTCGATCCCGCTTCCTCGCACGAATGCGTCTATCCTGTCCTGTCCTGTCCTACCCTTCCTTCTATATACGTTGGCATCCAAATCCTCGTAGTGTCCGAGTCTTCCACACAATTCTTGACCGAAAAGAGAAAAAAAAACTCTCAATAGAAAGTGGTCGATGGAAATGCTAATCTAAGAAGAAGCGAGATTTTTTCCACAAAAAAAAATCTATCTCATTCCATGTCATTCCCATTGCGAAATTGAATTCTTTCCTTTCCTCTTCGTGAATGTTGGGGTGTTTGGGAGGTTGTTGCATGAATGAGAATGGGAATGGGAACGCGAAAGGGAATGGGGATGGAAGAATTTGAAGGTTTGCATGGTGGTACGATACATTGTGCGAGGGAAGGATCTATCGCAGGGTTCGTGAGTGAGTAGTGAGCTACGGTGTGAGTGTGAAGATTTTGGATGGTTGGACTGCAGGATTTTCACTTGGAAGATGTGTATGAGGAGGATAGGGCGTGTAGGGTAACGTCGGGGGATGGGAGTTGCTTTTGGGACGTATTCGAGGGTTGGTTGTAGGTACCTGGAGATTGTAAAAAATGTCAATTTGGTCGCTATGGGAGTTCTTGGGGAGTACGGTCATCGTAAGGTCCCAAAGAAGGACAGTGATGACTGAAGAATTTCCTCGGTCTTCGCGGATCTCAATTTACATTCGTAGTCTTGCCGCGTTCCATGTGTTCCGATGTTAGTGGCTCCATGGATGAGCCTGTAAATGTAGGTTTCTCTCAGCCGTGCCCGTCTCATTCCGTGTGCCATTATTCCTCCGTTCTCGAATTCTCCTGGTAGTGCTTACACACCCAACACACTAGGATCCGCCACGGGTCACCTTCACGAACGCAGCTCAGGCAGAAACGGCTCTCCAACACTTTAAACTCATCGGCCTTTTCCTGAAAATCGAGGACCATCCGGGCAGAGTCACTGAATTCCTCTCCTATGCAGCGCTGGCAGCATTGCCAAACACTGGTAAGCCACCCCGGTCCAATGTTTCTCAAGCTCTGGAGACACTCGGCCAAAGACTGTGACTCTAACGTACTTCTTGGCCAGAGGTCCAGCTGCTGGAGTCTTTTCAAGAGCGCTTGCGTGCGTCGTGATTGGTAGGAACAGGTCGTGGTGAGGCATCCGATTTCGTCAATCTCATTTGGAGATCCATCTTCGTCGCTCATGTTTTCCCGTACGAGGCCACAATTAGCTCATGCATCTCGTCCACCGTGGACTCCTTCCTGGCGCTCGAGATCCAATAGAATGCGCTGTGATGCATGGCGGTGCAGCAGTCGTATTTGTCGGCCACGATGGCTGTTTCCAAGATTTCATGCGCCTCCGGAACGTGTTTCATAATGTCTTGGTTCATGTGTAGAGCCTTGAGCATCATGGTAGTCGGCTCTGCGGCATCTTCTGGAACGGGAACTTCGACATAGCCGTTGGTGGCGAGCGCAATGCCTTCTCGAAATTTAGGGCTCAGCAGCGCCTTGAAGACAGGTGAGGCGAGGCTGAGGACCACGGACGAGACTCGAAGTCGATGTCTATATGCATGTTAGCATGGCGCACCACTTCCAGCTCTTCTGTAGACCCACGGGACATTCGCCTTCTTGCTCGTGGCGCAGATCAGAACCACATCGCCGCCGGGCGCAATGTCGAGCACGTCTGTACTCGCCATGGTGATGGCTATTGAAGCGGTGTTCTGTGTTGTTGAAGAAAGCAACTCGCAAGTGAAAAGATGAGCTTCTAAAAAGCGCCGTTTGAAGTGGCTTGTGCTCTGCATAAACTTTCAGCTCACTTCACTTTCTTTCTTGCAGGATGGTCAAGTCCATCTGAGCATTCCTGAGAGGACCGTAAATCGCCCATTGATTCGAAAAGTCGTCCATTACCCAAGATATCTCCGAGTCGCTTCTTGTACCTACGGGTGCTCTGGATCTGCCAAAAGAACCTTTTGCGCGTGGCGGATCGTGTTACGAAAGAGTCGAGCAAGTGAAGAGGATCATTCAGCACAAAGCTGTTCATATGAATTTCCTGCTCAGGTGTTGGGACCACCAACGCTCTCGTGACTTCCGAAACTTTCAGCGTCCTCTCCTTCGATCGTGTCGTCGGATTCATGGATAGAGTGGGAGTTCCAAAGCTCTGGGTTCGGGGACGGCGACAATCGTAATGTTGCTACGAGCTGTTGCGAAACAGATGGCAAGTGGGAGACCGAAATGTCGTGATTACACTCCTGGTCCTCTCCCAAGGAGTACTTGCCTCCCATGATACACTCCAGACATAGAACAGGAAGATCCGCTTCCCAATGTCTGCCGGCTCTTCTCACCTGCGAGCAAATTTGTTCCGCGGTTTTCTTGTCCCGGAGATGGTGGCGACACTGATGTTCTTGCAAGCTGTCTCCAGACCACTGAAGCTCAAATTTCTTCAGGGCCTCAATGATGTCTCGTAGCCTGCCATTGGTGAGCTGAGTGGACGGGCATACTTTGATGCCTTGAAACGCCTCTTCAAAGCATCCGAGACGGCTCGCCTGCCACGAAGCCCGGCTATCGCAGAGGCCGGCCGTCTGACAGGGCGACGGAGTTTGTTTTCTGCTCTTTCGCCCTCAAGCAGTTCTTCCACAAGATTTTCGATCTCAACTTTGATGCGGGCTATGGCGGAGTTGAGGGTGCTGATCTACCGTTAGAAGTCTCTGGACTGGCTTTTGGAGAGCATGAGGACCAGCGCCGAAAGTCCAGGACAAGGTGTCAGTCGTGTTGAGAATGAGTTGTCTTCCTATTATCGCTACCAACCTCGGCGAGCGGATGTAGAGCGCAGCTGCAAAGAGACACAGGTTCGACTGAGTGACTAGGGAATCCCTAGTCTCGCGCGACCAGAGCGTAATTTGGACGACCTTTTCGTTGCTTTCAAGGGCTCTGTCAATCCAGCGTGTTACAATCACGGCTAGGTCGACGAGGTTTGCGTACTTGTCCCAAAGTCGTGTGAACCTGAAGATCTCTTCGGCCTCAAGACCGAGGAATCTGCTGAACGTTGGATCGTCATGCAAAATCCTGCCTGTGGCAACTCGAACAGTTAGCATGTATAGAACTTGAAGCGACGAGGTCGATTTACTTGCAACATTCGCCACATAAAGTCTTTCATTGTACCCGCTTGTGGTTCACTTACACGGATACTCCATTGGTCTACAGTCTTTGCTCTCCAGCTCGATCGCGACAGGTTGGATCTGGTCATATCGCATCCTTCGTGGTTTCAGCAAACTTACGAAGGTCGCAGAGGCGCGATTCAGTGTCTCTGAGTATACTCGAAATTTCAGCTCCCGGTCGGGGCTCACGCAGCTTAGCAAGATGTCGACTTTGCGTTCGATTGTGAACTGAGGGAAGAAGATGTTGAGATCAAAATTTTGGTGCGTCCCGAGTGCGCTGTAGGATCTTGTAAGCAGAAAATCCAGCTCACATCCGACGAATCAAAAGAAATGTCGAATAGCGTAAGAAATTTCAGAGAGTTCGGCCTTCTCCGATCGGCCTTTTCTATGAACGTACAAGCAAATATTGCTGAGTGCGCTGGAAGCTCATAAGCAAGTGCTCGAATGGATCAAGATTGTGGATGATTTGGCAGCTCTTGGCCGTCTGCAAGCCTCCAACCTCCAGCATTACCGCGACTCTGGCAAGGATCCGGTTTTCACCCTCTAGCTCGCTGCTCTTCCTCGTCGTTGTTGTTCTGATGTGCTCCCCTAGTCGTACATATCTTACAATTCATGTGAAATCAATAGTGATTCTTCGCCTTCGCGGGATTCGTAGTCGTCGGGAGGTAGCATCATGTTTCGCCGGCCAAGACTTCATTCTCAGTTCTCAACGCCTTCCGGTCCTTGCGGCTTCAGCCGCGCCCTCCTCTTCTGTTCAGCGTATTCGGAGCGATCGTCGCTCTTATGATGCCTGACCAGGCCCGACCAAGGCCTCCCCTTCTCGTCCATTTTCTTTAAATTTTCTTCGATTCCAGAGCGCTCGCGGCTCGACCTCCTCGTCTCTTGCTCGCGGCGATGCAGCCTCGTAGCTTCTTTATCCTTCTGCACTGCAGCCTTTGCAGCCTGCACGGCATCATATAATTCTCTCTTCTGTTTTGTCCGTACGCGAATCTCATAGTCCCTGTGCTTTCTGTCCTTTAGATCCCACTTCGTCTTCGCGAGGTAAAAATCAAGTTTGGCGCGCTGTTCTGTCCAGAACTCCTGTCGGTGCTCAGGAGTCAGCTCGCGACGCTTGAGGACGTCGATCGCACTAATCATGTCTTTGAACAGATCCATGGCATTTTGCTTGTCATCGACTCGCTGCCTCCTCTCCTTCAGTTCTGTCTCATCCATAGCGTCACGTCTATACTTGCGCTTCGAGCCTGCCAGTTCTTGCATTCGCTCTGCAACGGGCATGAGATGCATCAAGGCTGAAACGATCTGCGGCCCGTCGGAAGTGGCAAGCGCGAGGGAAAGATACTGCTCCAATGTGACGATGTCGGGTTGCTCGAGATGCTCCATCATATCATCGATAATTCTCGAGGCTGTGTCCATGATCCTACGATTCTTGTGGTCTCTCGCGCAGACTGCCATTGCAAGCTGGTAAGTCGCAGGCGTTGGTCGGACTCCGTATTCATTGTGAGCCTTCTCCACAGTGGATGCTGCTTTGTCGGCAGCACGATTAATTCGGTACATTCGGAGAACTTCTTTGAAATTGCTCAAATCTGGCTCTAGGCGATATGGAGGTGCTGTGATGACGTCCCAATAGGCATAAGCGATCTTCGGGATGCGCATGATACGGCACGCTCGGAACAGAGCTGAAAGAATACCATTGCCGGGCTTCACCCAAGCCAGCGCGGTGCCTCGTTTGGGGCGAGATGAATCACGTACTAACGGTGTGACGGGTTTGAATGCTGATGCAGCTGGCGAGGGCACGAAGCCTTCTGGATCTGCTACGCGGTGATGCTGACGACCCGGCTGGGTAGTGCCGTTATATTCGGGATCAAGAGTGGACATGCTCCTCGGCAGGTGCTGGACGTTGCGCTCTGGAGAACCGAGAGGAGCTATCAGGCGTTCCAGGTTTGTGGTTTGGTGGACAAGGGAAAGCACATCATCGGTGTCTTTCAGCCTCCTGCTGATCAGCAAGAGATTAGCCATGGCCGTAACTAATTGCTCGTCGATGATCAGATCTCCCGCGCGCCATTTATGAATGATTTCCTGCCAAATGCGCCTGCCTTCGTTCACTGCCTCTTGCCTTTGCGATTCCATGAGCTGCGGATCCTGCTCGTCACCCATAGCGGCATGTCGTATTGCTTGAAGAATGGTAGTGTATGTGGTAGTGTCGGCAGCATTTGGCCCGGTGTCCGGCAAGTGTGCCACAACACCCCAAAGCGCATCCATATCCAAAGCAAGCGAGCACGCGCGCAGCACGGCATTGATGTGCATAGCGCTCGGCTTCACCTTGCTTGTTGGGCTACTCATGCTATTATAGATGGCAACGGCCTTTCCCAGATGCTCTGGCTTGTCCATCAACCCCTGGAACAGTCTCATGTAGGTGTAGCTGTCGGGCCACTGCGCTCGCTTCTTCATCTCGTTGTAGACCTCCAAAGCCTGCTTGACTTTACCCTTCTCCAGGTTCCAGGCAATGACATGATTCCATGCTACGGTGCATCGCATCTCTCGACTCGCCAGTCGACACAGGTCCAGCGCCTTTTCGGACTTGTTGTCTCGCAGAATGTAGTGGACATGATCGGCCAGCTTCACCCTGTCCTTCAGATGTATGAGCTCTTTCCGCAGCGCTTTCTCGTTGCTGACAACGATAGTGCCTCCTCTTTTGCTGCGTATGATGTCCGTCGTGGGCTGTGCGACCGGCTCGAGACCTGACAGCTCATCTTGCTCGACTGCATTGGTCTCTGCTGCCGCCGTCGCCGTCGCCGTCGCCGTGGCAAGCCTCCTTCGTGTAGGTCGATTCGCGGGCTGAGGTGTGAGTATTAGCGGTCGCTGGAGGATCGATGCTGTTCCGTATGCATCGCCGGCAATGGCACGTATACTGCGCAGTACACACGCCCGACACTCCAGCATTTCCTTTTGAATCACTTCCTCATCTCGATGCTCGTGCGGCAAAAGCTCAAAAACCATGCCGGAGCTCGGTCCGCCTCGCCGCTTCGTTGCTCCTTGCGACGCAAAGTTTACCTTGCATCTCAGGATTCAGGAACGCGCTCGGCATAGAATCACTGCTATATCCTTGCATTCGCACATGGTGGCTTGAATACAGCTTCATATTTGGAAACTGACAGCTTCATCATCATGGAGCCGTCGAAAGGATCGTCCGCGCTCTTCAGCGTATTCTTGCGATTACGGCCCAGCACTACCGACAACGAGCGATTCTTGGACGTCGAAGAACCAACAGAAGACGCGCCGACGCCGACACATATCACGATCAAGCCATCTGCAAATGACAAGAGAAAACGGGCGGTTGAGAGATTCGCATTCACCAGAGTCTATGAGGAAAATGCAGGACAACGAGACATCTTCGATACTGCAGGAATTTTGCCCATGATCGAGGGCGTTCTTGGAGCGCCGGGAAGAGAAGGACGAGATGGTCTGCTCGCAACGCTGGGTGTGACTGGATCGGGGAAGGTATATAGCAAGAGAAATGTTGGGAAAGGGGCAAATACTGACCCAGATACAGAGCCATACCATTCTTGGCTCCAAAACGCAACGAGGTCTTACTCAACTGGCTCTTGACGTGCTATTCCGATCAACCGAGCCTCAGCTTGCCGACGCCGACTCGAGTGACTACACATACAATTCTCTAATCGCCGCAGATGCCACAGAGTCCACGCTCTTCCGAGCACAGGACTTCCTGGACAGCATCTACGACAACGGCAATGTCTCTCGACTCTCACGAGCCGCAACGCCTGCATTGGTACGAGAATCTACAACACCAGCGCCTGTCGTGCCAGGTGCTTTTCCTTCTGCTCTCAACGAACACCACAAGACTACAGACGCTTCAACCGTCTATGATCGCCTCTACCCTGATGTCTCCAAATATGAAGTCCCCCAACCCCAGAACCCGTCCAATCATACCCTGCACCACTCTCCTTCTAAAAACCACCTTACCAGATTCACTCGCAGCATCGCCAAACTTACACAGTCTTTTCGTGAGCAGGAGTCGTCCTTCCTTTCTGCCCCGGGTGCGAAGCGTTATACCCCTCGTGTTTCTGTCCTGCCCACCTCCCCTTCCATCGACGATATTGCAATGGAAATCGACGAGAGTGCCGAGTATGGCATTGTTGTCAGCATGTACGAAGTCTACAACGACCGCATCTTCGACCTGCTGACGGCAACCGCGTCTGGAAAGTCGCCGGCAAAGAGGAGGGCATTGTTGTTCAAGAGCACGGAAGGCTCGCCTGAGCGCAAAGTTGTCGCTGGTTTGAGGAAGGTGATCTGCTCCAGCTTGGAAGAAGCGTTACTGGTGCTCGAGACTGGTCTTCAAGAGCGTCGAGTGGCCGGCACTGGTAGCAACGCCGTCTCTTCTCGCAGTCACGGCTTCTTCTGCATTGATGTCAAGAAGCGGCATCGGGGTCGTGGAATACCGGGTCCTTGGACGAGCAGCACCATGACCATCGTCGATCTTGCAGGTACGTAAAATTATGACAGAAATGCTTAGAGCACACTGACTCTTTAAAGGCTCCGAGAGGGCTCGTCAAGCAAAGACCGCAGGCGCCACGCTCGCAGAAGCCGGCAAAATCAACGAATCACTCATGTATCTTGGACAGTGCATGCAGATGCAGTCTGACAACTCACACAACGTCAATCAGGCTCTTGTGCCGTACAGACAGTGCAAGCTTACTGAATTGCTGTTTAGCAATAGCTTCTCGCATGGCGGCAGCGGTCATAAGCCACCACAGAAAGCGATCATGATTGTGACAGCAGATCCTCTAGGCGATTTCAACGCAACATCCCAGATCCTACGATATTCTGCGTTGGCTCGAGAAGTCACAGTTCCTCGTATCCCAAGCATCACCTCACAAATCCAGGCCGGCACATCATACCCAGAATCTAAGTGCGGATATGCATCCGGTCGTCAGACTCCATCAAGCGTCATGCAAGATCTCGAAGGCGCACTGACCGAGATCACTCGTCTAAGAGAAGAGCTCGAGATCACACAAGTCCGGCTCGAAGAAGAGACGAATCGTCGCATGGAAGCCGAAGCCGCTTGGGCACAATCCGAAGTCCGCATCGATGCGATCGAAGAGCAGATCCGGGCCGAAGTGTACGATGAGATGGATGCCAAACTCGAAACCGAGCGGAGAAGATGGCGCGCGGCTCGAGACGAAGAGATGGATCGACAAGACGAGCACATGGACCGAAAAATCGACCTTCTCACGCGTGGAATGGAGGTTGAGGTCTATGAGGACAACGACCAGGAAAACATTCCACCTCCCACTCCTGCTGCGCTCGGAACTGCCCTGCGCCCGATCATTCTTGATGGAACGCCCGATGTCGATGGCTTGACTGAACGAGTGAGTAGTCTGGCATTGAAGGGACCTGGGAGAAAAGTCAGCGCTCAGCAGAATGGTCGTGTTTCTGAGCTTGAAGATGAGAATGCTAGACTTCGAGCGCAATTGGCGAATATGGAGCGTGAGAAGGGGCCGAGGAGTCCGAGTAAGAAAATGCGAGTGCTCAAGACTCGGAAGTGGGAGGGTGAGGGTATGAGCTTTGATGATGGTCTTTGAGAGAAGAAGACAGACGAGGAATTTTCGTGTTTTGTGTCTCGATGGCGTCTGTGCGGGTGTACAGATTGTGGCTTTGGATACCATAGGAGCTTGAAAATGATACCTGTTCGGGATGTTGGCGATGAGCGTTTCTTCTCCAAATAGAGGCTTTTGTCGCCTTTTCCATCGCCGAATACTCGTCTGAGTCTTTCACCTCTCCAAAGTCCGTCCACTCTGCTTCCCTTTGCACAAATAACTCGAAAACAAAAAAAGTACGGAGCTACGCCTTCCAAATGTTTCTCGAAAAGCAGCATTCTGCATATGTGCTTCGACTTGGGGTCTCGGAATGCTGCCTTCTGGGGTCTTTCTTCGAAGCCAAGCACAAGCTCAAGAGTGATCTCTAGCACAATCAGTGCATTGGACCAAGTAAGTCTGGTCAACAGCCATGGCAGACTGTAATCGGGGCGAATTTGGATGGCGTTCTTCGCCGAAGAACATGCTTCTACACTCTTGCATATGCGCGTTGAACTTGATGGCCGCAGACTGGACGGATGAACTTCCTCGGCAGCGGGGAAGTGGCTTGGGAATATGCATTCGAATGGACGTCGTCGAGCAAGGAAGCATAACACAAGGATGTGCCCAGGAACAGCTGAGGTCAAGAGCACTGGCGTAATGTCGTCCCGGAAGAACGTATCCGAGTACAGTCCGGCTTTCAACTCCAGATCAGCACTCGTTCTTCACAACTTTCTTATGGGAGATTTGAAGAATCGGCAAGCTGGAGATTGCTCTATGAGAATGATTAGCAGTCTCCGGCTCGACTTGGTGTTGTGGTTATGGCAGACATGAAATGTGTCTAAATAGCGGACCAGTTTGCTTCAGCAGGGCATCAGCGGCGTCAAGACCTGCATCTACCCGCAGGCCATCGCCAACTTTGATGTCGAAGTGAGTGATTAACACTTTCTGATGTTGGCTGACTGTGATCGTTCCATATCTGTGATTGCATGACCATCCTTGACAAGGAGCTCACATCTCGATTACGAGATGTCTCCTTTTCCAGCACTTCATCTCCGGCTTTTCTGGAGCAGAGACTGTACAAGGCAGATAAAGCACCTGACGTCTTGCAGTGGACTAGATTTGATGCGTTGTCAGAGTGAAAGTGCTGAAGTAAATAATCATTTACGCAAAGCCAACAAGTGCTGTCTGAGATCTCCAACTGAAGAGGCGAGGTCTCGCACTTGCCGTCCGTGCGTCATGGTCGGGCAAATAAGGTTTGGCGCCGCTGCCTTCGCCGAGCGCAGAGCCTGCCTCACAAAAAACTTCTGTCTCAGCCAGCCCTTTCTCGTTCATCAACACACGCGCGCACCCCAAACCCTCCTCCCCCTCTCCCTCACAACTCGACAGCGCAACTTGGCTGCACTTACAGAGTGCGCTTCTATTGTCACTCGCAACTCATCAAACTTCCACTCACTTTCGACTCCCAACACCCGACGGTCTCTACCACGCACTCCTCGAACATGTCTTACGGCGGTGGTGGCTACGGCGGCGGTGGCTATGGAGGTGGCCGCGGCGGCGGCGGAGGATACGCTGGCAGTAACGGATACTCCAACGGGTACGACTCATATGGAGGCTACGACACTGGCTCTCGCAGCCGCTACGATCGTCGCAACTACTCTGACGGGTGAGCACGATAATCAAGGCGCTGAGGGCCGTCGTATCTTTCTTCTTTCTGTTCCACAATCTTGACCATGTCTGAATGTATGCTAACATTTTCCAAACAGCGGCAGCAACGGCTACGGCGGTGGAGGCTACGGCGGAGGTGGATACTCGGGCGGCGGAGGCTATGGCGGCGGCGGTAACAGCTACGGCGGCGGTGCTGCTGGCGGCGACCGCATGTCCAACCTCGGCGCTGGCCTGAAGGCGCAGACTTGGGATCTCAACACGATGCCAAAGTTTGAGAAGTCTTTCTACAAGGAGCACCCAGATGTGGCCGCTCGTTCCCCGGCGGCTGTCGAGCAGTTCCGTCGCGACAACCAGATTACCGTTCAAGGCAAGGACGTTCCAAAGCCAGTCGAGACCTTCGACGAGGCCGGTTTCCCGAACTATGTCATGAACGAAGTCAAGCAGCAAGGCTTCGCTAAGCCAACCGCCATTCAATCGCAAGGCTGGCCGATGGCCCTCTCCGGTCGCGATGTCGTCGGTATCGCTGAGACCGGTTCCGGCAAGACCCTGACCTACACCCTTCCCGCCATCGTCCATATCAATGCGCAGCCACTGCTTGCGCAAGGCGATGGCCCAATCGTCCTTATCCTCGCTCCAACTCGTGAGCTTGCTGTACAAATTCAAGAGGAGGTCAGCAAGTTTGGCAAGTCGTCGCGGATTCGAAACACTTGCGTCTACGGTGGTGTGCCAAAGGGTGGACAGATTAGAGACCTCGCTAGGGGCGTGGAAGTCTGCATCGCCACTCCAGGTCGCCTCATCGACATGCTCGAGTCGGGCAAGACTAACCTTCGCCGCGTGACATACCTGGTTCTGGACGAGGCCGATCGTATGCTGGATATGGGTTTCGAGCCACAGATTCGCAAGATTATCAGCCAGATTCGCCCGGACCGTCAGACTTGCATGTGGTCTGCTACCTGGCCAAAGGAAGTCAAAGCTCTCGCCCGGGACTACCAGCAGGACTTCATCCAGGTCAACATTGGCTCGCACGAGTTGGCTGCTAACCATCGTATCACGCAGATAGTCGAGGTCGTTTCAGACTTCGAGAAGCGTGACCGCATGTCCAAGCACCTCGAGAAGATCATGGACGACCGCAACAACAAGATTCTCATCTTCACCGGCACCAAGCGCATTGCCGACGACATCACCCGCTTCTTGCGCCAAGACGGCTGGCCAGCGCTCTCTATCCACGGTGACAAGCAGCAGAACGAGCGTGACTGGGTGCTCAACGAGTTCAAGACGGGTAACAGCCCCATCATGGTTGCTACTGACGTGGCTTCCCGTGGTATTGGTATGATTGCGTCCCCACCCCTTCCCCTCCCCATCCTCGCCCGCCAGTAAGTGCGGGATCTGTCTTGTCGAAGTTGCACTCTGTGCGCTCGGTGTGCACACATAACCATTCGCGTCTAGGGCTGTTTGTGTTCCTTTGTTCTTCAAAGGGTCCTTGGAGACTTTCTCAGTGAAGCCTGGCTTCGCTGAACCTTTCCGTTTCTCTTCTCTCGCACGTCATCTTGTGGAGAAGCGGATCTTGAGTCTTTCAATGTTGCGTTGTGTCAAAGCTGCGCGCGTCCAAGGATCCTACCCGGAGAATGTTTGAACGGCCCCGTGAAGACTGGATGTAAATGTGCCCGCGTGAGCGCGAAGCTACAATGACTCTCTCTCGCCTTGAGAAGAGGTAGCCACCTGAGTGTCGCATACTGGCGCACCCTTGACAGATCTCGCTCGCATCCGTCAAAGGATTGCTATTGCTCCCTCCGACTCACTACATCAAGCACAGCATCTTACTAACATGGTACGCGTCAAAGACGTCAAGGACATCACTCACGTTTTCAACTATGACTACCCGAACAACTCGGAGGATTACGTCCACCGTATCGGTCGTACTGCCCGTGCTGGCCGCACTGGTACCGCCATCACGCTTTTCACCACTGAGAGTAAGTTCATCATACAAATTCACATTCATGATCATCGCTGACATTTCTTCCAGACGCAAAGCAGGCCCGCGATCTCGTCAACATCCTTCAGGATGCCAAGCAGCAGATCGACCCACGCCTCGCCGAGATGGCTCGCTATGGTGGCGGAGGAGGTGGCGGCCGCGGCTTCGGAGGTGGTCGTGGAGGCCGTGGTGGCCGCGGCGGTTGGACCGGTGGGAATAACGCTCCTCTCGGTGGCAACCGTCGCTGGTAGATGGCCTCCATCCACGCATACTTACTGCTTGCATTCTGATTCACGGTCTGGCGTTTCACGAGTAAAAAAGGGAAAGCGGGATCGGTGTTTTTCGTGCAGCATGGGCGATTACCCTCATGGGATTCTACGGCGTTCATGAAAAGAGGTTCAGTAATGAGACTGAGTGTGTTGGTGTACTTTATGCATCAGGGCTGGCGCCAGCAGGAAAGCGCCGCTGCAAGAGCAGCATGGATAAATTGGCTCAGAGTAGAGGTGCATGATTGATTCTCGGAGTGCTGAGGAACATGAGGTTCAATACCATTTCTGCGCCTGATTCATACATGTCGACGATGAACAAAATCAACCAACTCTACAAATCGCCGGGTTGTCACCCAATCTTGCCCAGCATTCTCGCCCGACACCCGAGCATTTTCCTCTACACTTCACCGACTGTTCAGAAGTCGGCATGCTCGGGCGAACAGTATGCTGTCGACCAGACAACAACTGGGGCGATCATGGTCACCGAGTATGCCGCCGCCGCCTCGGTTTTCAATGACCCTTCCCGCGAGCGGAGTAGATGACTAGATGTAGTGATCGACATGGATGGCTCGTCATTTTTCCGTCGACAATCTCAGGTCCTCCAATAGGCAGATGGACGGGTTCTTTGTCGCCTTACTCAGCCAACATTATTTGCAGGAATCTGGCCCACTTGCAGCATTTGCGGCATGAAGTGATTGACATGGTATAAGATTGACATGCCAAGAGCCTGGGCACGAAAGAGGAGATAGGACTAGGGTCTACCCTAACCCTAGAACTGCCATATTGCTAGACTTTGGACTGGTGAATTGAGAAGCTGAGAGAAGACTCTCCAATCTGTCTGGTATGGTGGCTTTCAACAAGGCGGCGTTGGTAGCTGCTGGCATTGCCTCCTCTGCAGCTTACGAGGTTCATGTCAAAGCTTCTGGTGGCAATGTGACTGGCAAGTTCGGGCACCCTTTTGGCTATGGCTTCTTGCACGAAGGTTTGTGAATTTCCAAGTCATTGAGGTGGAGCCCGCATGCTGACAGCGAGTGGCAGACATCAACAACTCTGGAGATGGTGGGATCTACGCAGAACTGATCCAGAATCGCGCTTTCCAGTCCAGTCCCGACTATCCTGTGAATCTGCATCATTACTTCCCAGTCAATGGCGCTCACTTGAGCATCCAAAACCTCAGTGAGCCACTTTCCGATGCTCTACCGTCTTCAATGAGAGTTGCGGCTGGTCACGAGATCGGTTTCGTTGGCTTTAAGAACGATGGGTATTGGGGAATAGATGTGAGGAAGCAGGAGTATTCTGGGTCCTTCTGGGTTCGCGGTGCCTATACCGGAACATTCACGGCAGCTTTGCAATCAAACATCACAGGCGAAGTCTTCGGCAGTGTCGACGTGACTTCAAAATGTGTGGCTGACGACTGGGTTGAGCATGTGTACACGCTCGTGCCAGAGAAGGATGCACCAACCTCAAATAACACATTGACAATCACCTTCGACCCCGCAAAAGCCGACACGGAATACCTGGACTTTAATCTGATCTCGCTATTTCCACCTACCTACAAGGGGCGCAAAAATGGTTTGAGAATCGACATCGCCGAAGCCTTGGCAGACATGAATCCGAGTTTCTTACGCTTCCCAGGTGGCAACATGCTCGAAGGAAGAAATCTCGCTCACTACTGGGATTGGAAAGATACCTTGAAGCCGTTGCGATATCGACCAGGGTTTCAAGGCGTGTGGAACTATCAGCAAACGCATGGTCTTGGACTTATGGAGTATCTTTACTGGGCGGAGGATATGGGTCTTGAGATAGGTGAGGTCGATGACAGCAATAGTCCGGATTAAGTTCTGATCTGAGATAGTTGTCGCTGTCTGGGCCGGCCTCGCGCTTGACGGCAACGTCACCTCTCAGGGCCAACTCCAGCCTTTCATCGACGACGCCTTGAACGAGATCGAATTCATCAGCGGTCCTGCAAGTTCAGAATGGGGCGCCAAGCGAGCAGAGCTTGGCCATCCGGAGCCTTTCGAACTGAATTACGTGGAAGTTGGAAATGAAGACTGGCTGGCAGGTTATCCCGAAGGCTGGAAGTCCTACAAAGAGTACCGCTTTCCAATGTTCCACAAGGCAATCTCTGCAGCTTATCCACACATCCAAGTCATTGCCTCAGCAGCGACATCTGACCCGGCGCCAGAGGGTGAGACTTTTGGACCGAACAAGACTGATGGATATATTTTCCCAGAAGGTGTCATGGGCGATTACCATCCCTACCGAGAACCCAATGAGCTTGTGGGCGAGTTTGATCGCTTCGACAACGACATTGCACATATTGTTGGAGAAGTCGCAGCAACACACGTCAATGGTGCAACTCCGCCCCGGTGGGATCATGGACTCTACAAGTTTCCATGGTGGATTGGTGCTGTCGGCGAAGCAGTTTCTCTCATCGGCTATGAGCGCAACTCCGATCGCATCCCCGGCACGTTCTACGCTCCCGTGCTCCGCAACATGAACCGATGGCAGTGGTCGATTACGTTGCTACAATATGCTGCCGATCCCAAACTCACGACGAAAGCTGTCACTTGGTACTGTTGGTCCCTATTCGCACACCACCCCATCACGCACACGGTCCCGACGACTTCCGATACCAGCTATGGTCCACTATACTGGGGCGCTGGAAAGGACGAGAGAAGAAATGCGTTCGTGTGGAAAGGTGCGGTATTCAATACTACCAACGGCAGCGATGTCCCCGTAACCGTCTCCTTTGAAGGCGTCGAGAAAGGCGCACACGCCAACCTGACGGTCCTCACGAATCCTGGTGGCGATCCATACGCCTACAACGATCCTTTCACAGGAATCAATATCGTACACACCAATACCACAATCCTCACCGCCGGACTTAAAGGTTCCTTCACGTTCTCCATGCCACAGCTCAGCGTAGCCGTCCTAGACACCGACTCGACCGCAGAAGGTGGATAGTGATACTATGGCCATGGAAAACCACCTTCGAAATCCTAACGCCATGGACGCGCGCTATAAAATAAATTCCACATTCTCAAAAAAATTTTCAACTCATGAATCATCCATCGTACTTTACCATCCTCCCTCCCTCACCCTCCTCCAAAACCCCGCCCCAATCTTTTTTTTCCTCTCACACTATCTATCCACATACTTCGGAAATTCTTGACTTTTCTGCTTCTTCTAATCACGCCTTGTTTTTTTTTTTGTTTCAATCGCTTCGTCTATATCTTGCTGTATGAACTTTTCTGTCCTGTCCGGGGTTTAGGTCGATAAAGTTCGTGTGCGAATTCTGCGGAGTTTCGACGGCCGGGTGGTTTGTTTTTTTTTTTTTTTTTGGTGGGGAAGTTTGAGGACTCGGGGTGCTTTCTTCGTGTTGGATGGGATTTGAGGAGCTGGGTCGTGATGGTGGTGCTGGAAGATGAGGGTTCGAGGGGAGCGAAGGCCGGAGAGGAGCTTTGCTTTGGTTTTTTTGCGGTATAGGCGTTGAAAAAGTTTTTTTTTTTGGCTTTGGATTTTTTGATTGCTTGGTTGGTTGGTTGAGGTGCAAACGTAATATCTGATCGCGATGGTTACTGTATCGGCCGAGTAGGTGTTGGGAATCGATAGACTCTGGGAGGGAGACGCGAGCGTTGGCTGGATAAGAAGTAAGTTGCAAATTTCAGACTTCATCAGACTGTAGCGATGGATGTTGTTGAAGGTTATTAGGTAGCATTGACAGAGCGGCTAACTGGCTCAATGTGGAGCTTGCAGTGGAGAAAGTCAGGAAAGGTCCTTCTCAACAGATCGTCCAGTGGTTCACTGATGTCTTCTTCTACCCTCCTGCCTTGTAGCATTCTGGCGACTTGGCATTCTTTGGCAGGCCGCCGACGGACGAAGCGTGGCACGAATGAGTTTATAGCCATCATAATACGATTGAGAGATTCCAGCATGCTGCGTCGTAGCTCTATCATCGACAGAGAGATTTGCTGTTTATGTCCTTTGTGCTATGAACAGTGGTGAGTAGTCATATCTCTTATCCGGGAGAGCGTGACATATCAACGATACATGTAGACCGGCATACATCCACAAATACCAAACCGACACAAAGCTCCAGTTCACCCATTTAATCCAATCTCGGCTGTCTTATCATCCACACCCTCATCCCCTCCTCCTCAACATACTCCTCCTCCCATCCAAACATCTTCATATCAACCAAAATCCTCTCAACCTCCACAAAACCCGACTTTCCATACAGCGCAAGACCCTTCGGCGTCGACTCCAGGGCAAGTGGAACTCCCCATCGATCTGCCTCGTTCATCGACCACTGGATCAACTTCGAACCGATCCCTTTACCTTGAAATTTTGGATCGACGAATAAGAGGTCGACTTCTGCGAAGAAAGGAAAAAGAAAAAAAGTATTAGTGTCGCGTCATGACCTTGTGGAAAGTTGGTGGCAGAACGCACGAATATACCCCTTCCCAACAAAACTCCTCCTCACCAAATTCCAAGAGTTAATAATAAAATATCTTCGTAAGGGCCAATTCCCTCCTTTAGGCCAGTTATCCGGTGGAGGGGAATTCTCACTCAAGGGTGAAATCTCTGTGGCGTTCTTCTCAGGATCTAAGCAGAACTTGATTTCCGAAGCTCCAACTATCTGTCCGGTTTCTTCGTCGATGGCTTTTAACAGATGAGTGTTTGGATCGTGTAATTCTTGGAGTTTTCTGGAGGAGTAGAAGGTGTAGACGTCGGGTTGGTAGCCGTTGGGCCATAGGATGGGAATTCGGGGATGGGAGCGGAAGGCTTCGAGTTCGATGTGGACGAGCGAAGGAATGTCCTTTTCGATGGCGGGGAGGATTGAGATTTTCATGTTTTCGGTTTTCTGGATGGGACGGGATAGTTTGGGAGTGGCTTGGCGTGGTACAATGCTTGCTTTGAAGCTAAAGTATTTGGCTCGAAATTCTGAGTTCGGATTGAGTCATCGACAGGGTGGTTCACGAGATGGCACGAGCTGTCGGGCCTCGATGATCACCGCGCTATTCCGTAAGCTGCTCACTTGTGATACACAAAATCAACAACTTGTATAGGGCGCGCAGGTGTGTAGAGGCATTCGACGACTTTCGAATAGATATTACTGACTGGCTGTTGCAATTGACTCGTCCAATGCGATGCCGTCTTGCACTGCATTCTCGCCGCAAGTGTCTTCGCCGTCATGGTTATCGTCATATAGCTGCTCCTCGTCAACCATGCGATACACTTCAGGAAGTCGTTGCCGCACGTGCTCTAAGCCATATTTCGCAAGGAAACGGTCTAGCTTGTCCACGACACTTGCCTCAACATCGGGCAGCTCAGCCAAGCGCCGCACAGCCCATTCAACCATACCTGTTGGCGTTAGGTCCCTTTCGCTGTCCGCATCGCTGGGCGGATCAGCATGGATTTCTTGACTACTTCTTGCTTCGTCAAAGCCAGCAGCTTCAAATTCCTCGAGGGCCTTGCCAAGTATAGTGAAGACAGTTCCAGCGTTGGGTATCACTGCACCATACACCACTAGATCCCCTGCTCTGCTTCCATCAATGTTGACTACTATCCGCTGGCGTTTGATACTGGCCATGATTTCGGGGCGGAATCGCGGCACTTGTTTCTTGGCTCGCCTGTGACGAGTGAACACAACTCCCGCGTCGATAGATCTTCGTACGGCGTGAGGCCAAAAGATATCCAGGAGGTGACGACCTGCTCGGGAGCCATAGGCTTTTACCACGCCGTCTAGGATGATGTTGAAGTCTCTGGTTTCCAAATGGAGGTCGTGATGACCTCGATAAACACGAATTCCAGAGCAGAACCTCGCCCAGGATTGATCGACTGCAGCGAGGACTGTGAGCACTGACTGCATGGGAATAAGCCGTTCTTGCTCTATAGTCGACCATCCGTGATAACGGAGAGCCAACATATCCGTCATGATATGCTTGGCGCGATCTAGGTGCTGTTGTGATTCAGGATCGCCAGATTCCGATTGTCTGGCGAGGACGAGCACGTGTCTAATGAGCTGGGCGAGATTTGTCATGTCCCACTTCGATCCCCTCGTGGTAGCGAGATGCGAGAGAACACGAGTCGCAGCGTCCCAGCGGTACATTCTGAATTGCGTCGAGATGATACTGCGCATTGAGCGTCTCGACAGCTTCAGTTGCTTGAGATTTTCCAGTAAGACTTTGTCGTCGGTCTCTGCGGCTAAGCGCACAATTCCCGGCTGCACAAAAGGATCGTCATACAGGGATACCGGTATGACTGGGCCATCGATGTCAGTGCTGTACAACAGCCAGTGACCAAAATCAAAGGCTTCTGCATCGCATACCAGTTCAAGAAATGGACCAAGTATGTTTGGAGGGATCTGGACGTTGAAGGTCGGGTAATCGATGCTACTGAGATTGCTTGTGAATAAGCCATGCTGTTGCAACGAGCGGAAGAGAGAAGACGCCGGCTTTGGGGGCTTGATATTCTTGCCGAGCAGATTTTCGCGGTCCGTGCCAAAAAATGTGGTTACAGAGCGGCTCTTGTCCAGGTCGGTCAATTTCTGTATCATAGAAAACACCTCGAGCGCAGACTCCAGGTTGTTTGCTGAGATTTGGCCACGAAGGGATCGGTGCAAGAGCCCCAATGACGCCGCAGTTCCATCCAAAACGTAAGCAGGCAGGTCGTTGGTATTGCTGCCATACAGACTTTGACCAAAACCTCCGCCAGCAGACGAGTATATAGCGGATCGTAGTAAAACGTGGTCGTGTTCTGGAGTGATGCTGCCCAGCTCAAGCAGGCGAATGATGACCGATTCCCACGTTCCAAAGCTCAGATTCTGCCGGCTTTGCAGCAAGAACCACTTCAGCTCAGCCAGAACAGTGACCACTTCATCAATTTGCATGCCACGTGTGCCGACACCAACGTCTGCACTGGTCGCAACAGCATCGATGTACGCACTGACAAGCTCCCCGCTGATAGTCCGCTCGATAGACTGCTTAGGCTCAGGAGGTGCATCCATTGAGGAGGTCGAACGCGTTTTGAAAAGATACTCCCACGCACTCCACTCCTTTGACGTGGTTGCCGCCTCTGGCGGTAGCTGTTTCTCGTATTGTGCCCATGAAAGAGGCTTCCATTGCCGCGATTTGACAAGCGCCTGGAGGATCTCAACGCCTTGTCGAATCCAGCCACCATGTAGGCACGACCACAGAATGAGCTCCATCCAGACTTCAGGCCGCAAGCCTGCGACATTAACACGATAAGCTGACCCCAGGAGCTCGGGTCGAAGAGAGGAGAACTCGCTTCCCGTGGCCTTGGCTTCCTCTATGACCAGTTTTTGGTGCGCTCTCCACGCGGCGTCTGACAAGGATGTCAAGATCCTGGAAGACAGCAGCGGTAGCAAGGGCGGCTGCTGAATAGTGCTTTTGTCTGGATTGGCGTTGGCCTGGTAGATTGACATTGGCATGACTTCTTGGTGGTGCAGATAGGCTATGATCTCCAAGACCTCGGATCGGATCTCGCTCCCAGTACAGGCCTGGGTCATGGCGCCCAGAGTCCTCCAGACTTGCCCAAGGGCATTGTGGGCGATGACTTCTAGAGGCATTGTGTTCTCTTTCGTAACGGTGAGCTCATCCAGTGTAGGGCGGCGTGATGATCCAGGTCCAGGCGATACACCAGGTAGTTCCACGTTGACCGGCCCGTTGGTCATTCTGTCGGTCAAGTCTGCCAAAGACCTGTCTGCGGACTGCCACGCACTGCTCATATGCGCATATTTCGGACTGCGGCCATGTCGTGCGGGGAATTTGTCGACGAGCTTTTTGATCAGCCACACGACAGCATTCCACCTGTTCTGATGGATGCCCAAATGGTAGAGGATATCAAAAGCCTCGTCGTCACGATTCCTGGGGTACTGCGCGGCCCAGAGAATTTCGGCGACCTCACCGGCACTCAATGTCGATGCAGGCGGCGTGACCTGTGGATCTCTCAGGTGCGGAGGCAATGCACCATCGATCAATGCGGCCCAGGCATCAATCGTTCGCTCAGGCCGAGATATTTTCTCAAAGACACTATCTCCATGTCGTCGGATGCGGATGGTGCCGAGTGGTGCAGGACGTGGTGCGGCAGTGTGAAAAGGTGAAAGTGCGCCGCGACGTGCAGGCAGCCTGCTGGACGGCCATTGCCATACTCGCGATGCAGCTGGACGCAGCCCCCGGGCGGTCCATCTTCTCATTGGCGCGTTATCATGATCGAGGGGAGAGTGGCAGAGGCGGACAGAAAGGCAGAGGCCTTGGCGAAGGGATTTGTGGTGACGTTCCCGAGTCGCGAGGGCGACGCGAACACGGACCAGGCTCGCGGTTGAACTTCGGCGGCAGCCACGGTAGCCTGAACTCTCGCTCCACGCCTCGCCAGTCGCGGACACACTGCAGCCTTCTACACTACTGTAGGTAATAACTTTTCGCCCTGCAGCGCGACTTCTCCATAGCAACAACCAAAGATGCCGGGCAACTATCGCGTTGGTGAGTGGTGTGCTTCTGTCAGCTGCAGAAATTCGCACCAAGCTGATATTCGACAGAACTCGCACCCTCGGCGCGCGCAGCATGCCAGCAGACAACCTGCAAGAAGGAAGGTATCAAGATCCAAAAAGGCGAGCTCCGCCAGGGCGTCTTGGTCACGATCAGGGAGCACGATACAATCAAGTGGCGCCACTGGTACCGAAGCCTCATTGGCAATCTCTGTTCACTCTGTCTGACCTTTGTAGGGGCTGTGTTACGCCATTAGTCCTCAGCAACTGGAAGGACGTGTCTGGTGGCGACATGGATCTGATCGATGGCTACGACGAGCTTCCAGCCGATGCACAGGAGAAAGTAGAGCGCGCTCTGCAGCAGGGTCATGTCGACGACGCTGATTGGAAGGGCGTGAGTCACTTCTTGACCACTATTCTACACTATATCTGACTGACACCACCTCAGGACATCGAGTTGAACAGACTGGAGAACAATCCAAAAGGGGGCCTATTCTTCACAGCCGCACAGAAGAAGAAGATGGCCAAGGAGGCAGGCGAGGTGAGCTCAGTCTCGATCAACGTCTGGATATACATTGACCACGTGCAGGACATGGACCAAGATGATGCGCCAAAGAAGAAGACGACCAACAAGCGCAAGCAGGTCGATAGTGACGATGAAGCTGAGGACAAGCCTGCACCGAAGAAGCGTGGTAAGAAGGCTAAGGTCGAGGAGGATGCTGTCGAGGAGCCTTCCAAAGCACCTGCCAAGGCCGCTGTTGACGACCAGGCAGACGGTGAAGCTCCTGCACCCAAGAAGTCCAGAGCTAAGAAGGCAAAGCCAGTCAAGACCGAGGATCCGAGCGACGACGTTGACGAAGCAGTGCAGCCTGGCGAGTCCGAGGACGAGATGCCGGCTCCGAAGCCAACTGCCAAAGCAACCAAAGCCAAGGGCAAGAGCAAGGCTGCTAAGAGCAGTGATGCAGAGCCAAAGCCTCAACGCAAGGGCAGAGCTCGTAAGGCTGCCGTTGAGGATGAAGACTAAGCTGCACCTACCCTCCCTCTATCAGTCTGGATGCGAAGAAAAAAGCACCCTATTTACTCGTACGATAATCTGCACGGTGGACTCTTGCACATCTACGGCCTGCAAGTATTTCTATCTGCATCGATGCAAGTGCCAGGCGGGCATGACAGCGCGAGGTTGTTCAAGTCCGCAGCGAAAAGCAGAGCATGTTCTTATTTGTTAGCACGATACCCAGCGATATATCGCTTTGTTTTGAGGAAATCAATCATTCAACACCACGACAGACGTAGCTCTCGAGTGCTTTCAAAGGAGCCAATTCCTGATCCCTGTGGCCAGTGCTAGATGTCTGCGATACGCGAACTGGTCATAATAAAGCGCCCGCGACTGCCATGAGCAGGACTCTGTTGTCAATACCACACAGTCACAATGCACGAGATATCATCGCGTCACGACTCACGAAATATAGGGTTCGCGATCAGATCTGCTGAAGATCGGATCGCAAAGCCTAAATCTGCCTCCCTAGTCTGTGCATCTGTGCCCGCGCTAGGCTCTTTCGCCGACGTCGATAATGTCTAGTCCTCTTCACAAGAACGCTTTCTCCACGACTAACAATCTAGGTATCTATCAGCAGAATGAGACACGGATGTAAGTCTCAAGCGTCTAGACAGTAACTTGAATCAGACTCACTGCTTGCTATTCATGATCATTGCCGACATGCATGCGAAGCCTGTCGATGTTGCTCGATCTTGAGTATGTATTTCTCGAAAGCTAGGCTAGAAAAGGGTAAGAATATACTGAAGTGTTTGCTTGGTTAGGTGAATCCGGTCTTAAGGGTTGTTGGAGAATTGCTGACGTTGAATTTGTCGGCGTTTGAAATGGCATGTCCATCCCCGAGTTGCGTTCTTGCGATGCGTAAACCTGTCATACCGCCATCAATCTTCGTAGCGGCTGTGCTCACTAGACGCCGTGCATGTCCTTAAAACGCAGAGCGCCATGTTATGCTGCAAAGGTATCAGCGTTTTCGAAACTCCTTCGATCTATTGCGATCTCTAGCCATCGTCAGTCAATTAGTCTGGGCCAAACTTGTGCCCCGTCACGCCGGATATCACGTGATGTTTGCAATCGCACAGTAGCTGCTCGCCATCGGGAACCAAACGGAACGGCGAGAGACAACCTATCAATGCATGGCCAAGTTCGCAGAGGAAGGCATTGCGGTGACGTGTCGTTATCAGTGCAAACATTTGTCCCGAAAAAGTGCAGCGCACGCTCATTGTATTTCCACAGCACTGGTGTTGGCTCTTTGCTTCACCGTAGTATGTTACACGTCCTCTTCCCAGTCTCCCTCAACGCATCTAATGGTGACCATGGGCCTCTTCCTCTTCATCCTCCTCAACAAACCAATCCTGAACTGGAGCAGACTCTCCCGCGCTTGCCTGACCTGCTACTTCTGGTGTCTGCTGCTCGTATGCCTGGAGGTCGTTCTGGAGGTCGGCCTCTTCTGGTGATGGTGGTGGCTTTGGGACGGTAAACTTTTGAACTTGGCCTTCGGAATCATTGGCCTTGAGCGGAGCTGGCTTGTAAGCCTTGAGCTCCTTGAGGTACATATCTTGCACGAGATCCGCTGGAGCTATTGTTAGTCATTGGCGCAAATTTTAGCTTGCTATTGTCGTTGCGTACCCTGCCTCACTGCGGTGGGCGTGATGAAGGTGCGGCGGAGGGTGACGGCATTCTGGCGCAGGGCGGCTCTCGCGAGCGATTGGGACTGCCAATGTCAGTATTGTCAGGAGCACCAATGTGTATAGATACCTACCGAAGCCCTCAATGTCTGGCCGAGCATGATTATGGAGTGCGAGGGGTGCGGATGGCGTGTCGGCTGCTCTGCAAGCAAGCTCGTGAACGAGGTCTTCTTCAAGTCGGTCTCCAAAGTGGCTAGCGCCGCGGCTTCACCCGAGCCGACACCCGAAGGCAGCGAGGCAGCGAGGCGAAGTCAAGAGTCTTCGCCAGCCTTCTACACTTCTCATTCTCAACCCTCAACCTCCCTCTGCACCGCGAGTCCCAGATATCGCTGTCGCACACGCCGAAATCGAGACAAACACTTCGTCACACTCAAAAAGTTGCTGGCAACTGATTTTAGCGAGCCGACGGCGCCCTTCTACGGTCTTTCTGCGAGATTGCGACACCAGCTGAGTCGCACGCTCAAGGACACCTTCACTGGTTGAAGACCGGACCCAACGTGCAAACACCCTCGTTCACCACCTACCCTCACGCTCATCGTCACCGCAAACGCGAGTCGTCCCATCCGACAAGCACAAGCACCGCGAACATACCGCGCGCAGGTCACCGAGCGTGAGGTACGTGGAAAGTCCCCTCCCCTCCTACGTAGCAGCAAGCATTTGCGCCTTTGTGCGAAACAAATAAAGAAAACTTTCGTACCCTTCGCTTTCCGGAAGCAAATCACCTTCACTGCAGTTTGCTGTTCACTCCCTTCTTCCCTTCACATGCGCCGTCGCTAACACGAGTGTCCTTAGCTGCGATCACTCAGACGCGCCTTTGTCCATCATTTAGTTCTCAACACCGCCAAAACGTATTCTCCACTCTTCATCCGCTGCTACGCAAAGAACCACAAGCTACAGAAGAGTTCCAAAGGTATCAAGAAGCGAAACACCGCGCGCTTCGTGGAGACAATCAAGAGCTCTTTCCCGATCCGCAAGCCGCTCGAGGCGATGACTCAAGGGTTGTCTCCGGGAGCGATCCCAGAGGCACCCAAGATGCCGGTAGAGGAAGAGTGGCACGAGAACCTCAACGTCCGCTTGATGTGCCGCGACTGTCGCGAAGATCCACCAGATCTCCGCGAGGACCACGCCAGCGGCGACCTCATCTGCGGCAGCTGCGGACTCGTTTTGCAGGAGCGCTCCATCGACACTAGCAGTGAATGGCGCACCTTCTCTAACGACGATCAGGGCAACGACGACCCTAGCCGTGTCGGTGATGGCCCGAACGCTCTTCTGAACGGTGCCCAGCTGAACACCAGCATCGCGTTTGGCGATGGTGGCATTCGCAGCAAGGAGCTTCACCGCGCCCAGAACAAGGCGAATCTTGACAAGGGAAATAAGACCCTTCTTCAGGCCTACAAGCAGATCGGCGCTCTCTGTGATGGGTGGCAGCTTCCCAACAGCGTCTCAGACACGGCCAAGCACATCTTCAAGGATGCCGATGAGAGTCGTCTGTTCAAGGGCAAGTCTCAGGAGGCTCTGATTGCGGGATGCGTCTTCCTCGCCTGCCGTCGCAACAATGTCGCGCGGTCCTTCCGCGAGGTCATGGAGCTGACGAAGGTCAGCAAGAAGGAAATTGGTCGTACGTTCAAGCTCCTCGAGAACTTTTTGATGAACAAGGAAAAGGACAAGGGCGCTTCTGGCGCCACTTCTATGGTTGCAGGAGGTAAGCTAACATAATCTACGCATAGGCGTCATCCGGCCATTGATTCACATGCTAACACTTTCAGGTACCGTCGTCTACAACGAGCAGTACAAGGGCAGCACAAGCTCCGACCCGGCCGATCTCTGCCAGCGCTTCTGCAGTCAGCTCGATATGGACCAGCGCACGACCAACATGGCCATCGCGCTTGCAACGCGTATGGGCGTCACTGGTGTCCTTGCTGGACGTTCGCCACTGTCCTCTGCTGCTGCCTGTATCTACATGGCTGGTCAGCTCATGGGTCAAGCGAAGAATCCGAAGGAGATCCAGGCCGTTGCCAAGGTCAGCGACAGCACCATTCGACACGCGTACAAGCTGCTGTACCTGGAGAAGGACAAGCTGATCACCGAGGAGATCATCGGTCGTGGTGCCGACCCCGAGAAGTTGACCAAGCCATCTTAGAAAGGTGGTCGAGATGATTCAGCTTCCTCGGCAGTCCCACCAACACCCGCTTGTGACGGGCCACCGCCTGTCCACACACCTGTCCGCTACTTCTGAGGGATAGCCGTGATTGGCTCAGACCCATCGAGTTATGGACTTTTGAGTCGCGATTACTCACGATTTGCGACTTCTTCCCAGTCACGGAAGCTTTCTGTCTGCGACTTTCCGCGACTACAACACGAATAGCAACACTTGCTAGCACTGCATCATTTCGATCGCATCGGTGTGCCTCACGGCTTTACTTCTGACTTCACTGTCGAAGGCTGATTGCAGCGATCCTCACCCTCACTACATGGCTCTGCTATGTTGCTCTTTTATGGAGCTGGGACTGGTTATTGGAAAATTTCTTCTTCGAACATTGTGTTATACAGAGCGATTTGCTCATCAAGGGCTAAAAAGCACCGGGATGGGATTATGGTTGGGAGCGTTCACTGCGATGCTTTCTCAGATTGATTAAAATGCATGCTATCTCACGATACCCCGAGAATGGTCATGTTTTGAATTTTTGCTGAAGCGTTCGTTGTATTTGCTACGGATAGACGAGACAATGAAGTGCGATAATGGTGCGATACGCTGTCCCTTCGACGCTCCGCCTGGTTCCCATGCTTTCCTTTCCAGGTGCTTCATATCCGAGCATCTCCATACCAGGGGATGAATCACATCACAACGGACATGTGAGCCTGCGCTTTCTCGTGCGAGAAATCGAGCCGCAACCGTCCCGACGTGGACCCAAAATGCAACTTCCCGTTCGGTACTCCTTGTAGCAGACACAGACCACCTTGAAGCTGGAGCCACACATGGGCCGGATCTCCTTTGCAGATACAACCTTGTTGACCACGTTTCTTGACAGGATAGTGCGACATTTGACACCTGCGCCTTCACTCCCACACCTCTACTACATCCTATACCTCGTCTATGCGACTTCCAGATTCGGCGACCAGCGCACGGAATCCCCATGTTGCCGTAGACGCTGGAGTGCTCTTGCGAAGACCAAACCATCACATCCACAGACCATGAGACATACATGATCATATAACATGTGCGATTACCACAATGAGAGATCAGAGGTGACGTTCTCGGGGCAGACGGCAAACCGTATCTACAAAATCCATGCCTCGGCATGACGTTTTGATTCGCTCCATCTACATCTTCTACTAGTGTTTATGTGGCTCGAAGAGCCACAAGTGAAGGACGAAGTGCTATAAGTGAAGGCCGAAGAGCTATAAGTAAAGGCTAAGGCGACGAGCGGGGTAGGGTAAGCTAGATTCTAGAAGATTCTACGGCGGCTATAGCCGTGCCGCGCTAGGTAATAAGGCGGAAATCGTTATAAATCGCGCTTTATAAATCGCGCGCCTTTCTAATAATAACTTCTTCTACTTATTACTACTTACTACTACTACTACTACTACTACGACTCGTTACTACTCCTCTTCTATCTTTACTAAGCTAGATACTATACCTACCCCCTATACTAGCCCTATAGAAACCCCGAGTAAGATCTCGAGCGCTACCGGTAAGTTTAATATTATTACTAAACCTTTATAACCGCGTCGCTAATAGTATTAGTCGCTTAAGTATTTAAGAGTAAGGAGGTTATCGATCTCGCTAGTACGTCGTCTAACGAGTCTCTACCTCGCTCTACAAAGCGAGTTCTATCTAAGAAGACCGGCTCTAAGAGGGTCGCGACTCTAGTAAGTCTCGTTTATAAATACTGTTACTAGATATACTAACCCTTAAAGCTCGTTATAGGCGAAGTCTTCGTATATTTCGTTAGTAGCGTAGTACGCCGCCTTATATTCTACTATACCGTCGTCCTCTAAGAGGGCTCTAAGACTATCGAGTACTAGTAGCCGCTAGGTACCTCTACTATAAACGTATAATCGTACGCTATACTCCTAGGATCCGATTTTACCTAGGACTTCGGGGCTAGCTCTCCTTTCGTCTAGATAGAACCTAGCAATCGATTTGCTATAGGAATCTATATCGCCGCTGCTCGGAAGAACGCGATAATCTAAGAATAGTATACTAATTAAGAAGTTAAAAGTTAGAAAAGGCGAGAGGAAATAAGATAAGATATACTATCTACGCTATAGGGCGCGGACCGATATATATACTCTACGGAGGTTAGTTAGCTCTCCGCAAAAAATAAAATCTATAAAGTAACTTACAATCTTCTCCTTCCTATTTTTATCTCGTCTGCCCGTATAATAGATATATACTAGGCCTATAATATCGGTTAGCGAAGCTAGTAATATTCAATCTCGCGTTTCTTAGTACGTTACCGCCGTTATTACTATTCGTATTATAGTCGGTTTAAAATGTATACCTAATCTAGTTAAGTCCGCTCTACTACCGCGACGACTTCTATACGAGCTCGCTTACTATCTGTTTTCCGTATATAACCGCTTGTAATCTCGCTAATACTCTCGTAATATATGTCTCGAATATACTACGTCGGAAACGTAGGAGAATTAGAATATAATAATTCCGCTAGAAACTCGAAGAGTTACTAGAGCTATACTTCGCTTATACTTCTCCTAAGTTCTTCCGCTTTCTAAGACACTTCCGGGGTAAAGTCGTATTCCTACTAGCAGCTAGTATCCTTAGTAGAGATAGTCTCTTAATGTTCTAGAGTGCCCTCTTCCTATTCGTACTCCGTAGATAGAGGTCGAGTGTTCGATTTCGAAGCCCGCCCGCTATCTTCGAATTCTAGTAATACTACTCTCTTCCGGTTATAGTTTATATAGCTAGTATAGCTCCTAGGATCTCCTCTATAAGCGCAATTACTATATAGTAGCTTTAGCGCTAGGTTATAGGAATAACGGCACCCTTCGAAATAACTACGGTTAGATTCGTAAGTTCTATATTTCGAAGGAAAGGGACAGTTTAGTATAGCGCAACTTCTAGCGTCTACGCCGAGGATATAGACTAGCGCCGCTCGCCTCGCTCTCTTATCGGTACCCTTCTACGTTACGCCTTCTCCTAGTATATATATATAGCCCTCTCGAAATACTAGATCTCGCCCTTTACCGCTTACGATTTTCTTTGCTAGCGCGTAGTCCGTAGTTCTAGTTTCCTAAATTTCACCTTTTTAATATACTTCTACTACTGCTTATACGAACTGTTGCGCGTAATCCTTTCCTACTTTAGGTACAATATTAAGGCTCGACATTATATTAGCGCTAGGAATATAGTAGAGAATCCGAAGAGAAAGGAGGATAACTAAGAGAACTGCCGGGAACTTAGCTTATATAGATAGGGGATAAGCGGCTAAATAACAAGGTTCTCGGTGCCTCGGAGAAGTAGTAATATGCTAACCGTATTTAGGTAGCTAAACTCTATACCTAAAGAGAAAAAAATACTAGTACGGATAGAGAAGTTTTGTATATATATATTATAGAGAATAACAACTAATCGCAGCCTAAAGGTCTTCTATATCGAAGTCGAGATCTGCGTCTTAAAGCATACTAAGGATCTTAGCTTCTTGTTTATATGCGACAACCGGAGTCTTTGCCTTAGTAATATCGCCTAGCCTTAGAGTGCGAGGTAGCGTTAGAGCGTATAGTATCGAGGTCGGAGTAGAGACTTAAGTACGGGATATAGGCTTCGAGAGCAATACGGGTTGTCCGGATAGTCGCTTCCTAGAGAACGAAGGACCTAGAATAGGCGTAGTGTCCTTAGAAATCTATTAGATTGTACGCGCCGCAAATACGGAACGAGGTATTAGTATAGGTACTAGCGTAGGTAGTATCGACGAGGCCTTAGTTAGATCTGCCTACGTAATCTCCTTCGAAGGTATTATTTTGCCTATAACTTGTGTTATCTATTAGGCGTTACTAGGACCTAGGGCTAAGTTCTAGAGGTAGACTAAGGAGTCGTCTAGTTAGTATCTAGGAAGTTCTACGAATAACGGTCGGCGCGAAGTTTTCGCTAGTACTATAGTTAGCGTAGTTTCTCGCTAGCTTAGCTATCGTCCGACTCTAGTGTCGACTAACGTCCTATCTTCGTCGTTACCTAGTACGAATGCCCTAGGACCCCTTTCTACCCTACGCGGAAGGCTGCTATCGCTACCTGCTTCGCGGTCTAGACCCGCAAAGTTTCGAGTATACTAGTTAGGCTCGTCTTCGGGTTCTATAGCGTCTCGAGTAGAACCGGTAGGCGGTTTAGCGATTTCGGGAACGTACGCTCGAGGTACGTAGTTAAGTATACCCTACGGGCGTCGCGGTTGCTACGCTAGTCCGGTAGAGCTAGTAGGTATAGCGTATATCGCTCCGCGTAATAGGACGTTCGAGGTTATACCTATAAACAGACTTCTATCCTTAAAAATAAAGTCGTAGAGACGCTTAGGTAGATGTAATAGAGCCGAGCGAAATACCTTGTTTAGGGAGTCGCCGCCCTACGTTAAAGCATACTTTCCGTTAATAAGTACGCGGAGGTTGTATACGTCCGTAACGCGTAAGAATGCTACGAAGAGTTAGCTATAGCTAAATACGGGCCGTCGAAGGTCGATGCCGATATATACTAGGGATTAACCCTAAGATTTATTTATCGTTATTACGAAACAAGGTCGAAGCGGAAGTTAATATCGCTTAAGGGTAAACGGTAGGCCTTTGTTCAAATGTATCTAGATTCGCGGTATCTAGTACACTTCCTAATTATCGTCGTCTAGCAGTTTCCGAACTTTAACCCCGAACTAGAGTGTTTTTACGACGACAACCCGCGTTCTATTTACGAGTCCTACGGTCTTATAGATGTTCCGTATAATTATTATTAGTATACCTATCCGGATCCGCAGGTAAGGAATCTAGAGCTCGGTATTCTAGATAGATTTTAAAAGGCTTAAGATTTCCGGAGGCTAGTCTTTGTCGCTAGGCAACTTCTCTATCTTATCCTCGTAGCGATATTCGCGAATTGTACCGTATAGTAGGTCGTCTACGATACGTTCGTTAATCTCGTAGGCGGTATCGTTCGTTATATAAAGGATAGCTCGAGAACGATAGAATACTAGGTCGTACTTAGCCTTAATAATACCTTGTCTTAGAAAGACGAAATCGATAAGCTCGCTAAGGTCCTAGACTCTTCCGACGTATATTAGTAGCTTAATAAATCGATCGAATACGTCGTCGTATATAATACAGAGGGTTTAGCGGTAGAAGTCGACGTTCCGCGGATTGCTATCTACGAGCCGTATATTTTACTAGAGATAGAGCACCTTAATCTTGTTCTAGATTAGGAAGGCTTTAAATGTAATCGCTATTACGTCTGCTTCCTTCGAAGACTTCTTATACTCGGGAAGCACTAGAAGAGTCTATGCCTAGTCGCCGCCGAATACGACGGGGACTCCCGCGAAGAATAGTTCGTTACCCTAGCCGTTACTACCTAATCGTAACTTGTAAAAGAGTCGATATATAGCTATAATATCGCGTCTATTCTATATCGCGGCTTCGTTCTAAATAACTAGATAAGTCTTTCGGATTAGCTTAGCGTCTATTATGTCTTGCGTAATAGGACAGTCCTACTGCCCGGTATTGCTTAAAGGAAGTTTAAATCGGGAGTGCGCTATACGACTACTAGGAAGCAGCTATGCGGCGATACCTAAAGACGCGATATACAGTACGATAAGGCTACGTGCTCTATAGGTCGCTACGAGTATATAGTATAGGAACGTCTTCCCGTAGCCTCCCGGACCTTAGATAAAAAAGTGCGCCGTTAACGGATTCTAGTCGATGTCGTTCGTAATATCGGTAAAGGCTCGCCTTTAACCGTTATTAAGAAGGTAGGCGTTTTGTTATACGTAGAGTTTGTTCCCGTCTTCGTTTCCTATATCGACTAGCGCTTCTTCTTAAGCGATAGCGTTATTGCTACTATGCATTTTCGCCTACGAAGGATCGGGACTCGGCAGTCTATAGCCCGATACCTTATATCCGTTAGTAACTAATTCGGTATATAGCTACTACTTACTATAACTTTTAGTAGTAGCATTCATCTTCTTATACCTTCCTACGTACCCTCCGCGCCGCAGTTCGATATATAGATCTTTATATATATCCCTCTATAGAAGACTCTACTATCGCGTAGAGTCGGCTCCGGATATCGTATCCGTTAGGATAAGTAGCACGAATATAAGACGCAATTGTCGGGAGGTGTATATCTTCTCGGCCTCCTAGAACGTATCGAGCTATTTATCTTCCGATCTTATAAGACTAGATGCAATCGCCGCCGCTCGAAAGCTCTTATATACGGTGCCGCTATATGTCCTTAAGTCGTAGAAACATTTAGTACCCCGAACGATATAGAGCAATTTAATTAAGTATAGCATCTCGCCTTTAGGACGTAAAGGCGGGTTAAAACGCGCGATAGAGTGCACTACGCGCTTAGAACGTTTCTTCTACGCTTTATTATATAGCGTATAGTATTTTAGAAACTTAAGATACGTTAAGCGCCGGTAAGACACGTCGTTGTCTAGTAGCAACGCGTTGTACCGAAACTACGCAACGAGCGTAGTACGTTATCGTCTATCGCCGCGCAAGTCCGCTATCGTCGCGTTATAGTTAAATACGATATTACCCCTAGGGCGCGGTAGGTAGACGTCTAGTCGAATAACCGCGGGCTATTCTTTATAGCGCTTGCCTCCTAAGATGTTATATATCGCTATCGTAGGACTAATATATCGTATATTAACGTAGTTAGCGATCTCGTTACCGGGAATCTCGAGGCGGGCAGTCGCACGGTCGGCGCCCTTATAGACGTACTTATTAATATATTTGATCGCCCGTAATAAGCGGACCTACTCGACGTTAATATAGGCGTTAAACCGCTTTAGTAGGTATAGATTGTACGGTACGATATAACGATTGTCGAAGAGGAACGCGCGATTCCTCCTCTTATTCTATGTCCTCCCGTTACGGCGTCTGCGATATTTCGGAAACGCGATATTAGTTACTACTATCTCGTCCGAGAACTCTATAGGGAATCCCTTAGAATACGTCCCTTCGGAGTGTCGAGGTAACTATATATACGGGACGTATAGAAAGCCCGCGCTATAAGGTCTATAATATATGTGTTCCTTAACTAAGTTCGTTACGCTACTATCCGGGTCCTCGGCTAGGCTCGGAAGCTTAGCGCGGATAAAGTTGTCGATCTTAGATATAGTATCTAGCGCTTAATAGGGCGCGATCTATAGCAAGAGGTAAAGGTAAGGGAGGCTACGCTTCTAGTATTCGACCGTCTAATATCTCGCGATATAGCGACCGAACACGTTCCTATAGCAGACCTCGTACAAAAACTCCCTAGCTTTCTAAATAAAGACCCTTATCGTAATGTCTAGGCGGTCTATCGCGTCCTAATAGTCGAACAAATAACGCTTAATCTCCGGCTAGTTAGGATTAGCTGTAAACGTAATAAAGTACGTAGGGACGCCGAAGTGGCCGACGATAGCTATAGAATCTCGGTAGCACTATAAAATCTACTAATCGCCGCCGACGTATAAGGACGGGAGAACTATTCGTAGAGCTTATAGGATACTATCGGATAATAGAGCCCCGTTCGTAGGGACGACTAAACGGTTCCGCTATAGCAAACCGTAACGTACGCTTCCCTCGCATTCCCCGTACTATACCTTAGTTCGAAGAATATCGTAACGTAAGTCTTCGCTAATCTGTCGAGACAACTCTCGTTAGATATCGTGTTTATTCTTATTGCCTAATAGTACGCGCGTACTACGCTGTTTCGGTTGTTTTAAGTCGTACGTATCCGCCTATACTTCTTTCTAATAGTTGCCTAGGAAAAGCAGGTCGTTTAAGTCTACTACGGTATATACGTCGACGTACAATTATTGTAGGAGCCGGCGACCGTAGAAGATAGTAGGAAATTAGTTTAGTCGATAGTGCAAAATGTACCTAAAGTAATCCCTAAGCGTAACGTGCCTCCTACTACGCGTACGAAACTAGTTCTCCTACGAAAACCTAGGAGTTCTAGCCGCCTAGAGGAGGACGTAATATATAGGGAAGTAGTATAGATAGTAGCGATTTATACGATATAGAGTAGTAGATACCTCTTCCGTACTTAACCGCTCTACTACTACAAAATCCCTTATTCCGCTAATAGCTTCTAGATCGTAATCCGGATAGAGGGCGGCTACTTCGTTTACGACCGGCTTATTATATCGACGCGCGTCCTATATACCTTCGTAGACTAAACTAAGGTCTATAGCCTTAAGAACGAGGCGCCTAGGTCCTTAGGAGGACATAAACATTTCCCGAGCCGCGACGAACTTATAATATAGCGCGTTGTATTACGTAATTATCTTATATAACGCGATTATAGTGCCGTAGTCTAGCTACGGCGATAGTATAGATTTCTAGTTCCGGCTAGCATATCTACGATCGCCGGATTTCTATATACGCCTCTTAGTAGTATATACGGGGTCGTAAAAGTATAGCTACGCGTATTAGGGATCTTCCGTTAGAGCGAAGAGACCGCCGCCTAAATAATACGCTTCCCCGTAGATCTAGAACGAACTATACCCTAATACCCGTATATTACGCTTAGCTATAAACGAAGTTATTGCGAGGCGGCAATTATAGGCTCGAATATTCTCCTAGAACGTTCTTACTTCTATATCCTTAGATAGGTCTGTAGTAAGCAGTCGCCGTAGTAACGGAGGTAGTTTAGGGATCGGAAACATACCTTTTACCGCGCCGCTACCGTAACATATTATAAACACTATACCGTTCTTATCCGTAGAAGAAGACGGTTTACTATCTGCTCGGACGTTCGATGCTTTACGGATCTAATACTTAGCTTAATAGTGTTAGTAGGTATACACTATATCGTTAATATTAAGTATTACTGCCTCGTATAGTATCGAGATATACGCCTTAGGAAGAGTAGACCTCTCCGGGCGTAAGAGGTCGGCGTTAGTAGCCTACGATCGACCTAGGCTACGGTACGCCTCGGCGACCGCCGTAGGGAGGGTATTATAATCGTTTAGACGTTTAAAAGATATCCGCCCTAGAGAAGGCTAACTAGCTCGTACCTAAGGACTAGAACCGCTAGCTCTAGCCCTACTAGTAGGGGTAGTAGTAGTATCCGTCGGTGTTACTCTAGGGGTAAAAGGAAGGCTCGGTAGAAGTAGCGGTTAGATAGGCCCTAGCGACGGAGCTCTAGGCGCAATAGAGCTACTATTCTTAATTAAACTCGTAGAGTTAGCGTTATAGGAAGGCTCCGTAAATTCAACGTCTATCGGTCTAGAAGGATCGAGAAGGTCGCCGAAGTCGTAGTAATTATCGAAAGCGTCTAGACCGTATTTATTAGGAACCTCTATATCCGGTAGCGTCGGACCTTACCTCTCGGCGTCCTATATAACGGTGTCTCTAGGCAAGACAGACTAATCGTCCTAGTTATAGTCGCGACCTATCGGACTTAGTAGAGTGTAGATACTAGAAGCGCCGCTTACTAATATAGATATAGAATCGGACCTGCGACTAACGCTCGGAATTGTAACGGTAGGTAAACTCTACGCCGAATACGATAAAGGAGATAGTGTTAGACGTAACAGGTCGACAGTGTATAACTCGTACGTAGGCGGAGTATAGGGACGCTTAGTAGATAAAGATATAAGAAAGGGGGAACGATCGGATAGCGTTTTAGATAAAATACCTTACGTATATAGCGATAATACGCTAGGGAGGTCGCGCGTCGTCCCTAACGCCTCTAACGTATCGTTAACGATAGGACTTGCTCGACGTAACCTAGGTAATAGTCCGGTAGATGCGTCGTCGTACGCTAACTATAGATATATAGCATTAGAATCGTAGTTGCTACGGGCAGAAAGTTAGGCTTTCTATTAAAGTTAGGGAATATTATCGCTCGAATGCTAACCTACGCGCTAATATACTACTAGAGTACAGACCCTATAGAATCGTCTATTCTTCCTCTAGAAGTTAGATACTAGTTTAACGATCTAGTAGAATTTGCATTAACGCAGTTCGACTACTAGTCTAGGAGCGGGACCGGTAACGGGAATACGGTTATACGGAAACGATAGCCTAGCGGAAGATTAGGAGATACCCGCTCTATGCTTCGTCTCTTTATCTCTATACGATATCGTTTAGAACGGATTATCGTCTTATACGACGTTTATCCTCGTCGACATTTTAACTAGTAACGGGGAACTAGATCTCTACTTCGGCTTCGGCTATCGTCGCGAACGCCGCAACTTAGATAGACTATCGTCCGATATTAGGTTAATCGTAAAGTCGGGCGGTACGAAAGAGCTAGGTATCGCTCGCTTCTTACCTTTCCTCGCGCTCTCTATATCCGGTAGCGTAAGTATCGGGCGCTTAGATCTAGAAGAAGATAGAGTAGATAGAGAAGATATTTTACGTAAGGAAGAGCTAAGCGAGTACGCCGTACTATAGAGTTCGAAGAATCGCGGCCTTTCGTACGAAAAGCGAGGTAATTACGACGCACTATTAGTAGACCGACGATATCGAGGCGTCCTTATATGCTACCTCTCGGAGATAGGGACAATTCTAAGAGCGAGCCGTTGTTTTCTCGTAGAGATCGTCGATAATATAAGCGTTAAGGTACGCCTCGGAAATTAGGATCCTAGAGCGGTATAAGGTATACGAATCGTAAAGAGTCGATATTAGGGATCTCGGTTAGGAGGGACCGCGGCTATTAGCCTACCTACCTCTAATGCTTACTAGTCCTAAGTAGTTTGTAGATAGAATAGCTAGATATTCGATATTACGAAAGAAGTCTAAGATCTAGGGAGGACGAATCGCGAAGAATCGATAGCGGAGACCCTAGTTAGGAGGGCCTATACGATTAGTGCTTGCTTACGAATCGTAATAATTCGGAAATTAATACTAGGAAGTTCCTTTAACGGAGCTAGTTAGATTATTAGAATCCGTAGATTAGAAGATTCCTAGATCCTAAGGTAGTATTAGCGGAGTATATAGATTAAATAAAGGTTACCCGGAATGCTACTCCTATACGAGCCCTCGAGATCTAGTTTAGACAAATTATCCCTAACTAGTTAATTAAATCTAGGGTATATAGTTTGCAAGAGTAGTAGGATACTCGCCGGCCGAGATTACGGAGGAGGACTAAGTACGAATAGTAGGTTCGTATAGGGTAGTTCGTATAGAGGGGGGAGAGAGAGCGAGAGTACTCGGTAGATAGGCGCCTCTTTAACCGATCCTAAGAAAGCTCTACGTTTACCGGCGTAATCTAATCTTACGTAGTATCGATCTCGCAATTTCTCGACGCGGAAAGGCTATAGGCACCCTATAGAGCGCCTAAAGTTAGGAGACTAGTAGGATAGCTACTAGATTCCTTAGGCGTTAAGTAGATTGCTCTATACGGGTCCTACCGGGAGTACTATCCTCTAGTCGCCGATTATTAAAGAGAGATACGTATATAGCTAGGGGCTATTTAGAAAACTAGATCCTACTAGAGCTAGTAGTGTTAGTAACAGCCGATTAGAGGTATTAGGCGAGGACGCCTATAACTCGCCTTTAAGCGTCTAAGACATTAGCTCGCTAAACGATAGTCCGGCATATCTAGAGACAGTATCGTAGGCGGCGGATATAGAGGATTTTAATATAGAAGAAGGTAAAGAAGCTATAACGGTGCCTACTACGCCTAAAGGAAGGTAGATCGCGGTTAAATATATAGACTAAGCGCCGGTTAAGACTATATATTCTAAGAGGGCAATTTCGGTATTAAAGGCCTAGATTAGCGACATAGTACGTGTACGCTAGCTCGGATAGTGTGTTCTTCGGCTTAATTTCCTGTACTCGGCGCTCTTAAAAAGCGATATTCGTTCGGGTAGTATCGCGTAATTCTAAAGACCTTTATTTCGAAACCCCTTAGTCCTAAGTGCATCTCGAAGTAATATACGCGCCGTATATACGTAGCTGCCTATTTGTTTGTATACGTAACGCGATCTAGAAGTGATATATTAACGCGATTATTAATACGAACTTAGAGCGCGATACGGATATTAACCGTTATTCTATCGACCGCCGCCCTTCTATATACTTCGCGTAGTCTAGTACGACTATTTCCCCCTCGATTTCCTTCGCCGACACTATTATATTAGCGATTGGAACGCGCGCGATAGCGGACTAGGAGGACGTCGATTTTATAGCTATTTAGTAGTAGGAGCTAAACTTCGCCGCTAAGTCGCTCTATAACGAGAATAACGGCGTTAAGCCGGAGACTAGCCCTATCTTCGATCGCCTAAGGGAGAACTATAGAACAGGCCGGCAACCGGATATAGCGTACCGCGATAACTACCGCTACGATATATACGCTAACGAGATCGTAATAGCGGTTAATAGAAGGATAAACGCGAAACTAGATACTAAGTTTGTAAGTATTAGCGCCGCGTATAGATGTCGAAACTAGAGCTAATAGTAACTAGACGTACTAGTACGAAATAGTAGACGGCGGCGTAGTCGAGCTTACCTTTTAGCTAAAGGACGATAGCTCTCCCTACCCCTTCGATCGTTACGACTTCTTAGAGGTAGATAGCAAGATTCCGGCCCTAAAGAGATTCGTAAGTTAGCCCGTCGGGAAGGATTGCCTATTTTTGATCTCGTACTAACCTCTATAGGCTCGGATAGGTATATTAGGGCGAGCTCCGTTTCCGGACTATCGCCGTAGAAGACTACCCCCTCGCCGAATACCCCCTCCCGCTTCTCGTATACCCTATCCTCGACCCGCGGTCGCCTTCCTTCGAATTAGTAGGCAAGGTATAGCTATTCTATACCTTCGACCCGAGGTAGCTAAGCTATATCTCGACTAGCGGACCTAGTACTAATCTAACCTTGCCTAGCAAATAGGCCCGCCTGTTCTATTTTCTAGTAGAAGGTACTCGAGGCCTCTAATACAATATTGCGTTCCGCTCCGTATAAGATAGGGAGAACAAGTATCGGCCCTAGATATTAGAGAAGGCGTAGAATAAGGCTAGCTTTAGATATACGGACTAGCAACCTAAGATATTATAGAAGTAGGGAGTTAGCGACGTATACTTAAAGGCTATTAACGAGCTAGAGTTTAGAGGTAATTAACGGCCGTATCTAAAGATATCGCGATTCCGGTAGTACCTAAATCGGTAGAAATGAAATAAAAATAGTCCTACCCTTACTGTCGCCCGTATCTAACTATATATTTTACTCTCCTCTCCTATACTCGCTACCGCCGCGAAAATTGTACCGACCGCGTACGCCGCTAATCCTCTATTTACTCCCTACTCTTTCGGCGTCGCGAAATGCTAGTAAGACGTATCGATCCGCGCTATCCTAACGGCGAAAAGGGAGTCCCTCTCCTAAACCTCGTCCGCTTTTCGCGTTATCTCCGCCGGTCCTCTATTTACTATCTACGCTTTCGTCGTCGCGAAATACTAGTAAGATACATCGATCCGCGCTATCCTAACGGCGAAAAGGGAGTCCCTCTCCTAAACCTCGCCCGCTCCTCGCGTCGTCTCCGCTAATCCTCTATTTACTCTCTACCGATACTATACGTACTCCTATAGCGAAGAAAGGCGAGGTCGGATAGGAGCGGCTTTATAATATATAACCGGAGCTAAGCGAGCGGGGACGCTTATAGCCGCTACGTAAATAGAGACCTCTAGCTAATTAGGTAGTCCTAAAGGTTATACCCTCGCTAGTTATTTAAAGCTAGCCCTAGTTAGCGAGATGCCGAACTATATTCGCTCGAATATATTAGCCGACCGTACCTTTAAGGGTGCGGTAAAATTAGTATAAGGCGATCTACGATCTGCTAGATCGTCCGGATAGGGGGTTTAATTCCCTTATTAGCTATACCTTTTTTTTTTAATCTATACAATTATCTATATTCTATAACCCTCTAGCTAATTAGATCGGTTCTAGATAGTAAGAGTTATTCGCTCGTAGTCCTTATAGAGATACGGGATAGCGACTAGCGAGGGTATAACTTTTAGTATTAGAGGTTCGAATCCTCTATTAGCTATCCTTTTACGCTCGCGTAAGGCGGCCGGCTATAGCCGCGAATTCTAGAGTTCCTATATGTAATTTTCCCCGCATCCGGGAGCTACCGCGCTAAGCGGGAGCGCCCGCGTGTTTTAGGGATACTAGAACTTTATATATATAAAAAAAAACCCCTAGCCTTCTAAGGTGCGTACTTTCTTATCTATACTAAGACGAGATAGAGACTAAAACTAAACGTGTCGGTCTATCTAGGGCCTCTAACTTGTCCGGTACCGCCGTCTATTTAGAGAGCGTATTGTCTTTACGCGTAGCAAGAACGAGATACAGCTTTAAATGCACCCTACGCGCCGCTACGCTATCGAAGACGTCGCGTAAGAGCAAATTACGGCCTAGAGACGACAATAAGTACAGAAAGTTTATAGACTAAAGGAGATAGATTGCTCTACCTACGATACCGTACTTAGGCTCCTCCGCCTTCTTTCTAAGTTACGATAGCGTCTGTCTCTAGAGCGCGAGTACCGTACTTATAGTAGTCCTAAGGAAACGTACTACTCTCCCGTTCCCGTATATATCTCTAGACGATAAAACTCTCTATTCCTACGCCCTATATCGAGGATTACTATCGCGTCGTCCGTATCGATTTAAGTATAACCGAAATTAGCCGCATTCTATACTAACTGTAGCCTCCTTTTTATATCGAAGTCCCTTCCCGCCTCTACGTCGAAGAAGTCGTAGTATTTAATATAGCTATCGTTTCGCGGGAAGTCGAAGGGTTAGTTATATTATAGTAAAGTATCGATAGCGCTAGGAAGACAGATTTCCTCTAATAACCGTAGGTCGCACCTAACTAGGACCCTCTATACGAAGGTGCTATCCGTTCGGCTCGTTATAGTAGGATATACGTATAGAGGAACGACGACGAAGCGATCTATACCGAACGGCTATATAGTAGCAAGCTTTATCTACGCGAATTCGATCTAGAACCGGTTAGTAAAAGCGCTACATTCTTAGGGAGCGCGATAGATATACTTAGCGACAATGCCGAGGAAACAGCGAGTTAGACTTTTAGAGATATAGTCTCGGCTCGAACTCGTCGAGTTCGTCGAGCCTATTAGTATTCGTATATAGATTAACGTAGACGATAGACCCTTCTATTTGCTCTTCCCGTTACGCCTAAGTAGTAACAACGTTAAGGTTACCGTCTAGGTACTTATCCTACGACTACTTAGGTACGGAGATCTATAGGAGTTAGCTTTCTACTACTATATACTAGACGATATACGAGAATACGTACTATGTATTCTTTGTCCCGAGACTCCGTCCGCTAGTAGATCTTATTTATAACTAGAGATACTAATCTCGATATATACCTAGACAGCCGGTAATCTATAACGCCGTAGTGCGGAGGTTTAGGAGAGAAGCCGTTATTCTTGTCTATATTGCGGTTCTCGCGTACGCGGCGTAATACCTCCTTAGTAACTAGCTTATATATGTCTTGTAGCGCTTCTTAATATACCGGGGCCCGGCCTATAGCGAGCAGTTAGCGAAGTCGTATAGAAGCGCGGGGGTGCTTAATCTCGGCTATAGCGCGATTCAATTCCTAATATTAAAAGGCTCGCTATAGTATACTACGTAGAACGTCTATCTCTATAGCTCGATATTAGCGAAGGTAGTATACGGCGACCGATACGCTAGAGACTTACTATTAGGGAGGGCTATAGCAGCTAAGACTATATAGGAGGGGCGCCTTTATCGAGGTCGCTACTAGTAATATCGATAACTAGAAGGAGGTAGATATAGCTACGTAGAAGTAGTCGCTATATTAGTTATTATAGTAGTAATATTTAGACGACGCGCAACGCCGCAACATTACTATTTATATACGTAACCGTCGCCGCGCGCTAAGCCTATACTAGCTAATAGATATAAAGCGACGATATAAAGCGACGATATAAAGCGACCTGCGATAATAATAACGGCCTCTCGCGACGCGACGACGAACACTCGACCTTGCGCTTACTACTCTAGCTTAGATCCTACTACTATAACGTCAGCATCGTCGCTAGGGAGGTATTAATACGAACGAAGTCGTTAAGGACTCGAGTTAAGGCGAAGGAGCGCGTCGTCTGCCTCTAACGGTATAATCTAGTAAGATATATCTTCTAGAGCTATAAATTTATATCGTATCGAGGGATATAAAAAGATATCCGTTAAGTAGATAGTACGCTAAAAATCATAATAAATGTACTAAGATTATCGTAGATTTCCTTCCGCAACCTCTTTAAATACTATATTCTCTTTTACGCTTAGTACTACGATTACCCGCGCCTTAGTTTATTATAACGCTCGACTCGCTATAATACTCCTCTAGTAGGGCGAGACCGAATAATAATAATAAAGGCTTTCGCCGGACGGGAGCGCCGTATATAGTTAAGAGATAACTCTATATCGCTGCCTAGTCGAAGCCTATACCGTTACAGAGAAGCCGGAAATAGTCTAAGAAGTAGGTTATCTTAGCGTACTTGTCGCTAAATAGGGCCGGGAGCTACACCGTCTATTCCTAATCGCGAGTAGCACTCTCCGAGAGCAAGGCGACGCTAATACTATAGCCGGATATCGTATCGAATTAATACTAGATCTCGAGGACCTTTATAGCCGCCTTATTAGCGACGTCGTTATAGAAAAGGCTAGTAGCGATATAAAACACCTTAAGAGGCTTCGCGATAGTCGATCCTTCTACTAGCTACGATTCGAATATCTACCTAAGGTCTAGCTTCCGAGGGACGATACTAAACGAAGGAAATAAGCCGAACCGCCGTAGATCGAGAATCCTCTATAGTAGGCTAAGTAGTAGCGAGTCTTACTATATCTTTATAAAGAAAACTACCGACTCTTGCGGTAATTCCTACCGAGTACCGTAAACCTCCTTATACTAGAATTGTTAGCCGCTATATCGGGGTACGACTACTACCGTACTACTTACTATAGCTTTCTATACCTCGGACCCTTTAAGACCTTAATCTTAAGCGTACGTCTTTGCGAGTATTACGGTAGGCCTCGAGAGACTACGATAGGTAGTTAGTAGCGGGCCCTCGTTAGATCTATACCGGTACGACGCGAATAAGTATCTAGCGGCTAGGGGAGTTAGATCGAGGTCGGTTCTAGTAGAGTCTATAATAGTCGATCGCGATATTAGGTTATTATAGTAGTAATTAATAACCGCGCGCCTACTAAAGTCGTTATATCTCCGGACGTAGGCGCGTTATACGCGGCTACTATAGTCGTATACGCGACGCGCGTCTTCCTTAGGACTTACGAGTAAAGGATACCGCAATTTTATATAGCTTCTCGAAGGCCGTAGAGGTCGATAGAGCTACGATAGCGACTAAAAGGGTCGATAGTGTCGCATTTATAAGACCCCGATAGCGGAGCTCGCGATAGTAGGGCCTTAGTACCGATTATACGTACTAAATTACGCTTCCCGTAGGGCTACTAGCGCGATCGAGTATACCGCTTCGAGTAAACATCGCCGGATAAGGTATATACGACGAAGACGCCCTTTTCGAGACTACTATCGAAGTTATAGCTCGTCGCGGTATATACTGCGACGTCTACGCCCTTCCGGATCGCTAAGGTATTAACGTTCCTCGCGTCTACTAATTAGAGGCCGCCGTTAGCCCGTTTTGAGCCGCACTAAGCCTAAAGGGGCCCCAACTTTTGTTGAGTTGTCATATTATTGAAGTCTCGGAATGCTACGAGCCGTAACAGGTAGACTAAACAGGGCATATGACCGCGCTACCATTCACAAGATATGAGGAGATGGTTTAGACAGTTGGGATCGAGTCGTAGGTTTTTTTCGTTTAATCCTCCTCTTTCCTTCTCTAAACGTATCTTACTCGCTGCTGTGCTTATAGAAGCAGATATACCCACCAACGAGCTATCGGCGAAAGAGGCATAGGAGTCGGAGACAAGAGAACAGCTGCTCCTTTCAACTGTCGACCAGCGATCATGGACTCGCCTATAGCTCTCCTCAAGTTCATAGCGCCACAGATACCAGGTCTATCATACGCCGCGATGCAGCACACATTTGGTCTCACGGATACTTCAACCAAATGGGATCTGCGAACAGAGTTGACAGTCAAGGTCTTGAGAGATATGACGCGTAGTGGAGGAGGAAGAAAGAGAGTGACACCGATATCAAAGGTACAGGCCGGGACACTTCGCGACCCGGGTGTCAAGGGCAAAATGTGGATAGCGCCGGCTTTTTTGCCCAAGCCTCCTAGCGAGGATGAAGCAGATGGACACGGAATAAGGGATGTGGTTTTCAAGGCGATAGACGAGATGGCGCCAAACAAAGACACGATCAATTACACGAAGCCAGAATTGGACGATATCAAAGTTGAATGGACAGGGTACCGCCCAAATGCTGGCAAGAACGAACCACTTCCCACCGACAATGCGGAAGAGAACTACAAAAATCTCATGCAAGAATCTGGCCGCACGAGCGAAACCACGATTCTGTACTTCCATGGCGGAGCTTACTACCTCTGCGATCCCATAACTCACCGAGCCCTCACATCTCGCCTGGCCAAGGAATCTCATGGCCGGGTGTGCAGCGTCCGATACCGTCTCGCACCACAAACAGCATTCCCAGGCCAGCTCCTCGATGCTCTCCAATCCTACCTCTCCCTCCTCTACCCACCACCAAACTCCCTCCACGAAGCCATCCCCGCAGAAAAAATCGTATTCGCAGGAGACAGCGCAGGAGGAAATCTAGCCTTCGCCCTCCTCCAACTCCTCCTCCACTTCCACCGCTCAACCCCAACCCCCAAAATCCGCTTCCACGGCCACGACCTCCTCGTCCCCTTACCCGCCGGCTGCTCCGCCAACTCCGGCTGGTTCGACATCTCCCGTTCCCTCCCCTCCATAACCTCAAACTCCAAATACGACTACCTCCCACCCCCAAACCACGACGACGCAATCTCCACTTTCCCCACCGACGACCACCCCGGCGTCTGGCCCTCCACCCCCCCTCGCGGCGACCTCTTCTGCGACCTCTCCCTCCTCGACCACCCTTTAGTCTCCCCCGTCCTCGCACAAAACTGGAGCGGCAGCTGTCCCCTATGGCTCTGCACCGGTCAAGAAATGTTAACGGACGAAGACTCCGTCGTGGCGAAGAATGCCGCGAAGCAGAATGTTGCCGTGCAGTTTGAACAGTATGAAGCCATGCCGCATTGTTTTGCTTTGTTGTTGCCGAATTTGGGGGTGAGTGGGAGGTTGGTGAGGAGTTGGGGGGTTTGGGCGAGGAGGGTTACGGAAGAAGAGGGGCGGCGGTTGGAGACGAAGGGGGTTTTTGTGCCGGTGAGGAATGGGAAGGAGATTGCGTTGGATGTTAGGGAGATTGAGGCGCCGACGTATGAGGAGGTTCAAAAGGCGGTGGGGGAGGTGAAGGAGAGGAGGGTTCAGGGTTTCGTGGAGAGGGAGGGGAAAGTGGTGATGAAAGCTGCGTTGTGAGGAGGAAGATGTGTTGGGAGATTGAGATTGAGATTGTAGATATACTATGACGAGCGAATGGAAGATTTAGATACCTCGTTTTTATTTTATTTTATTTTTTTGTCAGGAGGTGCATATGGTTTTCTAATCGCGACAAAAATTCTGAACCTTGAAGATCGGCCGATTTTTTAAATGTGTTCTCCTCATGATCGTTATAGCTTCTTCTTAAGTCCAGTGGAAGTCAATAGTATTCTCGGATTTCATTTTGTCCTGGCTTTCGGCTGACTGACTGACTGTTCCTTTGCTCACCGTCTCTGCGACCACTTCCTCCTTCCACTCAAGAAGATCCGCCTCACTATGCTGTGAAGAAGAACCCGTCTCTCTGTCCGTGGAAGAAGAAGCCATTGTGTACTGAGATACTCCGGAGCACACGGCCGTCGGTCCTTCTTTATCTCCCGAATACCGTAGCCACTGACAAGTTAAGTGCATTATAGCCCTCAAACTCAAGCTCGCAGTCGCATTGGGCCGCCTGCCCTGCAGAGCTCTTGCCAACTTCGCAGCGCAGGTTGGCGATACTCATCGTCAGACATCAACGTGGGCATGGATCATCGTGGTGGATCGTTCGTGTGGCCCTGTCTGCAACGTAGGATATCGCGAAGGTAATGTCCGGTGGCGAAATCTTGTTGCCATGGGCCAATCTGAGAAGCGCTTTCTTTTTTTTCAGATCGTCGGTGGTTGGGCTGAGGCGATATGTCGACCGATTTGGTGGGCTGGAAATGTGTAGAAGGGAGGAGGTGATACTTGTGATGAATTTCCGTCTGTCCTTGAAATGTAAGTCACAGCACAGCAGAGCGTGATAATTCCACGCAAAAAAAAAATCACAAAATTCTTCACATTCTGGCGATCAAAGAACTCCCACTCGACAATCATTGTTCTCGGGACATTGTCTGCAGGATACCACTGTCGTCCAAATAGAAACGGCGTCGTGCAAGTGTTCCCGCAATAATTGTGAATCTCATGTGTTGACAGTCAGGTACAAGTTATTGATCGTCAGTGTACTTCCACTCGACCCATAGCAGGATAGCATGACATCCAGAGAGTTGTAGCTGTAATCAGTCTCACTGTGGACGTTAATTGGAAAACTTCCGCCCGTGCTGAAGGTTTGACAGAAAATCCCGCCTCGAAATGATGTGAACGTGTCGCAGTCTGAGCCGGAAAAGGGGTTCGTCTGGAATCCCAATTGTAATGTGCATCTGGTGCCACCAGGAAGCGCAACCTGCAAGTCCGCGGTCAAGGTAAAGCTTTGTGCTTCGAGGACCGTCGGGATATTGTATTGCTGAAAGGCAGAGTTCGCATAAGAGTAACTCGCCCCCGCGACGATCACGACCGGTACCACGGGTGCAGGGTCATAACCGGGACTAGGCTTGTAGGAATAGAAAGCGATGTCGTCGAGCGTGACGGTCCATCCTGGGCCTTGAGGACACTCGGCAAGCATGTTAAACCATGTAACATCTGATCGGAGCGTTCCACTTGAGTAGACGACTGTGGGCGGCAGTATCTCTGAATAGCTGGTAAATCGTCGATTGTTCATGTCATAGTTGTTCGTAGATCCTCTGAAGGTGCAATAGCCGTTTCCTGGGCCGGTCATGCTGACGTTGAAAGTTATGAGGTAGTTGGTGCCGGCCATGGCGGCGAAATTTTGGGTCAAGAACCCATACGCATATTGACCGCTGTCCATGGCCAGAGTTCTGTTTTGTGGTTAGCAAAAGTCTCAGCAGCGAGATTTCCCCGTACATGCGCAGCATTGCTGACGACATTCGCGCTAACACCAGGATACAGATTTAAAGACCAAGACGAGAAATCGCCAGTATCGAAGCCGCCATTGCTTACCAGCTGAGACCTTGTGCTGGCACTCGAAGGTCCTGTCAGTCTGAGAGCACTGTCTGTGTCGCTTGAGGAACCCAGGTGCAATGGTGATACAGGAATCATTCGCTTCTTCAGCTGGCAGAGACTACTCGATGCCTGCCAAGTGATACCGTTGCAAGTCGTTCCTTGAGCGCTGCATTTTTCTATGCACGAAGAGTAGTCGCTGGCCGAAACGGTAACGCCATACAAATCATAGCCTGCATTGCTTTGCCCACACATTATCATGTACAGGCTGCGGTCGCTGGCAGTGTATGTCTGGCCATTGTTTCTGCTGAGACAGGTGGGGATTGGACTTGGGCCAGGCAGGTATTGAGTCGACACAATGGTAGTAGGCTGTGTGGTTAACTCGGTCCTTGTCTCTACCCGAGAGGTTGTCTGAGTCACTTCCCGGGTGCTCACAAGTGTACTATAGACCAGGGACGTAGCTGTTGTTGTGATCGTACTTCCAGGAGCAGTAGACACCAAAATGGAGGTCTCAACATATGATGTGGTGTAGGTGACCGGAACCGAGCTGATCACAACACTGTAGATCATCGTTGGCTGTGTACTAACCAAAGTCGTGGCTGGCAAAGTCGTTTCCAATTTCTCCGTTATCGTGCTTGCAAGCTGTGTGCTGACTATGGTTTGGGGCTCCGTGAAGGTCTCCGTGACACTAATTACGTAGATTGTGGTTGATGCAGGAAGTGTTGTGGTCACGCTCTCGGTTATGAGACTCGTGAAAACAGCTGTAGTGATTAGCCCAGGAGCTGTACTCGTGAGCAGCACCGTAGAGATCGACTCGATGGTCAGAGTTGATGCGGGGATTGTGGATGTTACAGTCTGCAAAGTCACCACTGTCTCTGCAGGTAGCGTGCTCACGATGGTGCTGAACAGAGGCAGCGTCGTCGTGATTGTGATTGTCGAAGCAGAAGCTGTCAATGTGATGCGCTCAGTCATGATTGCGGTGGTACCTTGGTGTGTAGTCGTAGCCAATTGAGTGGAAACCAATGTACTCGCAGGAAGTACTGAGATAGTCGTAGTGGTATAGAAAAGCGCGCTTGGGTCTTGAGTGGTTGTGACGCTTTGTGTTGATGGTATCGGACTTAGAGTGCTCACTACCGTGGAAAGGAACGTTGATATAGGGCCAGTCTATACGCAATAGGTCAGCTCCAAATTGTAACAGAGGCCGTCTCCATTCACTCACAGTAGTATATGTCACCAATTGTGTCGTCGACAGAATAACAGTCGTTGTTACTGGAGGCTGAACGCTGGTGTAGACCGCGGTTGTAGTCTGACCAGGAGCGGAGCTAATAACGGTAATCGTCGAAGCAGGTATAACCTGTGTGAAAGTAGACGGCAGTATCTGCAGAACCACGGTGCTCGTGCTGACGGAGACGATTGTAGTCATGTGTGTGGTTGTAACTGACGAATTTCCAGCGTTGGAAGCCTCGAGAACAAGCCGTACCGCGGAGAAGGCAGCGGCAAGTGCATCTCGCTGCCCGTCGACCATGCTATAGAGGGTGCAGGTGTTCCTGGTGAATGACAATGCAACACAATCTTCTGTTTCGCTGCATCGAAGATAACAATCATTGGCGGTGCTTCGTCTGTCGATCGCGCGGCGAGTATTGCTGGAAATTACGGTACTGCTGTAAACGACGCCGCATCCCACAAGCAGAGGATCACCCGAGGCTTCATACACTTTTCCGCTATAGGCTGGGCATGGCCCAATTTCTGCATCGGCCACAGCGCTTGGGGTTGATGTTGTGATAGCAGTCACGGTCACAAATGTGGTGGTACCGCCTGAAGTGTAAGTCGTGGTCAATCCTCCGGTAACAATGGCAGTCAGCACGCCATTGGAAGCATATGGCCTCGTCTGGCCTCCAATAACGGTGGTTACGATCGATCCACCATAAATAGACGGTGACAACATCGGTGCAGCGCTTGGGGTGGAAAATATGTCGCTCGAGAGTGTTGTAATTGCACTCGATATCGAGATGCCAGTGCTTTGTGTAGATGTGCTAGTCGCAAACTCCATGCCCGATGCAGAAGATGGCGAAGGCGGTAAGGGTATGGACGTAGATGGCATCGTCTGCGCTGGTTCCTGCATTTTCAGCTCGACATAGTACTTTAAATCGACGATGAAGGCGGTGCTTTTATCAGTATCTCTCGTGGATAGTGTTGCCGAACTTCTTAGTGAACAACTCTGACGGAGCGCGTCGAATGCTACTGCTACACAGGCACTTTCTGCGGAGCATAACGCAACGCAGTCTTCTGCTGCCTGAATATTTTGTCGCGAACGAAGCTCGTCTCCTTCAAGGATTTGACCACACAGGACCAAGGAACTGTTATTAGATGAAGCAGGCGAACAGGAGCCAGAAGGCGCAAAAACAGTTCCATTAGACCTTGGACACGACAAGGGTATGTCGTTGTCACTCATACAAGCTGCACTGCTCGTCGGAAGGACGGAACTTGTGCGAGATATGGATTGTTGATTCAGGGTCGTGATTAAACTTGTCTCGGTGGGTTTCCTGTTCGCACTAGAAGTGGTCGCCGAGGCGAAAGTGAACGGCAGTGTGGTTCCGTTTGTAGATATCCATCCATAGGAAGGAAATGGGAAACTGGATCTCGGGATACTGCAAGTGGAGTATACTGTCTTCGTAATAACCGCATGCTGTGCTTGTGATATTCTGACGAGGCTTAGAATAATGCAGCTGATCAGAGCGTTGAAGCCTATTATGGCGATGTCTGCTGTTGACAGCGAGGCCGGTCGATACCTTACACAGTGAATTCCACGCGTATGTTCTGATTGATGGACTGACAGCACATTCCGGCTGGGTTCTGGAATGTCGATGCATCTAGAACCTGAATGCCAAGAAGACTCGATACCAACTCACAAATTGCAATTGGATGCCATCCATGTATGTATTCGTCCATAAAAATAGCATTTTGTCACACGTTGGATTCCGGTCTTGTTATTGGGTCTTGAGCCAAATGCGTGTGGAACGAGTGCATCGCCATTTCCTCCGACCGCTGGCTTTCGTATTCGTCTTCCCACGGCTTCGTTGCTTCGGAATCAAGTGTCATGATGGAGAATCACGACGACATGAGAGAGCAGGTGGGTCCACTGCATTTCCAAGCTCAGCTCCTTTGAAACAAATCGTCCATGTTGGATGTAGTCCTCTACGGCGAGTCACTGTCAATCGTCCTGATCGTTTCGCTTCCGGTTGGTGTGGTTCTCGCAGCGGGAAGCCAGAGTGCAGTTACGTCAGGTTGGTCCCTTCTGCAGCTCAAACTTCGTGAGCTCTCGGCTCTCGATATCGCCATTGGCAGAGTGTGTCGAGAGACGTGCGTGTTGTTGATGTTTGTTTGCGAGCGAGGAAGGGTCGGGAAGGGAAGGTTGGAAGGTGGAGAGCGATGGCTGACTAATCTCGGAAGCAGGCGGCTGCCCCACATCTGCCGAACGTGCGACATCCACAGTCCTTCCTCCGGCACCGACCCTTCACACTCGCCGCCCTCAGCAGCCATCGAGGAATGGAATGCGTCGACTCCTCCGGCGCACGTGTTGACCAAGCAAGCATGAGCGGAGAGCGTCCGCCACCGGCAGCCATGGTCTAGCATCGCATCGCACCGCATCGCATCGCAACCATCCATTGCCGAGCTCACGTGCACTACCGTACCGGTATGGAGAGCGCGCAGAAACGAGACAATCACACGCCGTCATGTGCCGTGTGTCAACGGCGCAAGGTCAAGTGCGATCGGGTGTGTTGTAGCCAAGTCAAGCCGCGCCGCGCCGCGCTCGACCCATTCAGCTGACCTTCACATGCAAGCTGTATCCGTGCGCAGCATGTACTAAGAGTGGACTTGATGTGAGAGCCTATCTTTTCCTTCTCACCGCCTTGCATATGTGCCTCAGCCTGACGGTAGCAGTGTCACTTCCCGCCACCTGGCACTCACGGCAAGCGCAAAAGACGCAATACTGTGGTCCATGCGCCCCAGGACTCAACGCGGAATGACTTCTTCACCGATCGGCCATCTGCTGGCACAAGACCCCCCACGAATGACTTCCCTTCACCAGAGTCGACCGGATCGCATGGTACTCAGACTGGTACCGCTCGGCTGGTGTCAGAAGGATCTGGCTATCGATATGTGAACAACCACCTCTGGAGTGCTATCCCATCAGATGCACATGCAAGCAACAGCAGTCCTGGTGGTCGCCGCTTTGATTCCACCGAATCTCGAACAGGCCACGCGATCTACGAAGACATTGCCAAAGATGAGCCCCCTAACGGCCGAAGCTTTATATTCGGCAGTGGCAATTCCTCACGACCTCCGGCGAGCATGGTCCAAGTCAGCGCGAGCCATGTTGTATTTCTCTGGCAGACTTACCAGTCCAATGTCGATCCAATGATGAAGATCGCGCACACTCCTTCTGTACAGACAGTAGTGCTCGGTCAGATCAGTCGTCCGGCTGTGTCACGTACTGAGCTTGCTTTGACCATGGCCATATATCTGATCAGCATTGTCTCGCTGACAGATGAGAAATGCTTGGAATCCCTACAAGGCACGCGGACGGCACTGATACAGAAGTATCGCGAAGCCACTGAGATTGCCCTTTCAGCAGCAGACTTCATCACGACCAACGACATTATGGTTCTGCAAGCTCTGGTGCTCTACCTCGCAGCCCTACGATCGCTCGGCGAGATCCAGATTGTCTGGTCGATGCTCGGAATTGCCATACGCGTTGCTGGCACGCTTGGCCTTTCGCGAGATGGTGCTTCATTTGGATTGTCTCCTTTTGATACTGAAATTCGAAGACGGCTGTGGTGGGGCATTGTATACTTCGATGGCCGGATGGCAGAGCTTGTTGGTCAAGATGGCGATCTGATGGGCAACAATTTCGACGCCGGTCCGCCTTCGAATCTGAACGACAGCGACCTGTTTCCAACCATGACGAGACTACCGGATTCGAAACGCGGCCCATCAGAAGCGATATACCTCCAAGCACGGGTGTTGAGTGTTACTGTAGCGCGAAGCCTGCAAAGCATCACCGGACCCTCAGGCACCTGGCATAGGTTGCATGACTCAAGCATGCCAACGGCAGAGAAGCTGGAGATCATGCAAAGAATTGAACAACGGTACAACGACGAGATCCTCGAGACTTGTGATCCTGGAGTTCCGTTGCAGTACATGAGCATCAACACCGCCAGGGCGTTTGCGACCAAGTTGCGCTTGATCGCCCGTATCCCGATTGTGGATGTGGACCGGGAGTGGGAGGACTCGAATGGTTTCTCGGAGAACGCTTTCCTTCTCAGCATGGATCTGCTTCAGACACAACTGGATCTGTGGCTTGAGCCATCTGTGCAACAATGGAAGTGGCATTGGCAAGCTCATTTTCAGTGGTATTCCTTGGTGACTCTCCTCCGCCAGACACGCTTACGGCAATCGGGACATGGGGTGTCTCGGGCGTGGAACATGATCAAGAAGGCCTTCGAGGTCATCGTTCCAGATCTCCAGCTTGGGCCTCGTGAAAGTCTTCTGCTGGATGGCATCCAAGCACTTCTCAACGCAGCCAAGAAACAGCAAGACCAGCCAGGACAAGCTGTATCCGGCGACAGCGAGCAAAGGACGCCTCGCATGGCCACGCCTAAAGAATCTGTTCCCGCCCAAGACGTGCGACCATACGCGGTCAGCTCGTGAAAGTCTTCTGCTGGATGGCATCCAAGCACTTCTCAACGCAGCCAAGAAACAGCAAGACCAGCCAGGACAAGCTGTATCCGGCGACAGCGAGCAAAGGACGCCTCGCATGGCCACGCCTAAAGAATCTGTTCCCGCCCAAGACGTGCGACCATACGCGGTCAGCACCGGACATGGTGCCCGACGGCATTCTGCATTATTTCCCAGTGCGGAGGCCAGCCAGGCGGTGTCTGCACCAGGCAGCCATGCCCGCGCAATGATGGACACGGCACATGACCCAATGCTAGGATTTGACCTCGATGCCATCGATTGGGTGGAATTTGATCGTTTAGCAACAGAGCTATGTCAATGAACAGAGTGCCCAGACTCCGGGCCATGGACCTGCACAGCCTCCACGGTGCCAGTTCGCGCGCGTCAATGGAGACAAGAGACAAGAGACTTCGCAAGGATCATGTGACCGGGTGGCTTGTTCGCGGAAGGTCATGGCGCGTGGCTCGCGTCGAAGGCATGGCATGGCGTTGATGTGCTTTGGAGGTGGCTGGTCGTGTTGGCGGGCGAAGACGCGCCTGTTGTACTCTTTTAGCATGAAGGATAGCAGTGACTCACCATGCCATGCAGTAGTATCCGAAACACTTCACCATGTTTGAGCGTGTGCGTGCGTGCATTGGAGAGTTCGACGTCGGCACCGGCACCGGCATTGCCCCCGCCAATCACCGCGGACAAACGCGCCCAGAAAATCCCGTCCCTCGCGCGTTTGCTTGGTCTGTGCTCAGCTCGAATACGCGCCGACCACACCTTTTCTCAAGCGCCGACAACAAGCGAAGGAATTGCGACATACACCACCAAGTGGGCCTACTGCAAATGCTGCATACACCGCAGCCGGGAATCCGAAATGTGTTTCATCTTGCTAGCCGCCTGCATAGGCGTTTGTTCTTCCACCGCGTGGCTTGGTGAAACGCAGAGCCACGGTATGAATGCCCCGACCCGTTTCATACACCTCCATCCGGGCTGTAGCCTCCGACTGGACTGCCTGCGATGCTAGAATTGATCGTGGTATGCCTCTAGCATGAGCACGGATGTTCGTTGAACGGCTCAAAGGCATGTTTCAGAGCTCGCAATGACGCTACCTTACTTCTCATCCCAGACTGTCGTGGTGTGACCCGGTATGGATTCGCTGTCTGTGTCTGGCACGCATATAGAAGCAGTATACCCGCGACGCATCGAGCCTCTTCTCACACGAACACCAACGGCCTCTTTGTCATCCTTTCCTTGTTCATCCTTCTCTGGAGCTGGCCTCCGACCAATGCCAAGTTTGAATACTAGTGTCTAATCATTGCACACACCTTACAAGCGAGACTCGGGCAGTCGACTAAATATACACCTCCAACATGCACTTCAGACATGTCACACCTCCAGCTGACATTGACATCAGTAGCTATGACGACATGCAATGCCCGGGCGGCAGCGCAAGCACTGATTGTTCCTATTTGCTACATCAAGACTGGTCACCTCAGACTGCACTTACCGCAGCAACGACACCGCCAAGATCTCCTCGGATCATACGAGAACACGGCTCACGCCTTCTACCAAAACCTCGGGATCAGGATCAACCGAGCAATCATTCAGCTTACCATCACGGACACAACAGAACCGCTTCCCTCCCTACCAATGTCTTCTCGATGCAGTTCGGTCCAGCGCTACCTCAGTCAGCAACGCATCGAAGATCTATCAGCCCTTATGGACATACTCGTGTTGCGTCAACCGCATCAATGCCAACTCCGGCACCTTTTGATCATCTTGGCATCAGTCGACCATCAATGTCCAGCATGCGATCAGTTTCAAGCTCGGCCATTCGTACTCACACGCGAAACATCTCATCGAGCAGCATCGATGCCACTATGCTCAGCCGTTATGGCTATCCCACCTACCGGCACAGCCCAACTCCACAACCAGCCTCTCGACCAATGTCTCGCACGCCCAGCGCCATGAGCCATCTGACCCCCATCGCCATGCCAGGTGGCCAGATGCAATCCTATCCAAACAGTCGAAGAACAGCTAGTCCACCCGCAACCTCTTCCAGCCTTTCCCTCGAACCCGAAATTCCTGAAGACTTCATCACAGAGACCTCCACAGTCCTCGACTATCTCACCTCACCCAATCCAACCCCATCGCTCATCCAACGCATCAACGACGGAGTCAAATCTCAAGCCAATCATTTCTGGTTCGATATCCGCAACATCCGTCCATGGTCCGACTTCAACATCGACACCATAACCTCAATCCCCGGCCTCCTCGACCTCCTCAAAATCGACGTCCCAGTAACCTCCCTCCCCACTCCCCCCCAAGTCAACCTCTCCCCAGAACACCCCTCCCACCTCGTAGACCTCTGCGCCCAACACCACGCCATAAAAGTAAACGCCGCCCTCAAAGTCGCCCAAGGCGAAAAGCACATGGCAATGCGCACCCTGACTCCAGGCCCCAAAAAACCCCGCCACCAACAACCCGAATTCCTCGCCAACTACCAATCCGACAGCGAAAAACCCCTGTACGGCGACGGACGCGGTCGCGTCATCGGCGTCGTGAAATCTTACCATCAGTGGAACTCCGGGTATCGGAACGGCTCCCCGATAGAGAAGATTTACTACCTAGAACACCTCGCGCACCTGCACAAACACATGCGCGAACACGGGACGAGATACGGGTTTATAATAACGGAAATCGAACTCGTGTGCGTCCGGTACGGTGGCGGCGGTCCCTCATCATCCAATCACGAAGAAAACAACAACAACAACAACAACAACAACAACAACATCCCATACTTCGGCTCCCTCGAACTCGCCCCACCCATCCAAATCTCCACTTCCGGAAGGAAGGATGAAGACGGGACTCCCAACCTCACCGTCGACCTCGCCCTGTTTTTCTTACACATGTTGGCGAAAGAACAGAGCTTCCCGGGACAGGAGCATTGGAAGTTGGAAATTGGGACGCCGAGTGCGATGACGAGACGACACCATTTGAAGAGGGATGAGTGGATGCCGAAAGTCAATGTGCAGGATAAACGCACTTCGAAGAGAGTTAGGGGGTGGACGTTCCCGGATGAGCCGTTGCATAAGAGGGAGGGGGGGAGGGGGAGGGGGAGGGGGAAGTGACTGGGAACGGGGGATGGGAATTTTAATGGCATGGAGCTGGCTCTATGTATGTATCATTGGCTGCTTTTGTTGCATATATATATATTTATACGGTCGAGTGGTGAGGGAAAGAGAACGATATGTGTGTATAGTGGTTTGCAGCAGCGATGGCGGGGATTTTTTTTTTTTTAATTTTGTTGGATTGAGATACCCATACCTTAAATACCTAGCATAGCGAAGGGCGCTCTTGCAATGCAATCCAAGAAATCTTTAGCATGCGTGATTCTCCAATGCAACTCATGCAGCCTCATCATCGACCAGAGAGGCAGCCTCGGTCTTCCGAATGCTACCTCCGATCTCTATCCATCCATCCATCCACACTTCCCCTCCCTTCTACCTCCGCCCTCTATCCCTCGATTCCTCCTCATGTGCAATCTATTATACATCCCTTTCCATCCCTTCCCTACCTTTCGTATCAAATCTTCCCCCTCACCAAATTCCGAATCATCTCCCTCCCGGTAACCCTCGTCGTCGTCCAAAGCGTAGGAAAATCCAAAGTACTACTAAAAGTATCCGCATACCCAAACCCCAACATCGGAGGAATCCATCCTCGAGCATATTCCAAAGCGAAACAGGAAGATTCCATTTTATACCTAGAAGCAGAAAAAGAAAAAAAAAGATAAGGTGTTAGTGAAAAGAGAAAGAGGAGGAGGAGGAGTGTGGTGGTGATTCTTACTGCTTCACATCCCCCCTTTTCAAATGATGCACCGAACCCACGGGATATCTTTCAGCCTCGAAGTCTCCGGGCACGAAAGCCAACTGTTCGCCTTTTAAAATATGGAAGTAATCATCTGCGGTGTGTCGGCCGGTGTGTCCTTCTGTTCCGATGGCTGTTCCGAAGATGATGAGGTATTCCGTGATGCCTAGGATTGAACATCAACAAGCAGAAAAACAAAAGCAATGATGGGATGGATAGGGGGCACTTCGGACTCACTCGCATGAATGATATACATGGCGCCCATCGCCCCTCCCGCGTTATTAAACATCCACTCTTCGGACGTGGAGAGGTACGGGCGGAGGGAATCTTGCGAACGTAATTGCGAGACGATGTCGGAAACCACGGCGGCAGTGTTGTTTCCGTGCGTCTCGAGGGCTGACAGGGAGATTTTGTGCAGCTGGTCTGGGGCGAAGATGTAGAAGTTTTGGAGGTTGGATTCGAGGGCGATGGAGAGGCTGTAAACGATTGCGAGGATGAGGATGAGGAAGGAGAGGGTGGTTGTGAAGGGGGGCATTGTGGGGTGGTGAAGGAGGGACTTGAAGTGGATGTTCTCGATGATTATTCTCGCCTGCCCTGCCGTCGATAGTGTGTTGTCGTTGGTTGATTTTAACAATTTCTGACTTTTGGAAGGGCTGGGATTGCTTATCGTATGATTTTGGGAGAATGTCCAAGCTCAGATCGGCGCATTCGGTAGCGAGGTCCGTCGCGCGTGTTCTTCAATGGAACGACATCAACGTTCGTTCCTTCTGGAGTTCGCGGGCGACGTGATGCTAAGCTGCAGTGGACGTGCGAGCGAGGTTATTGAAGATCAGCAGGTCAGTCAATCTTGCTAACCCATCATCATACACGAGGCGAACATCCTGAACGCGAACCGCCAAACGCGACGTATCACGCGACGCGACGCGACGCGACTTCGAAAGCAAAAGAGCATGTCAGAGCAGAGCAGCCGTGTAGAAAGAGGAGAAATAGAGAAGCTCGTGATATAGATCGAATTGGCATTACTCTCCTATCATGCTGCATGCTGCATGATGACCTTTCGAGTGCTGATACACTACTGTGGCCTTGTCATTACTCCCAAACACCTCGCTTGAACCATCAGAGTGCACACCAACAGTACAACTGCTGGGATTATTCTTCCAAAAAAAAAACACCAACGGGCTGATACCAAAAATCACGGTCTGACCAGCAGGCCTCTAACCTGCAACACGTCTAATCCACAGCCCAGTCTCCTCATCGCCCTCCTTTCTACGCGCCCGCGCGACCTTGATGCCAATCTCTCGCTCCTCGAGCTTGATCTCCTCCAGCGTAGCTCGCAGCTCCTGTAGCTTAGTATTTGCATCGCGGACTTGAGCAAAGGACACCTCCATCGGACTGGCCTTCTGGATCTTCTCGAGATCAACGATAGCGTGCTCGATGTTTCGTCGCTGATGAAGCTTGTCTTGCTCTTCGCGCAGCAGCGAGTCAAGGTGGCTTAGGGGTGAAATGGGTGACACCATGTCAGGTGGTAGTGGAAGCTGCTTCTTGCCCGAGTTTGGCGTGCCAGTTTCGGCGGACATCGAGCGCGCGTGGTCGGTAGCCAGCGACAGCTTAGACCTTGCTGAGCTTGGTGTGGACGAGTCAGGTGCAGATGCCTTGCGCGGCTGAGGTGTCCACTCCTGACGTTCAAGTCGTTGGATGGGCCGGTGACGTGACAGTATCGACTGCACTGGTGGCGCCTTGTACATCTGCGGCACTGGCGGTGGTGGACTGGGAGGCGGAGAGTCGGGTCGCGTTTGGCCAGGCATGTTTGTGTTGACTGTGCTCCAGCTGAAACGCGACACAGGTGGCTGCTTGTTGTCTTGGGAATCCCGGCCCATATGTCTTGGCGAATCTATGGAGGGTCGATCAACAGACGGTCGGCTCTGCGCGTCAAAAGACGGTCGCAAGGGCGTTCCGGTACCGTAAGTGGTCCAGCTCATGTGGCTCTTCTGATTGCGAAGCTCGATTTCTAACACTGAGCCGACGTCTGTTCCTCTTGATGGCGGCGGGCTGTGGACCGGTGGTGGTTGCTGCGGTGGGATGTTCTCTGAGAGGGACGTAGATCGCGGAGCCGGTTTCCGCTTGATAAATCTAGCACTGGGACTTGCTTCCGCAAAGTCGCGTGTTTCAGAGTTGGAGACGGCGTTCACGGATACTTGCATCGGCCGGCTATGTCTCTCCTCGTACACCCATGTAGGAACAGCAGATATTGCCGAGACAGGTGAGGGTTCGTGGATGGCGGCATTGTTCCGGTCACTGCCAGATGGAATGGTCTGCTCCCATTCATCGCCCTCGAGCACAGAGATGGGTGAGATATCAGGAGAATGCTTTGTATCTCTTCGTGGCGAGTGTCGGCGAACTTCAAAGGCTCCTCTCAGTGACTTGCGAGAAGGTCGCTTCGCCACCTGGGGCTTCGCTGCATCGAAAGTGACTTCTCCAGCGACATCAGGATGGATGACACCGTTTGTGACCAGAGGTGGCGGCTTGTGAAGAATGGAGCGGACCTGGTTGAAGATGGGCAGTCGAGACTGTCTGACTTGCGGTCCGTGGTCGTTGATGCGCTGGTCTGCATGTGCGTGATAGCCGCTCTCTCCGATTGATCCCATGAATCTCCCCCGTTCATGCTGGGGCTTCTGCAACTTGTGCAGCCGCAATGGTGCGACTTGAGGCATGTCGGGCTCGTGCAGATGTGACTGGTAGCCGTCTTCAGTGTAGGGTGGTGAGGTGGAGGAAGCGTGAGAGGCTCGAATGGTCGAGCGGATGGGATGTTGCTGGATTGAGTATTGCGGCCTGCTATCGGCCTGGCGGACATGCTTGTGCTGATCTGACATTATCACGCGTGATCCCGGCGAGCATACACTTGTCACATGAAGTCGAGTCGGTTGCTTGATGAGCGGGCGTGGGGTGGGTCTGGGATGGAAGGTGGTGCAGAGTCAGTAGTGGTATCTGGGGAGAATGAGGCGGAGAGCAATTCTACGGATGGTGGCAGTCAATATTTTGATGCGTTCTGGTTGTCCCCAGCAAAGCCGTGACGCAGGGTGCCAGGGTATACTCCCTGGCACTAGCAGTTCGCGCTCCAATACGCGCAAGGCTCGGTGGTCCTATCATCTCATGAACATGATGACAGCCAGTAACGAACGCCACGTCAATAGCAATGCGTGGTTTGGCTTTGCAGCAGAAGGCTGAGGGCCTGAGGCTTTGATTGCACCGTTTCACCTCTGACGCCGTTGCAAGATGAAACAAGATGCATCTTGCACACCACGACTGATTGGACACGAAGCTCCCGAGGTCGTTCCCAGCACGTGCGCAGTGCCAAGCTTCGGTGCAGTGCAGTGAATTATGCTTGGATGTCATAGTATTTTAGATATCCGCATCTGAGAAGTGTCGATATTTGTCAGGACCAAAGAGGTTACACGTGATTGGCATGTAACCGGGCTCGAGTGAAGCCAGGGTCTCGATGCCTCAGGCAGGACTTGGCGCTTGGCGTTGGGCCAACTGGCCTGCCTTCCTCCCTCTCCTCTTAGATCTCTATCGAATACTACACTGATTTACTACTACCCTATCTACCTGCTAACATAACCCTTCTTACACAGTATTCGATCCACCCTTTAAGGGCAGCAGCTAGATAGTCCTTATTTTAAGCTTTTAGCGGTATAGCTACGAAAAACTATCGATTTAACTATATTATGCCCGAAGAACGGGACCTATACGTACTATTCTACCAAAACAACCGTACCAATCATCAAGTAAGGCCTTCTATACAGCCTATTACACTAAGTTAAGCATATTAGGCCGATACTCGCTAATTCTACTATATCCGTACTATAAGGGGCTATAATACATTATTAGTACTACCCCTTATTATAATAGCCGGTTTATTACGAAGCAACAACAACCGTGCTGCCGCTAGCAGCGCTAGCAATAACAACGCTAGTAGCATAGTACCTGCTAAAGTGCCTACTAAAGTACCTGCTAAAGTACCTACTAAAGAGCCTACTACTAGGCCTACCGAAGAACCTATAGTTCTAGGCGACGATCTAGAATTGCCTATTAACGACATTCTTAACAACATTGTTAATCGACGATATAGCTAACTAGCCTTTAGGCCCTAGCTAGTAGCGAGACTTTAGGAAGCTACCTAAAACAGGCTCGCTGCTCTACGCTAAGAATAATAGCTAAAGGATAATCTCCTTAAGATTCGTCGCCTTTAGGAGGCTCTAATAACTAACACTAAGCCGATAGCAGGGCCGTCCTTACTATTAGTCCTAGTCTAGAAGAAGGATGCTAAACTTAAGGACTATACTATATTTAATAGCTCTAGTCGAAAGCAATATAATAACTATATTCGTAACTATAAGCTTAACTAGCGCAATGTACCGAGAGCGCTACTAGATAACTATTCCTTAGTTGTCTATACTATACAGTATATTAACAGTAACCCTAAGCGTATATAGGATAACTATTTTGATTCCCTTTACGACTAGACCGCTGTTTAATAGCAGGATTATAAGACTATTATACTAAACACTCTTAGCAACCCTATATTACGCTAGCAGCACGCCTAAGACTAATACCTACGTACTAAGCAAAAGGCCGACTAAACCTCTCGATCCTTCGAGGCCTATCTAAAGACCCTTAAGGACGATTTGCTACCTAAGACCGACTCTATCTAGATATCTGAGATACGACCTAAACTAAGATAGGAACTAGTCCTTAAATTAGACCGCCGCCGTGTGTTCGAACAGGCTAATCTTACACGCATTTAATTTATAGTTAAAGTAGAGACTGTAGAGCGTATAGTATAGCTATAGCAACGGTTAGAATCTAAGATACGACTATCTACTAACCGTAGCCGCGGTAGAAACTAAGGAGGTACTCCCTAAACTAACACTGCTAACAATAGAAACAGTAACGACTAACGTAGAAGAGGTAGGGGCCGATACCGCGGTAGAAACCCCTAGTAAGGAAGAGGACAAGGAAGGGGCTTATTTCTATATACCCCTAATCGTTTATCCAATTCTAGTACTAATTCGAGCGGACCTAGCGGTGCCCTAACTAGATATAAGTGCTTTAATTGTAATAGCACCACTTATTTACTAGGCTAATATAATAGGCCCCGAGACTAGGCCCGAGTCGACCGTGCTACCGCTAAACACCGAAAGCACCTCTTAGCCGCTAATACTACCCCTATTAGCCCTTCTAACTATTCGAAAAAAGAATAAGCGCCGCACTAACTGTTAGCCTTATACGGCGTAAGACTATCGACATTGTGCTAGCTATTATACGCACCTATCTCGTATCGGATACATATAGAACTAACTATAAGACTAAGGTTATACTAGATCTAGGAAATTTAGTTAGTGCCCTTATTAGCTATCGCCTAGCTAAGTAATTAGACCTTCGACAACTGCCTAGGACTAACCTGCTAACCCTTGCTTAGTTTAATAACGCTCGGCACTTAACCTACGGAGCCTACTATATCTATATAGCCCTAAGAGACGACCTCGGCAATAAGCGCCTACTAAACTTTACTGCCTACGCAGTAGACATAGACAGCCTCCTATCTAAGATTGTTATTAGCAACCCTATTCTTAAGTACTATGCTATAGTTATAGACTTAGGCAGTTAATAGTAGCGATTTAGAATCGCTAGGAAAGAGGACATTAAATATATCGATATTAGCGAGTGCCCTAACGATATTAGGGTTCTATTTATCGGCAACCTAATACCTGCCGTAGCTAACCTAATAGTCGACCTATTAGGCGATAACGATAAGCCTATGCCCCCTAATAGCGTAGACCCTAATCAGCTTGCTCGTATACCGGAGCCTATTCGAGAAACCTATATTAATATGTTTGAATACTACTTAGCATCGACATTGCCTATGTTTAAAGAGACGGATTATAAGATTAATATTATAGAGGGCAAGGAGGTCCCTTTTAGCCCCCTTTACAACCTTAGTAAACGAGAGCTTGCTATGCTACGTAAGTACCTAGAGGAAAACCTAGCTAATAGTCGCATTCGGTATAGTAACAGCCCTACTAGCGCCCCTATCCTATTCGTACTAAAGAAGGATAGTAGCCTACGTCTGTATATTAATTATCGTAGGCTTAACGCTATTACTATTAAAGACCGCTATCCACTTCCTCTTATTAATAAGACCCTCGATCGCCTTTCTAGTACTTACTACTACACTATATTAGACATTAAGGATGCATACTATCGCATCCGCATCCGTAAGGGTAATAAATAGAAAACAGCCTTCCGTACCCGCTATAGCCATTTCGAGTATCTAGTTATACTATTTAGGCTAGTAAACGCCCCTATAACATTCTAGTCCTACATTAATCGGGCCCTTTCGGGTCTATTAGACTACCTCTATATAGTTTACCTAGATAACATCCTAGTTTATATATACTCTCCTAATATTGCGGAACACTAGGCTATAGTCCGTAAGGTACTTAATCGCCTAAGGGCCTATAGACTATATTGCAAACCTTCCAAATGTACCTTTGCTACTAAAGAGGTGTTATTCCTTAGCTTCCTCGTATTAACTAAGGGTGTTAAGGCTAATCCTAATCGGGTTAAAACTATTACTAAATAGCCTGTTCCTACGTTAATTAAGGAGCTACAGTCGTTCCTCGGTTTTGCTAACTTCTATCGCCGATTTATTAAGGGCTATTCGAGGCATGTAATGCTACTA